AGTGTTTCAGAGCTGGAAACATCCCTAGAGACTCTTGTCCAACTCCCCCAATTCAAAGATGAGCAGATTGAGGCCCAGAACAGAGAAGTATCTGGGATCATTGAAGCCCAGATAAAGGGCTGGAAGGGCCTAGAAGCTATCTCATTTTACAGATGAGGAAACTGAAGCCCAGAAAGAAGTGAATTGTTATAGTCACACAGCTAGCACGTGGGCACAGTCAAACTTGAACTGAGCTCTTCCAGCAGTGGGCTAGAGCTCTAATCATTCCCCAAGGCTGACTTTTCTGGTTCAAACTTAGTGAAAGCCATGGAGTCACAGCCAGCGAGATAACGTGCCTCCTGAGGGGCTGGCCAGTGATCAGCCCACTCTGGGAGGCTGCTCAGGGAATCTTCCTTCCTGTGGTCAGAGGGTCTAGTGCATGGAGGGATACGGGAGGGAATCTTCCCTAAGTGGCTAACCTCTTGTCCCGGGGGATGAAGCACCTGCCGGTCAAGCAATCCTGACGGATTCCTCATGTGGTAAAGGATGAATCCAGTTTCTGTCACCCAAGCCAGGCTTATGGATGCTATGAGAACAGCACCACTGAGCTGTCTCCATCCATAGCAGCCCCTGACCATGTGGCCTCACCAAAGGTCTAGGTTTCCCATCCTCCAGTGAAGCACTCTGTAGTCAAACACTAGAGCAGTCATGAGCTGCAGCCATTTTCTAACTAGACAATGCCCCATATTACATCACGTAGGATAGAGAGAGACTTTGGTTGAAGCCTTGGGTTTGTTGATTGGATGCTGAGAACTCCCATGACTTAGCATCATAATTTTAGAGCTGAAGGGGGCTCCAGAGGTCAACTGGTCCAATTCCCTCAGTTTACAGAAGAGGCGACTGAGGCCCCAAGAAATTGGGTGACATATCTAGGGCAGAAAGTGGAAGAGCTAGGTTTGGACCCAAGTCTCCTAGATTCCAAGCCCATTGCTGTATCTCCTACAATGAGGAAGGCCCAAGAAAGCCATGACGAGGGACAGAAACTTTCAGGATTGTGCTGATCTCATATCCAAGATGCAGGATGGGAGGCCAGCCCTTTTATATTGTTCCTAATTCTTTTCAGCTCTTCAGCATGTGATTGATGGCATCTAAGGGCTAGATCTGCTCTTGGATTTTAAGAGTCATCCTGGTACATGCCAATGGCCTCACATGGCTCTGACGTGGCTCTGACATCATGCAAGTCTCTTTGTTGAGGTTGTGAACGTATCACTGGCTTGGCATGCTTACAATCTTGATTTGCTCCATTGAGCTGGCTAGAGAATAGGGAAATGCCACCTGCACTGCACTGTTTCCCTACCATTGTTATTGGAGCATGGTTTGAAGAGTGAACAAGAGTTGTTGAGGGCCAGTGCATTCATGAAAAAATCTTCTGAATTCCCATCTCTAGGTCAGCTAAGGCTTGTGACCCATCAAGAACCAGTCTCTTAAGAGAATGCCGTGTGTTTGCTGTAATTACAACTGACCACTCATGAAGCTACCACCCACATAACAGAACACAGCTTATCTAAGTCTTAGACCTGGCCAGAATGTTTAGACAAGTGGGGTAGCAGCCTACTGCTAAATACCTCCCTTGCCTTGGGAACCCAGTGCCTGAAATTGGACCATTAAAGATGGCTCCTTTGCCCTCCTCCCTCGGTGTCCTCTCCTGAAATACTAGGGTTCAACCCAACAAGTGTTTATTAATTTCCTACTTGGTCCCAACCTTGCTCTGTGTTAGGCACTGGGTAAGCAAAGAAAATAAAAACAGTCCTGCCTTCAAGGGGTTTACAATCTCCTAGTAAATGGGAACCCACTAAAAAGCCACTGACACTATCATGAAAGGGTTTAACAGATCAGCTTCTGTCTCCAGCTAGAGGCATCCAGGGTAGTCTCCTAGGTTTGGGCTGAATTTCTGGTTGTAGTACAGTGACCTGCAAGTAGGCAACCAGGAGGTCTGGGTTCAAGAGTGAGTCCTGCCCCTAATTTGGTGTGTGGTTTGGACCCAGACATTTCAACTCTCTGAGCCTCAGTTTCTCCATCTGTAAAGTGATTCAGTTGGGCCAGGTCTCCAAGATCTCTTCCACAAGCCTGTGGTATAGAAAACACTTGAGGGCTACCCAAGACAAGCTTTATGTCCTTATCTGGCTGGCTCTCCATGCCCCACCTTTGAAGGCATTATGGAGAGTTCCCTGGCTCCCTGGTCAACATGCCTGGGTTCCCATCCCAACTCATATTTCAAAAATGCTTTAAAATTTTAGAAACACTCTTGGCACAACTCTGTGAGATAGGTAGTGAGTGAGTGTAATGCCTATGCCCATTTTACAGCTGAGAAAATGGAGACTTAGAGAGGAGTCACTTGCCCAAGGTCACATAACTAATGAGTGTCAGAAGCAGGATTTGAATCCAGTTCTCCCAATACCAAATCTGACACATTTCCTATGACATCACACAAAACAATCTATCGAGCGCATTTCAATCAACTCAGGATGCCGGAATCTCTTTGGCTGCTGGACCCATTTTCACTCAGTTTACTGCAATTAGGTGATTTCGACTCTCCTGTACTTTGAGTTTGTTTTTGTGGATTTTTCCCTTGCTCCACCCCTCATTTTTTTTCTTTTAGTGCTGCTTCTACTCTTAAGGGAGATGGAGAAAGACAGAAAGACACCTTAATATAGTAGTTTCAGGCCATATTCCACAGAGCCCAGACAATTGCCTAGTTCAGTCACATCATTGAACCGGCCCCCACCTCTAATGATGCCACATACACAAAGCAGGTTGGGTATTAATGACATCCCAAGGTCGTTTCTTGGTTCCCCACTTGCTCATGTTTGGAGAAGTAACAAAATGGAGTTGAGACAGATCTTTTAAATATCTTGTTCAAATACTGTATGTCAGCTTTGAGCAAATGTGCATTCTGACATAGTAATGAGGGAGAACAATGAAGGAAATGTGATAGTCAAAAAGTATCTCTGAAAAACCAAAACTCATCTTGGTTCTTGACTCTCCATCATTCCATGAAACCAAGACCAGGTAGATCAGCCGCGTCTAGTCACCTTTGATCACCAGCACCATCTACCAGAGCAAAGCTTGGGATTGAGAAAAATGAGTGTGCATAAAGGAACAGGGCAGGAAGCTTGCCCAGTGATGAGCAATGGTGGGTTGGCTCAAAGTAATGGACATTTCTTTCAAATTCAGATTCCTGAACCTGAGGCTTGGTATGTTTTAAATAAACATGGGCCCACTGAGCAAAGGTGTGGCTCTTCCATTTTCTGCCTTTGTTTTTTAAAACAACCCTGAAAATGGAAGGTTCTCTTGTTTCTGTCTCCTTGACTCAGTCAGGGAACTGAGGCCCCTTTTTATCGTGGGGCCAGAGTAGGAGGGTGGAAGAGAAGTAAGCCTGGATTAGTTTGGAGTGAGAGAGATTTCAGGGTGAGTTAATAGGGTGGGGAAGTCAATTAACACAACAGCTGGAGAAGACAGAGCTTTGGCCACAAGATTCTAAGCATTGGTATCTTGTGGTCAAAATGTCTTTGAGGGCCAGCTGCCCAGGGCTGAATGATAGCACGGAGATTTAAAAACAAAAACAAAACAAGCAAACAAAATGGGAGTAGCTATCGCCAGGAATTCCAGGGCATCCTGGTGAAACAGACAATCTAGCTGCCTTGGAGGTCTCTTCTGACGCTGAGATCTGAGGAAAACTGTAAGGCCGGGAGTGGAGACATGGAGCCCCAAAACAAGTAAACCATGAAACAGATCCTGTCCCTGGCTTCATTAAGAGAGAGGCTGTGTGCAGGAGAATGTGATCATTCCCGTCTTCTCGGAACTGGCTAGACCACAGCTGAAACGTCAGTTTGGTGGGTTTGCCTTGGTTTATTTCCCAGTTCTGGATGACCCTTTTTAGGTTGAACATTGACAAGTCAGATTATGTGTAGAGGAAAGCGGGTTGGAAAGCCTACCTGACAAGGATGGGTCAAAGGAGAGCAGGCTGTTTAACTTGGAATGTGTCTGTCTTCAAGTTTGGGAAGGGCTGTCGGCACCGGAAAGCACAACTAGGGCAGAAGCCACAGAGGGCCCAGTTTAGCAGGGGAAGCTTCCTAACGCAAGGTGGAATGGGCTGGCTGGGGAGAGAGTGAGGTTCCACTCCTTGGAATCTTCAAGCAAAGACTGGGTGATGCCTTAGTAGAGGATCTTTATTCAGGCTTGGTTGGTCTGGGTGGTCACTTTCAATTTTGACATTTTGTCCTCTGTCTTATGAATAAGCATACTCTTCTCCCCTGTCTCCTTGAATTGACTGTTTTGTGACTCCTTCTAAATTCTTCACCACAGAAGGTCCTCAGCCCTTGGGCTCTTGGGCCTCTCTGTCCATGTCTTTGACACTGATTGTTAGCATTGGTGTTGATATGGCTTTCTTGGAAATGAAGTCTTTCTCTGTGTTGGTGGTGGTGGTGTTGGTGGTGATGGGAATCAACTCCTGAACATCTTCCTATCTTGGAGTGGCTTTTATCCTGAGCTCCCCAAGATCTCATTCTGGCCCTCCACAGAACATGCACCTCTTTTAGCATGGGAGTAAAGGGAGGGGGTAGTCCAGAAGGACTAAGGCTAAGGTTCTGGGTAGGGCCCTGTGAATATACCCATAAATCCATGAACATGGACCCAAATGCCCTTAGCTCTTTCCACCTCCAGCTGCCTTGACATGGGATGTGAATGGTCTGTCCAGGTTTGGGGCTTTGGGAAACAGGATGAAGTCATTTATCATTTGCACAGGTGGCCGTATCTGGCCATATCTAGATGCACGTTCTTCCACATTTCTGGCCACACCAAAACCCATGACTGGACACGGCTCATGTTTTGTCATGTACACACTTCGTGACTTTTTGGAGTTAGCTTCTTCTCACTGGACACCATTTGGACGGTGTTTTCTGACATTTTAATTTCTTCTGTGTGTGTCCGTGTATGTGTCCCGGGCTGCCTCCCACCTATAGCATTTCATTCGGAAATGACACTAGGTATAACCTCACTTTTCTCTTCCGCACTTGCTTGGTCTGTACCCTTCTTTTTTAAATATTTTTTTTCTGTTTTTTTGTTTTTTTTTTCCCTGCTCTATCTACTCTTGTTTTCTCTGAATCCCATTTTCCTTATAACCTTTCCTTTGGAACTATCCATCCCTCTTAAAGTGATTCGTGTTTGTGGTCCCCATCTTGGTTTTTCTTTGTAGTTCCATGTCCCTGATTTGTTTGAGACCCCAGACCTCCTGTCATTCAACTGTGGCATCTAGAATAGGCTAATGATCTAGCTGTCTGTGCCTAAATACCCTCCCAAACCCACTTTACAAAGAACCGGTAAGACCCGTCCTTTGAAACTGGAGGGGGCTGAGCCAATAGACTCTTGCCTGCAGTACCTGTTCTTCCTAAAGGGGTTTTGGCCGGGCTTAACTTTTGTGTTGTTAGTGATGGAATGTTGGTGTTAAAGTGTCTTTGAACCACTTCTTCTGGAGGATAATCAGATGGAAACCAGGAGAAGGCTTAAGGGCTCTGATAGGAGAATCTCAAGAAGTTTTGAAGGCAAACCTTAGACATTTTGAATTGATGCATATGCATAAGACTAAAAACAGATGACCCTCCCCTACAGCTCCTGAGTGGGCCAAGAACTTGGAAACTATGCTGTTTGGGGATGATGGGGCTCAATGTGATTATGACCTTGGGGTGGGAGGGGGGAGCAACCTTCCAACTTTCAGGATATAATCTATAATTCTGAAAATACTAACCTGCCAGAATGTTGCTCCCTTCAAAAGAATGGGGAGCCTTCCAAAGTACTGATCATGTAGCCTGGGTTAACTATCAGATGGCAATATTCACCGAAAGGATGAAACTAAATGATGTCTGAGGTCCCTCCCATTTCTGACATTGGTGATGCCGTGACACTAATTATCCAGATATGAGAGTGTTCAATGCTCCTGGACAATGCTGATGGTTCAGTGACTCCAGTTCCCTCATCTTAAAGGAAAGAAAAGAGGCTGAACCTTTTACTAGGAATATATGCCTAGATCCCAGTTTTACCTTTCCAAGGATTCATCTCCTAGAGTTTGAGCATCATTCAATCAGTCAATCAACAGGCATTTATTAAGTACCTACTATGTGCCAGGCATTGTGCTAGGTGCTGAGGATGCCAATACAGAAATGAAAGAATCCTTGGCTTCAGGAAGCTCTCAATCTAGCAAGAGGGAATAATACATACATAGAAAAGCATATATAGAAGGCATACAAGATGGAAGAAAGCCAGACATTCGATGTACATTCTCAGAAGCTAAGGAAGGGAAGGGTGCTGTACCTATGATTTCATTAATGTAAAAAAAACTCCTTCTGCTAACACAGGCCAGCCCCTCCTCTGCAGCCTAGAATCTTACACAGGTACCAAAAAAGTGGAATGATGGGCCGAGGATCATCCAACCAGTATGGATCTGAGGCTGGATTGGCACCCACATCTCCTTGGCTCTGAGGCTGGCTCTGTATTAGACCACGCCACTTCTCAAGTCTGATAGAAAGGATCACAAAACATAGAGAGATCCTCTCAAGAATGTGTTGAGTGAGGACCTAGGGCAGCATCCAGCTGATGTTTCACTGTTAAGAGAAAGAGACCACGTGCAAAAAGGAAAATGTACAAAGCCTTGTGCTTTCTTAGACTTGAAATACAAAATAAAAGGGACCCTGGAGCACCTTGTAGGACTGGAAGAAGGGCCATTAGAGGCCAAGCCCCTTATTTGACAGAGAAGGAAACAGAGGCTCAGAGAAAGAAGAGGACCTCTCCAATATCCTAGCACTCTAAAGCAGAAGAGCTGGGATTCAAACCCAGGCCTTTAGCTGTAAACCCAGGGCTTTTCCACTGCCCCAGCTCCACCTTCACCAGAAATGAGCCTGTCCCTTGATTTCTGGAAGGCAGCTCCTGGGCATCTTCCCTCTCAGAGCCATTTTTCTCCCAAATCCCACAAGATGGATTCTGACCTTTGCAGGGATGGAATTCCCATGGAAAGGGAAACTAAAAAGAGTGCTGAGGCACATGGGGGGTGGGAGTGGGGTCTCCCTGCTGGTTTCCATTCTGAACATCCTCACACAGCTCAAAGAGTTCTTCCAGCTCCTGGAAGGAAGGTGGTTGTCTGATGCTTTGTGTCTGACTGCAGAGATGGTGCCCTGGAGTGCTGCCGCTACAGAGTCATTTGGTTTCATTCTGAGGGGCAAAAGGTGCCACCATCCCCCATGCCCGGGCAGCTCTCTGTGGCTTTAGTCACCTTCTTGATCCATCTCTCTGTCTCTCAGCTCTCTCCATCACTCTCTCTCTGTGTTTCTCCTCTCACTCTTTTATCTCTATCCCTGTCTCTCTCTCTCTCTCCTCTCTCTCTCTCTCTCTCTCTCTCTCTCTCTCTCTCTCTCTCTCTCTCTCTCTCTCTCTTCTGTCTCTGCCTCTTTATCCCTCTTTATCTTTCCCTGTCTGTCTCTCTGTGCTCTCTTTCTCTCTGCCCTCCATAGCTTCCTTTGATCCATTTTCCCTCCTCTATCCTTACTCTCTTCTCTCTCTTTTCTCCATCTTGGGCTCTCCCTCTCTTCTCTTCCTTTCCCTGATGCCCCGTTGTTGGCAGAAACATCACGGGGCATGGGAACCAACACTGGATCTGGTGTCTTAGAATTGAAGTCCAAATCCCACTCTGCCATGGCCATTTGTGGGCCTCTGGGTCAGTCACATCGGGCCTCAGTTTCCCCTACTGTAATACAGTGAGGGGTCTAGCTTGATGCCTTCCTTCTCTCCCCTCTTTGACTCTTCATATCTCCTCCTCTGTCATTCGGAGAATTTCCGTCTCTGTCCAAAGCACCAGGTCCTCAAACATTCTGACCTCCATGGGTTCCTTCTTGTTTGCCTTTTGCCCAGATCCCCAAGCCTCATGGTAAGGGGCCACGTGGAAGCCTGGCCTTCCCTCCTCCTGGAAGACTTCATTGCCTCAGCACTCTGGGGCAGCTACATCTGCTAGTCACATATGTGTGTCCGTGTGTTTGTGTGCATGTTTGGCCCCTGCCTCCAGCGTGCCTGGGTTTTACCCATGTTGGGTTTTTACCCATCTTTGCTTCTTTTCAGGACCTTCTACCAGTTTGAAGCGGCTTGGGACAGCTCAATGCACAACTCCCTCCTGCTAAATCGGGTCACCCCTTACCGTGAGAAGATCTACATGACACTATCTGCTTATATCGAGGCAAGAAACTGGACATCTTCCCAGGGCAAAAACCCCCAAGTCCACCAGTAGCCTAAAGGATGTAGCTCTGGGTCCCAAATGCTTGGGGTCAGCTACTCTGATCTGCCAACCCCCAGAGGGTTTAGTTCCCAGGGAACCTCAGGAAATGTCAGAAAGTAGAAATAAGAACTAGGATCTGAAACCCCAACTAGTGACTCCCTGTACATGCCTGGCAAACCTAGCCCAGTAGAACAAGAGGAAGGATTAATGGGTCATGGGGATCTGTGAATACAGATGGAGCAATGCCTATCAGCCTTGACAACTGCTAGAAAGGTTGAGAAGGAAGAGAAGAAGTTTTCCTAGTTCATGTCACGTGACTTCCAGTTAGAGGTAAAATCACAGTGTAGACTATACAACATCTGGAAAGAAAATAACTCAAGATGTGACACAATAGAGTGTGCAGGGGGCTTGTCTTGGGAACCCCAGCTCAGAGACCCATACTCTGCCACTAATTACCTATGTGAGTAACACTGGACAAAGCCATTGACCTCTCTTGCCTTGTTTCTTCATCTATAAAAGAAAGAGTTGGATTAGATCACAATAGCTGGGCATTTACAAGGTCCTTTGAGGTTTATAAAAGGCTTTATGAATCTGATCTCATATGATCCTTCCAACAATCCTGTGAGATGGGTTCTAGACATACGAGTATTCCCATTTTACACATGGGGAAACTGAGGCCCAGGGCATTTAGTTGATTTGCCCATGGCCACATAGTTAGTGGGTAGGTATCAGAGATGGGATACCAACCCTGGTCTCTTTTCACAACAAGGCAACACTCCCTCTTAGATAATTTCTAAGGTCACCTCAGCTTTGGAATTTGATTATTCTAAAATTTAGGTCAAATCTGCCATTCATCATTTAAGGGCATATGTGCATTCATTCATTCCAGAAATAGCTATCTCCAGCTCTGATCCACTTATCAGCCTGGAGGTAAGCTGCACTGAGACCTTTCCCAGTGCCTTTTGTTCAAGTAGACTCACGAAGGAAGGCAGAAGTGGCCTCCATGGTGAGACCCAGAGGAAAGGTTGCCCATGGAGCATTGTCTTTAAAAGGCATTGTTCATTTTGGGGATGATCCAGTTACAAGACGAAGGGAAGGCAGTGACCTCAAGTTTGAAGTGGATTGTTAAGACCACTGAAAGTCCCCTGTGATAAGAGGCCAAAGGCCTGAGGGTGTAGGGTACCACCTGACCTGCAAGTGGAGGTGTGATGCAGTGTGCCCATTGACTTAATGTACAAGCACAGGTGACGCTGAGGCAGAGGCCAGGTGACTGGACGTCATCCACTCCTCGAAAGGCCCTCTCTGGGTCCCTTCTCCTCTGCCTTTTGCTTAGTTTCCGTGCTGTGTTTCAGATGGAGAACTGTACCCAGCCTGCTGTGATCACCAAAGACTTCTGCATGGTGTTCTACTCTCGGGACGCTAAACTCCCAGCATCTCGTTCTATCCGCAACCTGTTTGGCAGTGGGAGCCTGAGGGCCTCCGAGAGGTAAAGTCCTCCCCGGGGTCATCGCCTTGGGAAGAGGGGAAACACTCAGTAAGAAGTGATTACACCCACCAAATGTGTCATAGTGAAAGACTAGTGCCCACCGTCCAGTGGGACCCTCCTCTGGGGGGCTTTCTGGTCATAATGGGATAGAAACAGGTGGCTGGCTTCTATATCCTGGGCTCTGTTACAAACACGTTGCATAACTTTGAGCACTGGTGGAGACAGGTTGGAAAAGGCCATCAGTTAGGGCTATAACTAGAGCTGGAAGTCCAGGGCTCCTGCATTGAGAGGGGAGCCAATAGCTTTTGTAACGTTAGCAGCATGGAAACAACCGAGTTTAGCACTGACCTCATAAGAATAATTAGTGAAAATAGGAAGCTACTCAATGGGGCTCCTCCCACTTCCCCCTCCCGCTCCTACCCCCAGAGGAGTCGCACGGTGTGTTTTGTGCCATTCGCATCAGGAACAGTGTGTCCTACTCTGGGGACACCAATTACTAGTTGTAGCTCTGTGATCAACATATCAGGCCCCCGGGGTGGGAAAAGTCTGAGTTATGGCTATGATCTGTGCATCTTTGGAACGGTCAGTGCCACAAGGTCAAGAGCCCAGCAGAGAAAGGGAGTGACCAATACAGAGTTACACCCAAGGCCCCAAGAGGCAGAGGATGCTTCCAAGAACTGCTGAGGGTCGTCTAAAAACAGTTTGAAAAAAGATCCTTACGCGTGCTCTGGCAAAAGGCTCATGGGAGCAGGGAAGGTCTTCTAAGTAAATTATAGAATTGACGCCTTCGCACACATGCAGCAAATTTAGGCCATCTAAAAGAAGGTGGCCAAGATAACAGTCTGCCAGAGTAGATGGATGTGGGGATAGGAAAACCTGGCTTCAAATCCTGCCCCAAACACTTACCAGCTGTGTGACCCTGGACAAGTCACCTAACCTCCTCTGGGCCACTGTAAAATGAGAGGGTTAGATCTGATGGTCTCTAAGATCCCCTCACCCTCCAGATCTATGATTCATGGCACGGACCACAGATGCTGTGCATTAGAAGGGTCATCGAATGAGGCCGTTCCAAATATCAGCCAAGAGATGCCTTAGAAAAGATAAAATGCTTCTCAGTTGGTCAATAAGCATTTATTCATTGAGTATTCACTATGTGCCAGGCCCTAGGCTATGCGCTGGGGACACAAAGACATATGAAAACATGGCACTTGCCTGCAAAGGTCGGCAAGTTTCCTTTCAGCTCTCAATTCAGCTCAGATACGTCACCCTGGAGGGCCTCCAGCATCCTTTCCTATTCTTAAGATTGAGTGACCGTATAAGAAAGAACCCTGGCTCAATGATCAGGGTCTCTGAGGAGCAAGAAGAGTCAGTAGAAATGACTGAGCTAGAAACAGACCCTTCCCTGCGGTTCAGATCCCACAACCCCTCAGTTCTAGGCCAGCTGATCCCTAGAATGATGCCTGGGACGTTGGCCATAGAAAGAATTGCTTTGATGTCCCTGCTCACACATTAAAATTCATCTTCTCAGTATCCAGCAAGTGACTTTTCCATTCTTTAGAAAAAGAAACACAAACTGTCTCATCATCATCATTTTTTGTTATGGGATTTAGCATGTGCCAGATGTGTGAGCTATAGAAAAGAAGCAATCCAGTCCTGTTCAAGCAATGCTTCTAAAGTCTGGTTAACATCAAGGCTAAATTAGCCTCTTTTCAGCCGTCACCCATTGGCTACACCTGGCTCTTCCCTCTGAGAGCAAACAGAACCAGTCCACGTGTTGTAGACGTGGCGGCCCTTCCAGCACTCAACCATCCTAGGCCCCCTTGTCTTTTTGATCCAAACCCGTGTCCTTCAACCCATCAACCTATCACGCTCAAGGCCCTTCCGCAGCCTGGCTGCCCTCTTCTCAACGCTCTCCGGATTATCAAGCTCCCTCCTACGCATTGGTGTCCAAAAGTGAACACAGCACTTCAGGAGAGGCCTGATGAGGGCAGAGAACAATGGGATTATCACCTCACTGCTCCTGGGAGCTCGGCTCCACTGGACGTGGCCCCAGATCCCCTTAGCTTTTCTGGCTGCCATATCACTTCACTGACTCAAATGGAGTTTGCAGTCCACTGAAACCCCCAGATCTTTTTCAAAACAACTCTACTTTTACCTATGCTTCCCTCATCTTATATTGGAGGAGCTGATTTTTTTTGTACTCAAGTGCCAGACTTCACTTTGATTCCTATTAAATTTCACCTTGTTGGATTCAGCCCACTGCTCCAGCCTGCCATGATATGGCTGGATCCTGACTCTGTCCTCCATCACAGTAGTGGTCCCTCCCTCCCTCCCAACGTTGCTCGATCTGTGAATGGGATGAGCATGCCATCTCTACCTTTAACAAAGTCTTTGATGGAAATGTTCAATAGCACAGGACCAAGGCCACATCCCTGGGGCACTACTTACTGCACTGTTACTCTCTGAGTCTGGCCATCCAACCACTGTCTCTAGCTAACTGGATTATTATCTAAGCCCTATCTCTCCATCTTCTCCATGAAAAACAGATGAAATACATAATCAAAATCTTTGCTAAAACCTAGGTACCCTGTATCCACAACATTTGCTGGTTTAGTTGTTCTGCCATGAAGAAATGAGGGCAGGGGCAGCTAGGTGGCGCAGTGGATAGAGCACCGGCCCTGAAGTCAGGAGGACCTGAGTTCAAATCCAGCCTCAGACCAAACACTTGACACTTACTAGCTGTGTGACCCTGGGCAAGTCACTTAATCCCAATTGCCAAAACAAAAAAAAAAAGAAATGAGGCCAGCCTGATATGGCCTGTGTTTGAAGAAGCCAGGTTGGCTCTTGTCATCACTGCTCCAACCATCTCTTTTCATGATCCTTTCTAGAATTTTCCCAGGAATCAAAGTCCAGCTCACTGGCCTATGTAATATTTGGATTCTGCTCTCTTGCCTTTTTGGAAACTCACAGCAACATCTGCCCTTCCCCAGTCTTGTGGTTCCCCCTCTCATTTTCCATGCTTTTTCAAGTATCAAAGATGATTTGCTCCATAGTTGGGGCAGGAATCTCCACCCTGCTGAATCACAAATCTTCTACCTTATTTGTGTATGTGTCAGACACCTGTGCAAGGTGCTGGGGTGTCTATACAATGGAAAGATGAAACGCAGTCCTTGGCTTCCGGAAGCTTACATTCTACTGGGGAGGAGAGGATAGAATATGTACACAAATAGGCACATGCCTGCTGATCTCAGGGGATCAAACACTCAAGGATTGGAAAGGACTCCCTGTAGGAGGTGGCACCTGAGTTAAGCCTTGAAGGAAGCTAGACGAACATTCTAGGCTTGGGAAAGAGCCTGTGCTAGGGGATGGAGGCAAGACACAAAAGATGGGGTTCAGGGAACAGCAGGCCAGGCAAGGTTGACCAGAGCACAGAGTCTGCAAAAAACCTGGAGTACAGGCTGGAGCCAGAAGGTGAGATTCCTTAAATGCCAAGCTGAGTACTTTATGCTTTATCCTGGGGGCCATAGGGAGCAATGGAAGGTTCTTAAGCAGTTTCAAGGTTGTTACCTATTCATTTGCAGCAACCGGGTGACGGGAGTGTATGAACTTAGCCTGTGCCGCGTGGCTGACGCTGGAAGTCCAGGTAAGATATCTGTCCTGCTCACTCTCACTGGGTCTGGCTGCCCAGGCTCTCCCTTGTCAACGTGCATCCCTGCCTAAGGAAAGGAACTGGAAGGAAACCAGATGCCTAGAAAGGCTATTTGAAGACTTTTCAGTCTAACATCCTAAGGATTCAATTGACTCTCTGGGTCTTTTATGGAAACAGACCCTTTTGGTGTTAGCTGGCTCCTGGTATCTTCATAAAAGGAGCCTGAGCTAATGGAGAGAATCTAGACTTTGAGAGACCCCTGTCTGGCTAGCACCAACTTGCTGTGGCCAAGTGTGATAAAACTATGCCATGAGGTCATGGAGGGGCAGGCCTGACCTATAGCCTGACCCCTTGATAGACACAAGGAAGGACTAGATGTAATTAGATCTCCACTAGAGACTAGTCCTTCCTCCAGCCCAATGGCCAACCTCCTGACCTTCATTGCTCACCTGAGTACGGCCACTCCCTGGAGAAGGATATACTCTGTTTGAGCCCATGGTGCTAGTGACCTGTGCCGTAGCATTTGTTTCACTCAAGATGGGCCATTGCTGGTGATTCATTCTTCAGTTGTAATGCTCTGTGTTATGAGTGTCCCTCAGGTGGGCCAGGGAGAGGCTACTGGAGGGGGAAACTCTTATTCTTCTGCATCTGTCCTCTCCCCATCATTAGACACGTGACTTTGGGCTTACACTCCATCACCCCCAGGTTGCTATTCAATGAATGATTGAGCAGACTTCTGTCACCATCTTTTGTGGTCTAGATGATGGTCCCATCTAAGGAGAGAGCAGGGGCCTTGAAACATGGGTGATCCTTTCATTCTAGGAATGCAGAGAAGACGTCGGCGTGTCCTGGACACTTCTGTTGCCTATGTCCGAGGGGAGGAGAACCTGGCTGGCTGGAGGCCCCGCAGTGACAGCCTCATCCTGGACCATCAGTGGGAGCTTGAGAAGCTAAGTCTACTTCAAGAGGTGAGGAGCCATTCTTGCAACCACCCCCTCCACTTTTCAGGGATTTTTTGATGGAGTGGTGGAGAGGACAGACTTGTGATTCCATAAACATATGGAATTTCTGGTGTGAAAATTCCCTCCATTAATGCAGATGGGCAGCAAGTTTGGGGCACTGAGAGCTTTGGTCACTTGCCCAGGGTCCTGTGGTCAGTATGTGTCAAAGGCAGGATGTGAACCCAGGCCTTTCTAATGTCAAGGCCAGTCCTGTATCTACCATACCACAATCCTTCTTATAACCTCCCCTCAGGAGAGTTTATAGACAGATAGACAGATAGATAGATAGATAGATAGATAGATAGATAGACAGACAGACAGATGTAGATAGATATAGATAGAGATATATAGAGATAGAGATAGAGATAGATATATAGATAGAGATAGAGATATATAGATATAGAGATAGAGATGATATAGATATAGATATAGATGATATAGATATAGATATAGATATAGATATAGATATAGATATAGATATAGATGATATAGATATAGATATAGACATAGACATAGATATAGATGATATGGATATAGACATAGATATAGATATAGATATAGATATAGATAGATATAGATATAGATATAGACATAGACATAGACATAGACAGAGACAGAGACAGAGATAGAGATAGAGATAGAGATAGAGATATATAGAGATAGAGATAGATATATAGATAGAGATAGAGATATATAGATATAGAGATAGAGATGATATAGATATAGATATAGATGATATAGATATAGATATAGATATAGATATAGATATAGATATAGATATAGACATAGACATAGATATAGAGATAGAGATAGAGATATATAGAGATAGAGATAGATATAGAGATAGAGATAGAGATATATAGATATAGAGATAGAGATAGAGATGATATAGATATAGATATAGATATAGATGATATAGATATAGATATAGACATATATCTATAGACATAGATACAGACATAGATATAGATATAGATATAGATATAGACATAGATATAGATATAGATATAGATATAGATATAGATATAGATATAGATGATATAGATATAGATATAGACATAGATATAGATAGATATAGATATAGACATAGATATAGATATAGATGATATAGATATAGATATAGATATAGATATAGATATAGATATAGATATAGATATAGATATAGATATAGATATAGATATAGATATAGATATAGACATAGACATAGATATAGATATAGATGTAGATATAGATGTAGATATAGATAAAATAAATGTTCAAGAAATGACAATGTGGTTTCTGTGGCAGGAAGGTACCTGCCAATTAAGCAGCTTAAGGCTTGTAGAGCCCTGTACATTCAGGATCTCATTTGAGACTCACAGCAGTGTAGGGAGGTGATGACAATGGGGATGATGATAGTGGTGGTGATGATGATAAATTACTCACATTTGGTGCTTTAAGGTTCACAAAGCTCTTTACAGAGTTTATTACTTCTGAGGTAATAACTTATTACCTCATTTGAGCCTCACAACCTTAGGAGGTAGCTGCTATTATTATTCCCAATTTTCCAATGAGGAAGCTAAATCAGCCAGAGATTAAGTGACATCTATGGAGTCACGTCCCTGGTAAGTAGCTGAGGCTGGATTTGAACTCAGGTCTTCCTGGTTCCACACCCAGTTCTCAAGCTAGTGTAACACCCAGCTGCTAAGTGCTATAGATATTATAATCCCCCAATTTAAAGATGAGGAAACTAAGGCCCAGGGATATTAAGTGACAAATAAATACTGGCTGATTGATTGTGCCCGAAGTTGCACAGTCAACCAATAGGCATTTATTATGCACCTACTGTATTCCAGGAGCTGTGCTGGGCACTGGGGTTACCTGGGCAAAAATGAGACAGTCCCTGCCCTCAAGCAGGGCAATATGTTCATTACTGGGTAGATACAAGGCACTGACCAAGTTGATCCAAGTCAGCCTTAGAAGGGAAGTCACTAGCACCAGGGGGACCAGGAGGGGCCTCCTTTGAAAGGAGGCCCTCAAGCTGAGGAAGGTCGAAGGCACGATCGGAACCAGTCACTCTCCAGAGTTGGAGTGCCTTCACTTTCCTCTACCCCGGGGAAGCCTTTCTATGGAGCAGCCTTGGGACGACTACAGCGAGTTTGTCAATGACAGGCAATTCTGGAAGACTCCCGCGGCCCAGACTGCATTCTGAAGCCCACGGGCTCTTGTGCTCTGAGGCCATTTTACAGTTCAGGGTGACTGGCAACATTCTCACAACAAATAACCGACAGAAGGCACAAAAAGCTATTCCACATCATGCCATCATTACACTGTTAAATGGAATTACTCAAGTGTAAGAGAGCTCCTGAAAATGAGAGGGAGAGGGAGGGAGAGAGAGAGAGAGAGAGAGAGAGAGAGAGAGAGAGAGAGAGAGAGAGAGAGAGAGAGAGAGAGAGAGAGAGAGAGAGCTTATTTCTACAGCGCACACCCAGGATCTCAGCTTGTTCTTAGACCAAGGAAATCTCAGTCTTACTCCCCACTCTTGCATTAACCATGTAACCCAGGACTTTAACTCAACAGGCTTCAGTTTGCCCATCTGTAAAATGAGCATAATGGTTATCATCCACCTCCCATACCCAGAATGTGATGTCAATTCACAGAGAAGCGTACAGAATGCAGTTTGGAAAGAGAAACATTATCTGTCTGACAATTTGGAAAATACTCTTCTTTTAAAGGTTGAAAAGACAAGACATTATCTGCTCCTACGTGAAAAGCTGGAGACAACTCAGAGATCGGCCCTGGAGACCTTGTCCCCCTGCTCCAGCGAGGATTCTGAGTCCCACAGCACTTCCTGCATCTCCTCTCCTCTCTCAGATGGCACCTCGGAAGGTCGCGCCACAACCCTCGACATTCCCAGTGAACGACAGAAGGAGCTGGCAGCCAAGGTATGGTCAGCCCTTCTTCGAGGCTGTTCCCCGGCCTTCACTTTGCTTTCCAAACTGCCCGAGGCAAGGGCGCCTTATCACGCCCTGGCCAAGACCCTTCTGAATCCCCCTGCAGTCATCTGACTGAAGGGAAAGTGGCACTAACAGCGAAGCTGAGGAATAGCAAGGTCGCCATTTGTACTCCCTTCCCTCTTGGGAGTTGAAACATTCAATCTTAAGAGCTGGAAGTGCCCTTAGAAGACATCTTGTCTGGCCTGTAAGTAGGCAGGACATCTCTGCACGGCACCATACACAGAAAAATGGCAAGAGAATGCCCACCTCAGGCTTCTTCCTCCTTCAGCCAGACAAGAACAGATTTTCCAGTCTCTTTACCATGTCCCTGCCCCAGACCAAAACTTTCCCTCTGTAACTCCTGCTCCTCTTCAGTCTAGCTTACTCTTTGGCTGTGCTCTGGAACCCAGCTCAGCTTAAATACTCTTTTGTAGGGTTATAGGATTGAGAGCTGGATGGGAGCTTCGAGATCAAACATCAGGCTCAGGCCCCCACTGTACAGAGGGAGAAACCAAGGCCCAGAGAGGGGCAGTGCCTGGTCCTGTCATTCTAATTCTGTCCCCTCTGAAGCAGACTCTCTACACTCTGTTGTCTGTGACAGCCCTTGAGGCACTTGAAGACAGCTAAGCTGTCTCCCCTAAATCTCCCCTTCTCTAGGGTAAACTCAGGAAACAGCTCCTCCTATGACGTGGTGTCCAGACTCCCATCCTATTTCAATCTCCATCCCATTACCCTCTGTTTATGGAATCTTAGGATTGAGGAAGTCCAAAAGACCCTGAAAGAACCTCTAAATTATTGATTCCAACCTACATTTGGGGTGGGAGTGGGGCAGAGAAAACAGAGACTTCCGGCTGGGAAATTGATCAAGGAAGTTGACCAAATAAATCTTCACTAGTTGGGATTTAAATGACCAGTCCCACAAGTGACCTGAGCAGAGCTGTTGTTTAAGGCCTCACCTCATGTCAAAGCCAAGTTCCCTGTCCAGTGACCTGAGTTCTCCACCCCTACATGAACCACGTGCCTTCTTCCCATCTTGGACTAGCATCTACTCCTAGGAGCACCGGTCATTTCCTGAAGCTTCTTTTTCCTTCCCTCCCAGTGCCTCCGCCTCCTCACACACACCTTCAACAGAGAGTACACCCACAGTCACGTCTGCGTCAGTGCCAGTGAAAGCAAGGTAGGATGGGGAGCCCCCTGTTCTGTGGGTCCCTCCCCGCCCCTGAGAACACCACAGCATTTTCATATCCCATGCCATTCGATGCGTGTCAATGCACCCCAGCTAAAGGCCTTCAGAATCCGAAGGGAAGCCATACTACCTCCCCACAATTTTATAAATGAAAATCTCCTTTATTTGGTGAATTAAAGCTAGTTTCTGGATTGCTTACCATCATGGAACCAAAGGGACCAGGTGTCCCAGCAGATTGTCCTTATGGGGTTAGGAGTACTTGCATTTTATCATGTTTGGGAATGAGGAATAAGTCCACAGACCCTGCTGGGCCAGACACCAGCCCAGGGAGACAGTAAGTAGGTCAGCTCCTCTTCTACACCCAGAGTGAAGCCAGGAAGCCAGCTCAGCCTGGCATCAGAGATTTACACCTGTGGGGGACTCAGAGACCACCTAGGACCCCCCTCATTTTACAAATGGAAGAACTGAAGCCCAGAGACAAGGTAACTTGTCCAAGGTCTCTTTCCTCACAAAACAGTAATTACAGCTATTACTAGACATTCTTTGACACAAAGTTTTTCTCTAACTGATACTCTTCAAGAATACGACAAAGATGCTATTCGGATAAACTCTCAGCAACAGTATACACTAGGTTAACATTCAGAACACAAACCTACTTATCACTTTTATGAATTCTCCAATAAGTAAAAATATCTGTGACTTCGTCACTGGAGTTCCTCCCTGTACCAGCTGAGACCCCATGAGTGGCTATGGCCAAATAATGAGTCATCACTCAGTGACCAACCATCAGAGGGTGCATTAACCTGGGCTGGTCCTTGGACAGCAAACACACGTTAACTCATCGGGCCCTGATGGAGGCTTCCAGATTGGGTAGAACCTGCAGGAACTTGGGTTCCACTGACATGGTCTTTCAAAATTCGATGTCATTTCTGGGCTCCAACGAGCAAACGTAAGTGGTATTTTTATCTGATAAAGCATTTTGGCCCCTCTCGAATCCCATCAAGCCAGGCGCTGCTTATTTTATCTGTGTGAGCCCCCCCTGCTGAAGGTAACTGCCCTCTGATAGCAATTGGTCAAAAACTGGCAAGTGGTTATAAATACAGCCTGTAAAATACAGAAATATTCGGCCACGGTTCTCATGCTAATCAATATGTATGAGTAACATGGCGGGGGAATTCTTCAGCATTTTGAAACTACATCATATTGCAAAGATTGTTAGCGGCTTGGATCTGCTCAAGAAATTGCCCTGTTTATTCCGGATGAATATGAAACACAGGAATATTTAGAGAGGACAATCCCTCCTTTGCCCCTCTGCCTGTCAGAATTGCCCGGAATTTAGCATAAGGTCACTAGTTGGGGTTTTACTTCAATTTCCAATTCAATTAACATTTATTAAGTACTCAGACAACATAATTCCTTCACTGCTCCAGACTTGCTATCCCATCCCCCACTTGTGTTACCCCAAAGACGAGGCCTCTTTTGGCAAATAAAGGCATAATCAGGGCCTGGATTGGATGAGAAAACAATCCACTTCACTCTGCCAGCTCACAGGAGTCCCAATATGGACATGCAAACAGACCCCTCTGCAGGACTCTCACAGGAGCCCCCATCAGTCTACTGCCAGGAAAACGATGAAAGATGGCCTGTGAAGGTCTTTCAGTTCTGCTGTGGAGGCACCATGGTTACATTTTTAAAGGAAAAAAGTGAAACAAGAGTCCAACAATAATCCCCAAGACTCAGGGTCAGAGTCAATGTTTTTACTGTTGCTGCTATTCAGTTGTTTCAGTTGTATTCCGACTCTTCATGACCCCATTTGGGGTTTTCTTGGCAGAGATCCTGGAGTGGTTGGATATTTCCTTCTCCAGCTTGTTTTACAGGTGAGGAAACTGAGGCAGACAGGGTAAGTGACTTGCCCAGGGTCACACAGTCAGTAAGCATGTTGTTCAGTCTTTTCAGTCATGTCTGACTCTCCCTGACCCCATTCGGGGTTTTCCTGGCAGACACTGGAGTGGTTTGCCATGTCTTTCTTGAGCTCCTTTCATTCCTGCCTGCTGAGGACACAGGTCAGGTCCTGGAGGTTAGTCATGAAAGGTCAGCAGTGGTTTAAGGGCCTTTGATTACAGCTTGTCTGGCACTGGAAATGCCAATCTGCTCAGCTGAATGAATGCCAAAGGACAAAGAGTGGGTCAGTCAGAGCTCTGGGCCTCTGGCTTGTGCTCTGGTCTTCAGAGCAGCCTGCACTCTCAAGGCTGGAGAAAGAGCCCGTCTCTCTTTTCTTCTCCCCTGCAGCTGTCAGAGATGTCGGTGACCTTGCTGCGGGATCCTTCAATGTCCCCACTTAGTGCAGCCACTCTGACTCCATCCTCCACCTGCCCATCCCTGGTTGAAGGCCGGTACACCACTGCAGACCTGAGGTAAGCCAAATGACCATGATCTGAGGGGCCATTTGAAGCCAGAAATGACCAGTGACCTGGAAAGCAGGTCTGAGCTATGGGGCAGCATCGCCAAATCACACCAGATCCAACCGCTAGAATGTAAAGAGGAGAAAACCAAGAAATTAAGAGACTTGCTCAAGCTCACGTAGGCAGGAAGTGGCAAGGTCTAGACTCAAACTCTGGACTCTTAGCTCCAGGGTCACATTCTTTTGAATGCCCCCCAAAGGACCACAATATCATCTCAGTGACCGTTTGAGATCGCAAAGGAAGTAAATTCCCAAGTCACAACCTTGCCTCATTATATTAAATTCAGTTCAAGTCAGACTGCCATTATTAAGTACCTACTGTGTGCTAGGCACCACAGTCCTCACATTGAAAGACAAGAATGGAATAGTGCCTCAAGAAGCTTACATTCTACTGGTGGGAAGCCAGAATTGTTCAGTTGAGTACAGACAGACATCACATCCCAGGTCTTCATGGCTCCAAAGCCAGTTCTTTCTCTATCCACTGGGCAGCCCTGCCTCTATGGGATGCTTTAACATTTACAAAATATCCATGATCTCTTTTCATGCTCACAACAATCCTGCGGGGAAGTCAGGCCAGATACTTTTCTTCCTCTCTTATAGACGAGGACACTGAGGTTCATAGAGTGAAGGGCGTTGCCCAGGATCATATAACTAGTAAGTTTCAGAGGAAGGATTTGAACCCAGGGCCATCCTGACTTCAGGTCATGCAGGCTTTCACCTAATGAAATGGTCCTTGTCTTCCCCCTCAGGAACCCCCTGCCCGGCTCCCGACCAGCCAGCCCTGAACTGGAACCGGTGCTGGAGGGAGACCAGAAGAAATCTCCCTCTCCTGTCAGCGGGCCAGAAGCAGAGAAGGAGCCCCAGCGTTTGTTGGTGCCTGACATACAAGAGATCCGGGTCAGGTATGGAGGCTGAGCCTCACCCCTCTGGTGTGGGGAAGGGAGGTAGGAGTAAAAGGGGCAGACCTGTTCAGATGGTGGCACAGGAGATTCCCAGCCTTTGCTCCATAACAAATGCAAGTGCTCAAACCCATCCGGCAATGGGTACAATTCCAGGGAGAGCTTCCAAGTTGGGGCCATGGTCCCAAAAGGCAACTGAGGAGCTGAGGCCTCCCCAGACTCTTCTAGACATGGGTGAAGGTCACATGGTGCCCTGGGTGGGTCACAGCATGAGACATGAGGTCTCCCCAGACTCTTCTATATATGATGGGTGAAGGTTGGGTGATGCCCTGGGTGGGTCAGAGAATGAGACATGAGGCCTCCCCAGACTCTTCTAAATGTGATGGGTGAAGGTCACATGGTGCTCTGGGTGGGTTAGAGCATGGCGACATGAGAATGTGATAAGAGCTTTTCAGAAAAAGTAACATTTTTAAAAAATCTACTTCTTGAACTCTTGCCAGCTCCACAGGCATGGAACACCTCTGGGCAGAGGAGGAAGCTTCCAAGACATGGGTCATACTTTTAGCTCTTTTAAAGCTTGAAACCCTGCTCTCAATGCCCTTCCTTGAGGCCTTAGTTCTTCCAGGCTCTGGGCCTGGATCTCCACACCCCTAGTCAGGAGCAGAGTTAGGAGTAAACTCCATTCTCATTGTGATGGCTGGTTTTGTGCCCCTGAATCTGGAGAGATTCAAGATCCTGCAAAACTTGGGAATGGGTCTCTGGGGACGGGGAAGTGATGAGTGAGACCTCTCCAGGCCAATGCACCTGCCATAGCTCCCCAAGGAGTAAAGCCTTTTCTTTTTCCTTTTCTTCAGCCCCATCGTCTCCAAGAAGGGCTACCTACACTTTCTGGAACCCAAGACGACAGGTTGGGCCAAGCGCTTTGTGGTGGTGAGGCGCCCCTATGCTTACATGTACAACAGTGACAAGGACTCTGTGGAGAGGTTCATTCTCAACCTTTCCACTGCCCAGGTGGAATACAGCGAGGACCAGCAGGCAATGCTCAAGGTAACTGGTCTGGGAGGAGTGGGGGGGTGCCGGGCTGGAGGAGGTACTGATGCACATTCCTGATGTTTCACATTCATTGATCTCCCCATCCCCAAAAGCCTCCTCACCATATGCAGCATCTGTGATACATGAGACTTGGCCTCGAAGGATTTACATCCCCTGATGCCACAGATGTCTTCTGTGTGGCCCCGGAAAGCAGAACTAGAGTAATGAGTGGATGGTTTGAGGGGGCAAATTCAGACTAAGAAGAACCTTGCTAATGGTCAGAACTGTCCAAGAGAAATGGGCCGCCTCCAGAGGGAAGGAGGAGGCAGAGGTTGGATGGCCCCCCCTTGGGCATGACACAAAAGGGAGACTCTTCCTCATACTAGACTAGAAGGTATCTGGGGTCTCTGCTAGCTCTGAAATTCTGCAGTTCTGTGAAGCCAGTGTTAGACACGCCCTCCATGGCGTCCTTTGCCATCAGCCAAGAAGGGTTGAGGAGTAATTGAACCCAAGGGTGGATGGGCCCTCTAGACCATTGCATGACCCTGCCTAGGACTGATTCTTAGTATGAGGACGCTACATTGTCCTCCCTAGCCACCCCTGCATCTTAGCGCTAAGTATGAGGCGAGTGATCTTAAACCAAACTACAGCAATGGAAGAAGGGTTTTTGGTGAGCTAGGGAAAGGACGAGAGGCAGGAGATCCACAATGGGCACAGAATGTGCTCTGGAAGGGCCAGAAATGGTGAGGGCACTGCAGCAGGAGGTTTGGGACCACTGAGGGGGCGGGGCTAACTCCCTGTCCCAGGAGTACTCACTCTGGGCTCTCTGAGCTTGGTTTTTAGTTACATGGATAGATGGATAGACGGATGGACGGATAGATAGATAGACGGATGGACGGATAGAGAGAGAGAGAGAGAGAGAGAGAGAGAGAGAGAGAGAGAGAGAGAGAGATAAAGGTAGGTAGATAGATAGCTGGATAGATGGATGGATAGATACAGATATGGAGAGACAACAGTATTTCAATATACCAGTTTCCTTTGTAATACTATGTATCTTACGCATTTAAAAACACTCTTCTTAGAAGGGATCTCTAGGATTCACCAGCCTGCCAAAGAGGTCCATGACATAGAAAAGACTAAGAACTCTTGATCTTTGCATACTTTGTACTGACCACACACCCCTTGGCTTTAAGTCAGTTGTTTTCTGAAGCCTAGGCCCGGGTGTTGTGCTTGGACCTCCAAGTCTGCCATTCTGGAGGACCCTGTGTGTAGGAGCACATAGAATCACCACCATCATCAGAGCAACATCATGGCGAGTTTGAAATTGGATCTTTGGATTTCCTCCTTTCCTTTTTATTGCATTTTCTTGACCTTGTTTCAAGATAGCTCCTTGTGAGGACACCCCCCTGGTCATGCTGCCCTAATCTCCACTTGATTCTCTTCCATTCCAGACTCCTAACACATTTGCTGTCTGCACTGAGCATCGAGGCATCCTTTTGCAGGCAAACAGTGACAAGGACATGCATGACTGGCTGTATGCATTCAACCCTCTCTTGGCTGGAACCATAAGGTAGGAGTGTGTGTGTGTGTGTGTGTGTGTGTGGTGTGTGTGTGTGTGTGTGTGAGTGTGTTATTTTTTTAACTGTAAAGCACTAATAGGGGAAGAGGGAAATAGGGATCTGTGAAAAAAAAATTCTTTAGTATGGAAAACTCCTTGCATGAAAACTCCTTCCAGTCATGTCTTGACTCTCTATAACTCCATTTGGGGTTTCTTGGCAGAGATACTGGAGTGGTTGGCCAATTCCTTTTCCAGCTCATTTTCCAGATGAGGAAATTGAGGCAGACAGGGTGAAGTGACTTTGCCCAGAGTCACACAGCTAGTAAGAGTCAGGCTACATTTGAACTCCAGAAGATGAGGCTTCCTGACTGCAGGCCCAGCACGCTATCCACTGAACCACCTAGCTGTCCCCCTCCACTGCCACAGAGTCACTTCCATCCAAGTCACCCTGGGCACTGTGCTGAGCGGTCTGCTCATGGTAACAGCTAGTCTGCCAGAGGCAGAACCTAAACCCAGGTCTTCCTGACTGCCAGGACAGTCTTTGATCGTTTTCCTCCACCTCCAGTTGCCTCTCCAAACACTAAGTGAATTGTTTGACCATCACTAGCATTGGGCGAGTTCCCCAATCTTCTGAGCTGAGAGGGAAGAACAGGGAGCACAACGCTGAGTAAGACTTTGGCTAGAAAGCCTCTTGCCTGATATAGTAATATCGGAATGCCTTTCAGGTGTGGCCTGGACCAGATAGCCCCTAAAGCCTTTCTAATATGGAAGCTCCATGAGTTCCTACTCCTGAGAGGCTGCTAGGGAAATGCCAGGGTGAGAATGTGTAGTAGATTTGACTCGATGAGGCATTTATTAAACTTACCATATGCCAGGCACTGGGCTAAAGACTGAGGAAAGATGGCCCCTGTTTACAAGGTACTCCCACTCCAAAGGTGGAAGACAATGCATGAAAGGAAACTAGAAGCTGACAGGGAGATTCTGTAGGATGAAAATGTGGGTCTGAGAGCTAGGACTGGAGCGAGGCCAGAAGGGAGCATGGCGGGAGTGGTGTGGAGAGAAAGAGAAGGTGGGGGGGCGCTGTACGTCTCCAACTGGTGACTCTGGGGAGGAACTCACCCATTGGAAGAGGTAGTAACGAGGACAGAGCCATAACCAGCCTGAGACGATCACCAGTGGAGAGAAGTGAACCATGGCCAGCTTGAGATGGCCACCAGGGGAGAGAAGTGAAAAGATGGTGTGCGGAGCTAAGAGCTGAGCCCTGTTAGAATTGCTGGTGGGGTTTGAGAATACGCATCTGTGTGCTTTGGAGCAGGCGGAAGGATTCAGAGAATGGAAGACATCATGACAGGGCAGGGGAAACATGGGAGAGTGGCTAGAACGCTGGACCTGGAGGCAGGAAGACCTGAGTTCAAATCCGGCCTGAGACACTTACTAGCTCTGGGACCCTGGGCAAGTCACTTAACCTCTGCCTCAGCTGCCAAACGAGTGGACTGGATGCAAGGTCACATAGCGCTCCAAATCTATGATCCTAAATAAATGCTTTATCATTCATCCATTCATCATGCAAAGGGAGGCATAACTGCTTGTAATTCTCAAATTATTTCCCAAATCCACAAGCTTGATGTGTAGATGTACGTCAATGGCTCCCAATATCACCACTGAAATCCAAAATCCTGTGTGTCTATATGTATGTATTGCTGTCTTTGTGTGTAATAATAATAGGTAGCATTTAGACAGCACTTTAAAGTTTACCAAGCCTTTTACACATATCATCTCATTTGAGCTTTACAACAAGTCTGGGAAGTAGATACTATTATTATGCCCATTTTATGGATGAGAAAAGTGAGGCAAACAGAGGTTAAGAGAATTTTCTAGGTTCACACAGCTAGTATATTTGTATATGTATATATGTATATATGTATATATATATATATAGAGAGAGAGAGAGAGACATATGTGTGTACATACATGTGTACACATATGTATACATATATAGGTTATAAAACCAGAACTGTGATCTCATTGGCGTAGGCACTCTCAGAGAAGCCCCCTCTCCCAATGCAGATTGCCGCTCACCCTGTACCTTCTGGTCTTGGGGGTGCTCAGAGGATACCAGCTTTGCCCACTATCCCTCAGCCAGGATGTGTCAGACCAGAGGCAGCATTTGGACACAGGTCTTCCCGACTCCCAGGCCATCTCTGTAGCCCCTGCATAAAGATGCCCCTGTGCTAATTCCTGTTTCCTTCTCACAATATACTGACTCCGTTTCCTCCTTGGCTTTTGAAACAGATCCAAACTTTCTCGAAGGAGAACAGCCCAGATGAGGATCTAATAGGACCATCTTCCATAACTGATCTCTTTGCCAATTGCATCGGGTCCAGTAGGAGGGTCCTTCCCAAACCTCCCACCCTCCCCATCCCCATGTCCCCAACCTTGGATCTGTCCTGTCATCGATGCTCCTGACCACCTGCTCTTCCGCCAGCCTGCTGACAGTTTTCACCTTCGTTTTTCGTGGTAGCCGTTAAACTGCCACGGCGTGGACTGACCATTGTCTTGTGCACACAATTTTCCACTGCTCCCTTCGTCAGGTGACCCCACTGTCCCCACAACCTATACTGCTCATTAGCAGAAGCTATCATTGTCTTTTATTCCCAGGTTGAGCAAGCTCTTGGTAGAGAGGGTTGGAGCATGTTCAAAAGGTCAAAGGTCACAAGTCAGGCTCTTCAGCTGCCAATCAGAGTTTCTTTTAAAAGATGAATGGATCCATTATGAAAATACCGTGAATTGGCAAGGTTTTAAGATCTGGCTCTGACATTCCTTGTAAGCCCTGTTTATATTTATGAAATGTTCATTTCTAATGCCTTCCCCTTGGGCCACTGATTTGGGTTGCTTCTATTTTTCCTTGTTTGGTCTATGGTGCTCCAGAAAACATTGGGCAACAGTCCTCACTGAGGCAGGGCAGGGCTAGGGAGAGGGAGTTCTGGGAAATGAACAACCATCAGAGAGCATCATTTTCACTCCCTTTCAAAAATCCTGTGACCCTGTAGGGTTCAGGGGAATCCCAGCTGTGCTGGGTGTATAGGCAGGCACTGGAGCTGGCTGAGGGGATGGAAGGAACGGGCACACTCGGCAGGCCAGCCAGCGTATTGGACATTCATTCCCTTCTTCCCTCTCCCCAGAGCCTGACCCAAACCAAAGTGCAGAGAAGGCTGGGACATTCTGCCTACACACCCAGCACCATGATACCCCACAGTCAGCACACACACACTTCCAAGCGCCCCTGTACCCGAGTCACCGCTCAGAGACAAAGCAGTTTTTTAAATGGTTTTGCCTTTCCCTTGTATGTGGGTTTATGTGTTTGTACTGCACGACTGGTTTGGGGCCACCAGGAGGCCTTACTTCCTGAAGCCCAACCAGTGTATTGGATGAGAGACAGCTGTTCCTCACCTGGGAAACATGAGTCCATCTTTTCATCACTATTTCTGCCCCATAAGGTACAACCAGATAGGCAGAGTGTGCCTTGCACACAGAAGGTGCTCAATGTTTGTTGAATTGACATTTCTAAGTCTGAAGCTGTAATGCCAGAGAAATGGGGTGAACAGGGATATGGAAAGAGGGTCCCAGACTTAGGCAGCCAGTCTACAAAGTAGCATCCAGGTGGCAGTAGTATAGAAAGGGCCCAGGTGTCCTCTCTAGGCTCCCCTCCCCATAGCTGTAACCTGTAGTTTCAAATAAGAAAGTATACCCATGCAGCCAAACCGGGTTATACTCAGTTGTGCCCTGTGTTATCAGGAAGAGTCAACTCTTGGCCATTCTTCCCACCCCCACCTTCAGCTCATGAGATTTATGAACCTTAGAGGCCCTTGGATGGAGACTATACTGTCAAGTGGAAAGAAAATGGCGGGGAAGGATCCAGCAGTACATTGCTAGTGGAATCTCAGCCAGCCAATGGCTGTCCTTTCTGTAAGTCTGCTCTTTGCTGACCAATAGGAGTCTAATCTGAGCTCTTGGGTGTGAAGGCCATCTGGATAGTTTAGAACCGGGAAGCGTACCAGGGTACAGACACTACAATTCAGGGTAGAGGGTCCTTCCAGAACAATGGGCCGTCTTACTAAATCAGCAAGTCCCTCTAAATTCTCTAGACACTCAGCCCATGAACTCAGTATTGCTGTCTTAAAGCACAGGGCTCAATCTTGCTACCTATTTTGAACAGGGTTTTATCCTTCTCCTATCTAGTGAGAAGGCCGTGTGAATTCGATGAGAGAATGAGCAAGGGGGGGGGGGGATGGTGTCATGTTTGCCAGAGATTGATTTTTATTTTTCTATGTGAAAAGAGTTTCTGTTTGTCCTCTGCCCCTGATAACATGAATTTTAATTCCTTGCTCCTGTGAATCCCCAACTCATGTATCTGGCCCAAAGAGTCTGGCTAACCAAAGAACCCTCGAATTCCATGGCTAGCTAAACCACGTCGGCAGGACGAGAAGTTCTCTTGTAACCAGTACAGCTTCCTTATCAGTGACGCCCTTGAAGTTCAGCCTCCACTCAGCTGATAGGCATGCTTCACGCTTTTCAGTCAAACTAAGCTACAAAGATGAATGTTCTTAGACTATCTATGGTTTGGAGCTTCTCTTAGGGTGCTCTCCAATCACGGAAGCGTCAGCTAGACCCCTCCACTCGGTGCCCTTTCAGAACAGCAGTTGCCCAGAGAGGTATCTCTATGGCCTTCAGCCGAGTGCCCACAAGACTAGACCAGATCACAGCTCATCGTCACGTGCACATCCTGGCTACCCTTCTTGCCCCTTTTTCATCCTCTTGGTTGTAGTGGGTATGTCAGGATTCCTGAACTGAGCTATCTATACGTTTTTCTTTGGAAATCTAGAAAGCCAATCTCCAGAAATTTCAGCAGGCTCACTAAAAGCTCTAGATCCCTTTTCCTCCAACCATCCTCCTACCAGTTTATTCACCCCCAGGGCCAAGATTCCAGAGTCGTGCCCAGCTTTGCCCCACTTTTGGCACTAGTTAAATATTGTGATAACTCACAAATTCCACCCTCTAATGGATGGTGTCTTCGTTGATTTTCCTCATCCCTTTTCTTTCTAATTGTTCTTAGGATAAATATTCAGGCCAGGGCATCATTCTGTTTCAATGGGACCTTGTTCTGTCTCTCAGGCCCCAAGTTAATGTGGGTAGTGTCATATTTCCCAGCTGTCTAGTGCTAGTTCTTCCTCGTGGTCTTCCTCACCCACCCCCATACCCCTGTTTTTGCCCTAGCAAAGTCACCATCCATAGTCCAATCTACATTACAAGTTAACGGTCATTCAAACCACCCACCTTCTAAGCAGAATTGTAAAAGATGTCCTTTGTCTTTTCACAAGAAGCTATTAAGAATGTTTTTTTTTCGTTCTACCTCCAAAAACATATGGTGCCCCTTGGCCCGCTAGCATGGCACAATTAAAAAAAGACTATTTCCAAGACTTTCCCTTTGAAAAGTTACTCCATTCCCCTAGTGTCTTTTATGAGACAGACACAAGAGAGAGGATCCAAGTTCTTTCAAGACACTAACTTTTGAGCAAATGTCAGCCCCTAAAAATATGATTTGAAGCTGGAATTATGACAGAGACCTTTATGTATTTCGTGGCAACCTGATGACTAGAATAGCAAATTTAACACATGTAGACAAAATGCCAGATGAATCCCTGGTCTCTAAAAGAGACCCACAAAGAGCTGCAAGCGTGTCCTTTGCTAGCACAGGCTGCATTTCAGACCATCTCGGTGATACATACTCCTAGACCTAAACGCTTCCTTTGGAAATCAACACTTCTCAATTCTGAATCGGAATCGAGTCTTCTGTGAAATGTTGCTTTGCATTTGTCTCCTTTCAGACCTAATTAAAAGATTTTCCCCTAGTGAAGTTAGTACACGTTCTGACCGAGTGGAAAAACATTAGTCCATAAGATCTTCCTCTGCAAGTGCCTATTGTTGTTTTTCAGGTTATACCAGGAAAGGTAAGAAAGAATGACTAAAGTTGATGTTAAGTATTGACTCCTCCCAGAGTCCCAGCTTTCCAGGGAGGAAGGCGAAGGTGACAGACAGCTATCAAAGCCGTTAAGGGCCATGTTGTCAGGTCAGCCATCCTGAAGAACACGGTCTGGGAATGCCCTTCCTCCTCCCTCCCAGTTGGTTAAGGACACCTGTGCCTGAGGCCAGCCAACCTGCAGAGCACACTGTTATTGAGGGGAGGGTTGGTTGGGGGACAGGGTGAGGGGGACCAGAAAAGAAATGCAATAGACTTTTTTGAGGTTTGTGTGAATTTCTTACAAAACATCAAAAGATCTGAAATCCAGCAATTAGGTAGACCTCTACTTATAACAATTCCCTCTATGATCTGATCCTAGCGTGGGAATGACTAGGGTTCTGAAACTCAATTGACTAAATGTAACCCACATTTTCCCCCAACTACAGAATAACAATCCTGGTACTATTATTGTTAGGGTCTAGGAATCAAGTGCCAGGTAGATTTTTTTTCTTTGGATACTAGCAAAGAAATCCTAGCTATTGTTGAAGACATGAAGATGAGGAAGAATTTATAAACCATAAACATAAGACACATTTTTAAATTGTTTTAACAATGCTCACCATCTAGTAGCAATCTATTTACAAAGATAACCCTTCACTATCAAGAAGGATTTTAAGTGAGAATTAATGATTAATTAATCTCACCACATAGGGTCAAGGAAAGGCAGACCCAACCTCATGTAGCCATGAGATAGACTTAATCTGGGAAAAAAAAAATGACTGTTTTTCTCAAAAGAGTAACAGCGTTTCCTTGAGATGACTGTAACCACAAAAGAAAATTCTTTTACACAAATTGGCCATGACTTTAGGCCAGACTGAGACCAAATAAGATTCCATGGAAGATGAACTATAGAAAACACTTTTTGGTGTCTTCCCACTGTTTGACTGGTCTCTACAACCGTGCATGAGATACCTGTCAATAGCTCGATTCCAGACTTTTCTTAGGAAAATCCCGTCATTACATAATGATGTTTTTGGTAAAGCCCTAACTGCTAGAACCACTGCCTGGGTGCTTACACAAAAGATGAAATCAGAATTCTGTGGGGCCTACCACGTCCTGTGACACCTTTAGGGTGATGCTTTCTTAAGTGGCCACCAAGCCAAATAAGTTGCTGAGAAGCCCTCAGAGGCCCTCCTGACCTGTCCTAAGGACTGCCATGTTGAAGGCTGGGATGCTATCAAGCCAAGAGAAAGCAATGGTCAACCAGTCTCTTGTACTCCTGCACCCTCTCTCAATCTGTGTATTGCCAAGCTAGGGAAGGAAACTGTCTTCAGGAGGTGTCATTTGCTGAGAGGCTTTACTTTAAAAATGAAGGGAGGTGTGGTTCCTTTAGATTTTTTTTGCCTGTGCTTCCATGAATTAGTTTGTCCACATGACTTCTTCCTGTGATGCCATCCCCCAAGCGCTGGGAGACCATTTCTCTTGCTTTGTATATATGTGATTGCTGTGGGCACCACTGTACAATAACAATACTCAAGTAATGAGTCTAGTTTTATTGATGTCTTAAACTACGAGTGTTGGAATATAGGGTCTTCAACTGTTTGTGTACACTCAAGGCATTGTTCGGTTACGAAATAAATGTCGCATTTATGCAAATACTGAACCTGTGGCTCTTGGCTTTTTTTTAAATATATTTTAAAAGTTTTTCTGTTGCTTTTTTTAAATGTCTTTTCCCAAAATACGACACCATCTCCATTAAATCATCCCTTGTCACAAAGAGCAAGAGTTAGGTAAATCAGACTGACAAATGATTCTCTGCCCCGCCTACCCTACCCCACTCCTCTCTGACATGTTCTCTTCCTTTCAGCCAAGAAAATTCCCTCCCTGTTATCTTTTCTCCAGAAACTAGGGGGGCCATTGCAATTGAGCTGAGCTGTGTTTGTGTACACTATGCTAGTCATGGAAGAAATGGATTATCTAATCAACAAGCATTATTACAGACTGATGAGGGGCCAGGGGCACAATGAAGTGCCTTGGGGCACACAAAGAAAAAGTCCAAATACTCCCTGCCCTCAAGGTCATGCAGGCCTCCCACCTTTCTCTGGATGGCTCCCATCCACCATTTCTCCTGTGACAATAATATTCTGACATTCACCTGCCACGGTTGGTTCAGCCATCCCTCAATCAGATGTCACAAAATGCTTTCTCATTTGCTTCTTGGGCATATTAGGTTGTAACGCAAACACTGTGAGATACGGTATTTTGGATTGTCTATAATGTTGAAAAGTCAAAGGAGGTAAGCTCCCTGTGTGGAAAGTCCTCCCTTCTATGGCGTCAATACAGCCCATCAAGGTTTGCACAGGACTTCACACACACTGTCTCATGGGATCTTCACAACAACATTGGCAGGGAGGTGCTACTCCTATCTTCCTTTTTCAGATGAGGAAATTGAGGCCCATAGTAAGTGTCTGAAGGAAGATCTGAGTTCAGATCTTCCTGATTCCAGGTTCAGCATGCTACCCACTGTACCTCATGAATTGACCTCCCTCGATGCTCCATCGGGGTTTGAAGGTGACACGGAGTCCTGAAGGTCACATCATGACACTCAAGCTTTGGGAGGCCCTACTGAACTGCAAAGCCTTTGAGTTTGAAGAGGCCGGAATCACCAGCTGGGCTGACCGATGTCCAGCCATAGTCACTGGGGGTTTGACACAGGTTGGTGATGGGGTGTGGGGGTGGAAGAAACACAGCTGACAATACAAGAGCCCAGGAGAATGAAAGAGGGGTACCAGGAAAAGTGGAGGCTGATGTGAGGAGTGAAGGATGGAGAAAAGTTCAGTCCAGTCTACAGTTCCCAGTCAGGACAACTTATTCTAACGAATTTGGAATACGTCAGGCCTGTTACCCAGCGTCCTGAGCAGCTGTCAAAAAGACTTGAAGAGCTCCTGATCAATTCATTTCCATGTGATTCTGGAAGGCAAGATCACTACCTCCTCATCCTCTTTTGTCTGCCTGCAGTCAGGGTGAAGACACAGATGCTTTTCCCATTGACTTGAATGAGACCATAAGTGAATCTGGGGCCGAGTATCCCTCACAGTGTGAGATGCCAACATGACAGACAGTGCCCAGCTTCACATACACACTACACACACATACATACACATGTGTGCACATACATATGCACATTCATATTCACATATATAGTCTGGAAGCAGTGAAATAAACTATTAGAGGAGGGACCTAGTGGAGATGGAAAGAGTCCAGATGAAGGGGTCTATGGAAAGAGATTATAGGGTCTACACATTACAGACGATGTACAGAGGCATCGAATTCACAGCCCACAAAACCCCTACTCAAACCAAATTAAAATGTAATTGGGAAATGTTTAACAAAATAAATAAAAACCCATCGATAATGTTAGTTTGTAGTTTCCTAAGTCAAGACACAGCCCTCAGGGATCCCTTTCTATTTGAGTTTGATAACAGTGATGGACAAGATAACGTGAAGGTAAAATTAGAAGGCTTCAGGTAACTGATTAGTTAATTATGTCTAACACGTAAACTTTACTTTAGCATTTATGAAGGCTTCAGACAGATTAATCCCAGGGGGCTTTATAGTAGCCCTGTAGTTTGCTTTCCCCATTTTCTAGATAAGGAAACTGAGTTTTGATGAGTTACATGCCCTGTCTCAGTCACACAGCAGGGAAGTGTCAGTGGTGGGACTGGAAGAGCAGTCTTCTTGGTTCCAAGTCCAGCACTCTATCCTAGCCAAGCACAGAAAATGCAGAAGAATAAAAAGTCAAAGGTAACACCAAGGTTGCCAACATGGAACACTGAGTGAACAGTGTGGTCACAAACAGGAGTGGTCCCTACTGGAGTTTCACAGAATCTCAGGGTTGTGCATGCTCAGGAGCTGTCATCCTACCCCAACCTGCAAGGGCAGGCACAAGAGCTTCCCTTAGGGTCCAGAAACAACGCTGAAGATCTAGACGAAAAGTGAATTTCTTTAAAAAAAAAAAGACACTTAAATCTTTATTGATATCCTTTGTTTTCACATAACCTAAATTTCCCCCGTCCCTTCCCAGAGAGCCATCCCATATAACAAAGAAAAAAAATTTAAAAGAGGAAGAGGAAAAATTTATCAATCATTATATGGAAACTCTGGAAATGCATGCAATATTCCACACTCTGTCTTCTGAAAATAACTGAGGAAAGTGTCTTCTCACATCTGTTCTTACTCTTGTAATTTTGCAACTTTTTGTGTTTTTTCAGGCTCATTTATACTCCAATTTGTCATTTCCCACAGGACAGTAATATTCCACTCTATTCACAAAACACAATTTGTTTAGCCGGCTCTCAACAATGAGCATTTACTTTGTTTCTAGCTCTGTTACCAAAGAAAAATGTTGCTATCAATATCTCACTGTGTATGGGGCCTTTTCTTTTTCATCATTGACCTCTTCAGGGTATAGGTTTAGCAGTAGGATCTCTGGGTTAAAGGGTAGGAACCTGCTGGTCAGTTGGTTGGAATGATTCCAATTTGCTTTTCCAAGTGTTTGTACAAATTCACAGCACTACCAATAATGCAGTAATGGGCCTATCTTCCAGTAAGTATCATTAAATAGTTCTGTATGCCTTATTTTTCACTTCAAAAGCCATTTTGGAGTCTTTAGGTACCTGAAGGTAAGACAAATGACTTGAATATTTAATATAAGGATTCGTCTCAGAAAAAATAAATATTAAAAAGACATCCGTAAGTTGCGTGTTTTACTCACACAAGGACCTCGTCCATGTTCTTTCCTGTGAGTCAAGTGCAGAGTGTTAACTAGGGTTGAGCAATTAGAACTCTGCCCTAGGGCTCCAACATTTAGAGGGCACTGACAACAGCAAATAGAAAGAACCGAGCATACCACATGGTTAGCAAGACCAGAAGATGAGCTCTTTCTGGGTTCAGCCCCGCCTTGCCCCCTCCCTACCACATTCCTTGTACTATCACACAGTCTCGGTCTCTCCCAACCCCCAACACTTCATGGCCTGAGATGTGAGGTCTTCCCAGCCCTCCTTATCAGAACTGGCTTTTAGAAGCTATTTTGGGAGTCTTTTGTAATGTTTTCCCAGGGCATTTTTCTGGTACTTGTCCCTTGTGTCAGAATTCCTAAGTACAGCTCAGCTCCCTGAGAGAGAAAAGGCTCCCCATGCTAGATAGAAATGCTCAAATCACTTCAGATTATTTCAAGGGTAACCTCTTTTCTATCATTTGATTTCTCTCTGGGGGAGGGCATTCTGAGCCCTTTTCTTTGGAGGTTTCTCTTTCAAGGTACCTCCTATGAGCAACCAGTGCTAAGCCAGATTCTCTTGGAAGGTGACATTGGGAGCATGAGGAACAAAGGAACTTCTACCTATGAAAGTCCCCCTTCCCAGGATCCTGCTGGAGAAGCAAACCTAAAATCTCGTTCCACACAAGATTTGAAAGGTTTCTTCGACCCTAGTTCTCACACGGCTATACAAAACCACCAGGCACGCACTCCCTGCCAATGTAGACCTCAGTTCAGTGACACGGTCAGGTATGAGCTCATTCAGAGCCTGGACACCCGGGAGCCAGAAAGCCACCTTCCCAGAAGCCCAGGCAGCCCCCCGGGGGACAGCCGACCCGCTGCTAAGTCACAGGGCCTGCCAAGGCGTTCCAGGGCTCCGGCAGCCTGGCTCCCATCACGAGCTCCCACCTCTTTCATTCCTGTCACTGAACCTCCCTGGGCCTGTTTCCTCATCTGTAAAATGAGGGGGTCAGATTAGATGGGCCTCTCAGGGCCCTCCCCTCTCTAACTCCATGATGTTAAGATATCACCCATCGTCTCTCAGCCTGTGGTGTCTTTGTTTAGAGACAAATAACTCAAGGCGTGGAAACTGAGGAATCCACTGGGCTATAATGGTTACTCTCCAAGTTTGACCTGACAACAGCCACTCCATAGAAGCCGGTGATAGCAAGCAAGCCTTGGTAGGCTGGTAGTGCCACCTAGTGACTGGCAGAGGAACAATCTGACCCAGTGCTAGACACGGTCCCTCTCCATCACTTTCTTGTTTCCAATGCTACTGCACAGTCGTCAAGAGGAGTAAGTAATGTGTGTCAAGACCTTAAAAGTGTATAAATACGCCACAGTTGCCCATAGGGCTTCATCCGCACCTACTGGAGAAAATGTGCTCTTGAAAGCTACAGCAGCAGAGCACAAACTTGTAAGGTGACCCAGGGACACACACCTGTGCCTTACCTGAGCATCAGCCTCCCTGAGGGGAGAGCTCACCCCAGGCTGACCCTTAAGCCTTTGTTTGGGGGGGGTGCATTTTAGAACCACCCCCCAAAGTGCTCACAGAGGATGGCGTCCGGGATGGTGAGGGGGCAGGATACCCTATTCAGGAGGAGCTGATTTTCAAATTGTCAGTGAACATCTGTACCTCAGAAAGGCTACAAATCAGGGCTCGGTGGATCGCTTTGCTGATTGTCCACAGACTTAAGAAAGTGAGGGACAAAAGGTGTAGGTGCTCTTATTATCCCCATTTCACAGATGAGGAAATTGTTGCATGCCAAGGTTAAGTGACTCAGAGTCCCTACTGTCTGAAGCTGGACTTGAACTCAGGATTTCCTGACCAACCCCAGCACTCCATCCCCTGTATCACCTCTGGCTGGCAATGGAACCAGGGAGGCCTGGATTCAAGTCTAGCACATCTAGTGTCTAATTCACTTCCCTCCTTTTGCGTCCCAGACAACTCGGAGTTGCCTCAGTGACTGCAAGCGCTATCTCTGGCCTCTTTTCGTATCCCCAGCACTTCGCTCGGTGCCTGGCACACAGGAGACACGATGTCGGCTGACTGATTGACTGAGGTGTTCCCTACAAGGCGGCTACAGGTGCTGACCCTTCCCCCCCAAACAGGGGTCAGGGCCTGGAAGACAAGGACTGATCTCGCTTAGCAGAGGCAGCACTTGGCTCAGCTAAGGTCCCCTCGGCTCATCCTATGAAGGCTGTCATACTAGAGAAGGATCGGAGGCTTATGAACCCCCATCTAGCCCTGGCCCTACAGCTGGTAAGGAGGTCCTGGGGACTTAAATCCCACAGGATCCTCTCTCCTGCTCTCCTTGTACCAGATCATAGAGTTAGTGCTGGAAGCAAGCTGGGGTCACTTCAGCACAATTACTTTACAGGTGAGAAAACCAAGGTCCAGGGAGAGAAAAGACCTGCCCAAGGTCACTCTGGTAATGTGCCATGGTAAGGATTTAAAGCCAGCCCCAGCCCACTGCAGCTGATCGAGGGCCTACTACACGCTCCACAGTCCGGCCACACAGGCTCCCTTGTTTCTCACACCTTTCCCCTTTCTGTATTTACACAAGCTGTGCCCTATGCCTGGAATGCAATCCCCCCTCAAGTCTACCTCTTGGAACTCAAAGCTCAGCTCCTGCTGCTTCCTCCATGAAGCCGTTCTCCATTCCCCACAGCTGCTAGCGCTCCCCTCCTCCCCCTTGCATTTTCATTGCATAAGTTTATCCCTATTGTTGATCTAATTAACAATTACATTATGCTTATGGGAGACAGCATGACACAGTGGATAGAAAGCTGGCCTCAGAACCAGGAAGGCCTGGGCTCAAATCTACCTTCTGACCTTGGGCAAATCTCTAAGATTGCAAACTGCAGAGAAGATGCCCCCCTGCACTGGTGGAGAGTCTCCTCCTCCAGGGAGTGCCCACCCAATCTATCAACAAGTTTTTCTTCAGGGGCTTTTATGCACTAGATGCTGGGAACTCAGCGTACCAAGAAGATCCTAGCTGCTCAGAAGAGCTTGCACTCCCCTGGGAGGCACAAGCCCAAAGACAAAGAGACAGCACGACTAACACACGACTGACCCCCAGAAGCAGGTGACAGTCTACAGAGAGCTAGGGGCCCCCCAAAGGGCTTCCAACTACAGGGTTCAAGACGAGTGGCAAAGAGAGGGAGAGCCCAGGGAGGGGCCGCTGCAAAGGTCCGGAGGTGGGAGATGGAGGGTGGCCTGCGTGCGGGAGGCCATCTTGGCTGGGGTCCAGTGGGGCGGGGCTGGCCGGAAGGTCATCTTCCCTTGGGGGTACTGGGAGCCACAGGGGTCTCTGTTCCCAGAGAGAACCTGGAGGGCAGGGCTGTGTCTCCCTTTGGTCCTGCCCGGCACCAAACCCCAGCCCTAGTGCAGCCAGCCCACACACTCAGTAGGCTCTGCACACAGTAGGCTCTTGATTAGTTGCTGAAGTGAGGGGTCAAAGCCTAGGCCGCTCAGTTCGGGGCGGTGTCTCACAGGCCTCGCCCCTAGCACAAGGATGAATGACATCCAGTTGGCCCCCGCCGGGAGGGGTGTGCGCATGCGCGGCCCGCCATTCGGCCAGGCCCCAGGCCCCATACTAAAGGTGGCCTAAAATCAGAGCACGGCGTCCCCGAAACCTCCTGACACACCGCGGGGGAGGCAGCCCGTGTCCTAGGGCCGGAGGAGCCGTCTTCTGGCTCCGTCGCTCGTCCCTTCTCCCAGGGCCGAAGCACCGCCGCCGGCGCGGAAGCACGCCGATCCCGCCTCCGGGCTAAAGCACGCGGCCCCGCGTGCCCTCACTTCCGGCTGTGGGCCCGCCCCATCCGGGCTCGGGCCGACCGCTGATTGGCCGCCTCCTCGCACCCGCCCCCTAGGGGTGATTGGCAGCAACAAGCAAGGCCGAGGCCGAGGGCGCCGCCGTCGTCGCTGCTCCCGCCTCAGCTTCTCAGTTGCCGCCGCCGCCTCCGCCTCCGCCTCCTCTTCCGCCGCCGCCGCCGCCGCCGCCACCTCTCCGGCCGAAGTTCGGCTCCGTGCGCGCGCCGCCCGGTTCCGGTTACGGATGGACCTGTTCGGGGACCTGCCGGAGCCGGAGCCCTCGCCCCGCTCCACAGCCGGTGAGGCTCGGGGCGCGGGAGGGGCGGGGGCGGCTGGACCCGGGACCGCGGGCCCTGGCCGTCCCCGCCTCCCTCGCCCCTCCCCTCTTTCCCCTGTCCCCTTTCACTCCCCTCCCCTCTCGTCTCCACCCCCTGCCCCCTCTCCTCCCCCTCTCCTTCCCCTTCCCGTCTTCCTCCGCTGCCCCTCCCCCTCCCGGGTGCTGTCAGGGCCCAGCCAGGTGCACGTGGAGGGGGCGGGGGCAGACGTGGACCCAGCCGGCCTTGGGCGTGTCCGTGGGCGCGTCTGTCGGCCCCTGCCCTCGGGGGTCCAGAAGGAGCAGCCCCTCCTCGAGCGCCGGTCACGCCCCGAGCCCCGGGGGCGGGAGGGGGGCTGGGGAAGGGCCTTCCCTGCCGGGACCGCCGCTCTCCCTGGGAGTCCTGGGACCGGAACGGCTGGGGGGGGGGCGTCCGCCCCCGCTGTACGAAGCCCCCCCACCCAGCCTCTGATGATTCTGCCTTCTGCCCTTCTCCGAAGTGATTGATGAGGCCCCTCCCCACACCCCCCCCCCCCCCGTGGGCCTGAGCGAAGGGCCGGGAAGGCAGCCCCCGACCGAGTCTTGGTCACAAACGTGGGCTATAGAGCAGCGAGGTCAGTGGCCTCGGCTGACCGCCTCTCGGCGCCTTGACTCCCCAGACCTCGGGGATGGCCGGCTGGAGGCCGGAAGGTGCCCGGGGGCTGGAAGAGGCGGCCGGGCCAGTGGCCTGACCTTGTGAACCCCAGCTTCCTCCTCTGCAAAGTGAAGTGAGGAGATCTCTGAAAGCAGCCCCCAACCCCCCCCCGGGGGTGATTCCTCCGTGAGTGAGACCGGGCGTGGGAGCACGGAGAGAGCTAAGGGAAAGCACGCCTGCTCGGGGCTCCCACCGGGAGCGCTCCCGCCGACCCCCGGCTGGAGATGGGGCTGGTGCAAAGAGCCGCCTGCTCTGCCCGGAGCACCCCATGTCAGCTAGCCCCGTACCTTCTGGTCCTTTCCATTAGTGTTTCCAAATCCGTCCACAGTTTTTCAGGAATGACACAGTGATCTAGCAAACATCTGACGGCCTGCTGTGGGATTAGGGACTCTGACTGAGCTCTCTGTCTTAATAGGATGCCCAGGCTTCAACTTTTATGTGGTTGGGGGGGCGGGGTTGGCAGAAGACCCGATAGGAATCCTGGTTGGTCAAGTCACCTAATGGCTCTGGGCCTGTTTCCTCGACACCTGTAGTGTCTAGTGTCTGCCTCACACTGCTCTGAGGGTCAGATGAGATCATACTGGCTGTTCAACTCTCAGAAAACCCTGTGAGGTGGCTGCCATTTTTGTTCTGGTCCCCATTATACAGATGAAGCAGCTGAAACTTAAATGCCTTGGCCTGGGTCAGTCAAGTGAGTTGTCTGAGGCAGGATTCTGTCCTAGGTTTTCCCGACTTCCACTGGTCCAGATTTCCTCTCTAGCTTATATAAAGATAGCATACATAAAGCACTTCGAAGGCTTTAGAATGCTGTGTATCAGTTATTATTAATAACAGTGGGTGCTTCCCCTCCCCCCCACTAACTAATGCTGTGTAACACCTAATATTGTTTTGAGGACAAGAATCACAAACTTAACAAGCTCCTTCAAATTATATAGAGCTGAGACTTGTGGGTTATGGTTGCTGTATAATCTCTTAGACTTAGTGTGTCAGTATGGCAACAGCATATTTTACAGAAATGCTCATGATCCTTAAGAAAAAAATGTGAGATTGACAATCAGTTTATTCCTAACACCGTACCCAGACAGTATTACAGATTTATGTCAGCTTGCCATGCACAGCCCCATCTTCTTGATGTTTTTATTAGTGATTTGGATGAAACCAGTCTGATCAGCATAATGATCAGCTTTGTATTTTACCCAGAATTGGGAGGGCAGAATCCAAATCCAAAATTACCTAGTTGGGTTGGAGGCCAGTCAGAGTTGAAATTGACCCATGTAAAGCTTAGCCTTGGAAGGCTTCTTCAGCCATTCAGCGAGAGGGGTCGGATTAAATTTCTGAGATTTAGAAAACTACAGTGATTGATCAGTGTTATATAGGTTATAAGTGGCAGATGTGGGCTTCAAACTGGGGCCTCCTTCTGACTCCACATTCGGGGTCCTTGCCACTGCTACCAGCCGCTTAAGGCCTAAGAAATTCCCTTCTATGGGACAGACTTGACCACAGTGTTAATGCATACGTCATCATGGGAGGCTAGGGCTATGTTAGTAGGAAAGACTAGCTAGCATGGTGTTCTAGATCAAGTCACAAAGATTTGGGTTCCAGTCGTGCCTGACAAATTACGACCCCAGCAACCCTCAGCAAACTCCATTGTAGATGAGTTCCTAGCCTGCCCTGGCAGCGGGTAATAGACAGACATGTGTTGTTGGGCTCAGGGGCTGCAGCGTCCCCTAATTCTGCACTGGTCTTCTTGCATTTGGAATAGCTTGTTCCTATCAGAGTTGTTTTTTTGGCCCAGATTTGTGATTCCATGCATGAAGGAAACCTGCCTTACGACTTCAGGCCTTGGAAAGCTGCCCTTGCCTGGACTCACTCGGGCAGTATGTGTCTAACTGGAGGCCAGCTCTGGAGTCCTGCCCCAGCTGTCCCTCAGGGTGCTAGAGAGACATCAGGAAATGAAAGTGTGTGCAGAAGTCCATGACCATGCTGAGGAGTGGTCTGGAGGTGGCCTTAGAGATGACTGAGGCACAGTGCCAGGTTTAACATGTACAAAGTACTTTCCTGTGAGGTAGACACGTGATGGCTATCATGGAGTATTGACAGACCTTAGAATGAGACCGTGTTGGGTCAGCGACAATTGAAGATCGCCAGCAGTGGAATGCCTGCTGCCGGGAGGTGACATTTCATGACATTCAGGCAGACAGAGGCTAGAGAATTCCTCTGGCCTGTGTCCTTCCCGTGCCCACTCCTACCCTTCTGTTTTACAGATAAGAGTATAGCTTGTAAGTAACAGAGCCAGAATTCAAACCCAGCTCCTCTGGCTCCGGATCAAGCAAGCTAGGGGTCAGTCAGCAGCAGGCACTTACTGGGTGACTCCAAGCTCAGTGCATTAAGCTCTGTGCCCCCCTGGATTGGGAATCGTGACCTGGGTTTATTCCTGGTTCCAGTTACTGCCTCGCATGCAATCTGGAACAAGTCCTTGTGACACTTTTTGTTTCACCTTCGTCTGTGATTGACTGAGAGGCCCCTTCCAGTTCTAAATTGCTTTGTTCTAGCTTAGAAAGATCTCAGCTTAGAGTCAAGAAGAAACAAGGCTACCCAGTAGTGAATAGAGGCTGGTGGGAGGAGACTTGGCCCAGTGGAAAGAGCACAGGTTTAGAGTCAGAGGTCCTGAGTTCAGATTCCACCTCCATCATCAAGATGTAGGACCTTTACTTGTCTGTAAAATGACCGAGTTGGGCCTTGGGCTTTCTTAATATGAGGTCTGTGAATGTGTGGTTTTTAATTATTTCAGTAAAACTGGTTTTCTTTGTGCTTGATGCATTTAAAAATCATTCTGAGGAGAGGTCCAGGACCTAAAAAACAGACTCAGTAGTCTGTGAGATTCCCATTCCCTCTGGTTCTAGATCTCCGATCTTCTGGAGGTATTAAGAGAAACTCATCAAGAGCTGGTAGAAGAAAGAATGTCTCATTGGGGGTGAGGGTCACCCTTATTAGGAAGATCGTCATTTTTTAAAGTTGGGTTTGTTGTAAGCTTACTAAATATAAAACGCAATATACAAAACATTTCTATATAAAACAGTTGTAAAGAAACTACTCACTGGTTTTTAATAATGTGCCTTTAAAAATGGCCTTTAGTTTGTCAAGTATAGTTGCTTAGAACCCGTCTGTCCCGGCGGCCACCTCTCCTGGTGTACAGCTTGCCATTAAACTTGGTAGTAGAAGCCCTTGGGCTAGGTAGGTTTCTCTCACTTGAAATCTCCAGGCAAAAACAGTTTTCCATTTCAGTTTTTCATCTCTGAACCTCCTTCACCCTGGCTCTTGTCTAGTTTGTTGACCTTTATTAAATTATGCAGAGATTATTTTTGGCTTGACATTTCCAAAACCCTCTTATGCATTAGAGCCTTAGTCTTTAATTTCTGTATTCAACTCTGTGTTTATCAGTTCTGAGGAGTTTAGCTGGTAGGTACGTTTTTAAAAATAACTCGCATTTTTCTTCTCATGGTGTGGGCCTTTTGCAGTCTCCCTTAATTTAATTTTGGGTAAATTTTTGGTTATACTTTTGGTTTCATTTTTTTCTTTCGCCTCCGTTTCTTGGGGAATTATTCCAAAAAATCTTTGTTAATGTATCAGATATCATACAATTCTCAAAAACGTATTTTTATACTATTCACTAAGGAAATTCTCTAATAGAAATGGAACTCTCCAGAGATTCCGTCCTTTGGAGTCCCTTCCTTAGCTTTCCTTTGGGAGTTCAGCCTTGAAGTCAGAGCCCTAGGAACGTGAAGGGACAGCATTGGTAAGGGTTGATGCAGCGGTGGTTGTCCCCAGGTTTGAGTTATGTGCCATAAAAGGGTTGTCTGACCTTAGGGTCCCTCACAGGATAAATCAACAGCTTTCATTTTCATTCTTAATCTTGACTGCTTCTGTCACCTATTGATTCTAGATTTTCTTGTTGACAGCACCTTCCTTTCCACTCTCCCTTTCAGCTTCTTGCTAAGGCCTTTAAGCTGCATAGCTGTCTGACCTCTAGCATAAACTATAAATTTCCCCATTAATGTTTCCCTGCTTCTGGTTGCCCCCCCTTTCCTGATTCTCTCAGACCACAGCCAGTCTGACCATGGCCTCCCTGCTCTACACCTCCAGTGCCTGCCTCGCTCTGCCAAGCACAAGCATCTTCTCCTGGTGTTCAGGCGGCCAGCCTGCCTTCAGCTTCCTTTTCCTGCCTTGTGTCCCATTTTTTACTCTCCAGAAGAGGCTGTGTGGTGGAAATAGATGGAGAGCTGGTGGCCTGGAGCCAGCAAGAACAGGGTTCGAATTCCACCTCTGATACACACGGAGAACACCATAAATGAAATCCAGTCCAGGCCCCATCTTTATTCTGACTTCTTTTGGTACACACCTTATCAGCAAACTTGAATGCCTAGCCCCTTAATAATCTCATGCTGTCTCCTCCCCATACCTCTGCCAATAAAAACCTTTGTCTTGTCTAGGAAGATTCCTTCATTTTCCCTGTCCTAAAATGCCCTCCCCAGTCTCTAGTGCCACAGGGTGCCTGTGCCCTGGATTAATTCTGTTGGCGTTATTTGTGTGCCTGTCTTCTCTCCCCTGTTAGATCCTAAGCCCTTTAGCAGTAGGAAATATGTCGTTGCTTACCTTGTATTCCTCAACGGCTTACACGTGGGTCCACAATAAATATTGCGTTATATTTATGTCATGTATGAGGATTACAAAGCACTTATGTCCATAAGAAACAACGTTTGTCATTCATTCACATGTAATGTATGTTGTGTTCAAAACATGGCTCCAGGGAGGGAGAGAAAAAGAAATTGAAGACAGTATCCTGCCAGAAAAGCCTGAGTAAATAATCTTCACCTCCTCAGGTCTGGACTGGGTTGTCTTTGTTAAAGGTTTATGGAAATTGAAAGCATTACTTTTGAAATTCCACACTTCTTGGCATAACTAGTTTTTCAGATTCCCCTCTTGTAAAGCTTCTCTCTTCAGATCAGAAGAGGGCCCTGTCTTTGGGCGGAGGAAAACGGGGAGATGTGTGTCAGGAAGTAAGGCATCCAAGGTGGACCTTAAGTGAAGTTGTTAGTTCAGCAAGTGGTCCCCATGGCTGCAGTGCTGAGCATTATGGGAAATGGTACGAAGTTCTGTGTTTGTATAGATGTGGACACATATGTACCAGCTAACAGTAATCCTTATTAGTTTCCCTGTCTCCTCCAAGTTCTGAGCTGGATTTTTCTATTTGAATTTTCATAGATTACAGAATTGTGCGACCCCCTCCCTTCTCTGAGGAAGGATCTGGAAAATGAGATTTGCTGGCTGTGCGTGTTTTGAGTCTTCTGTGATGCTTGTGTTTCAGGGAGAGAAGCACAGAAAAAAAGGCCTTTGCTTTTTGATGATCTCCCGCCGTCCAGCAGTGAGAAGTCAGGTAAGAAAGGGGAGTGTGGCGTGTGTTCTGGGGGCTGAGATGAAGCTCATGGACTGAGCAGTTCACTCACACATATTGAGTACCTCGGCACCTCTGATTTCTAGACATTGTAGGGGATACAAGGAAACGAAACCAAGGGGCTTTACTTTTTGAAGTTTACATTCTAGTCGAGGAATAAGATGTAAGCCAAGATAACTAAATTACACACAGTTATTTGATTGATGTATCAGAGAGTTTGTGAAGTTTGAGGAGGAAGCCATTTGTTCCCAAGGAAGGCTTCCTGGAAGTGGTGGCATTTCAGTTGGTCTTCAAAACATGAATAGGAATGCATCTGGAGAAGAGTGGGAGGGGAGCCATTCTGGCACAGGGAACAGGTGGGGGAAGAGAAGAGGATGTACCAGATGTTTAGAGCTCCTGGAGTAGGTCAGTTTGGCTAGGGCAGAGAAAGCGTGAAAGGCTGAGCTGCTGAAGCTTTGGATTAGAGGATTGATGTGTCTAGAAGTAAGGGCAGAAAAGATGATATTGCCAGCGGCATGAGACAGACCGAGGAAGTTTGGGGTGCAGGTCTGGGAACGTTCCAGATAAAGATGTCTGTGGGAATAGAGAAGAGGGGGGAGTTCTGAAATGTATTGGGGAAGTGAAATTGACCGAATGTGCCGTGAAGGGAGGGAAAAACTGTATGACCCCAGCCTACCAACCCGGGGACTGACTGGGCGAATGGTGGTACCACAGACTAATCACGAAGTCAGGAGGAGGAGGAGGGTGAGTGGGAAGGTAACTCAGTCTCAAGCTTGCTGAGTCTGAGGTGCTGGCAGGACATCCGAGTGGGAGATCCAAAATACAGTGAGCTCTGAAGAGAGACCAAGTTTGGACAAATGCATTTGGGGATCAGAATAACATTGCTAACTGGACTAGTATTCTGCCTGAAAGTTTGCTGAGGGTTAGGGTTAACTTCCCTCAACAGAATGCTGTGAGGTGGGTAGTGCAAGGATGATGATCCCTGTCTTACAGTCATTGGGAATGGGATTGTCTAAGGAAAGGAGGAGGAGGGTCACAGGTAGCCCCCCGAGGGCACCCAGGAGAAGCAGCTGGAGAGGCTCTGCTTAGCCCTACAGCAGGTCAGCTCGGTGTCCAAAGTGCCAAGATCTAGGACAGTGAGGCATTTGAAAGGCCCCTGGAGGTGGTCATTAGGGCTCTGACCTCTCAAAAAACCAGTAGAGGGGGGAGCCAGAAGCCAAACTGCAGAATGTTGAAAAGAAAAAGGACGGTGAGCAGGTAGAGCCATCCCGCAGAGAGGGCTTCTCTAAGAATTTTATTTGGGGGGGGGGTGGCGGATGGTTGGGTGAGCCCCAGGGGTGGTTTTGTTCTGTTTAGGGTCCAGCAAACCTCGGCAGCTTTGTGAACAGATGGACAGTGGTGGTGGTGAGCGGGAGATCGAAGGTGCCCAAATGACCAGGGCATGTCAGAGGCAGGCTTGGAGCTCAGCTTGTCCTGACTCCAGTTCGGGGTACCATGCACTGCCTGTCCCTGAATGTGGCCGTAGCCAGCTCCCCAAGGCTCAGTTGCTTGGGATCATTTTGGGCAGTTCCTAGCCAGTCTCTTACCTGGGACTTGGGGGCCTGATCAGAACTTAGGAACTTTGTCATAGCATTGAAGCACTTTCAGAAATTGAGTGGTTGCCAGCGTGATTGTGCTTGTTGAGGTCGGGTTAGGGGCACATTTGTGACCAGTATCATTTCTCATTCCTTTGTGATAGCAGCCACAAACAATACATTAAGTACTCTGATTCAAAATAGTTTGAAAACGGGGTTAATTGGATGTTCATTTTAACCAAGAACATATGCATGTGTTGCAGTTTTCAACTAATCCAAATACCATAAAATACTTAAAACCCTAAATAAAGGCATCTTTTGGGGATGGCACAAAAGGTGCTCTAGGGGCCCACATTTTGTTAGGAGTCCCCTGCCATTGTACTGATCTTTAAGAAACTAGACTTGAGTTTGGACTGACCAAGGCTCACCTTGGAAACAGCCTTTTTTTTTTTAAGTCACTGTTAACTACATGCTGATTTCACATTTGTCTTCTCTAGTGAAATGGCATGTAGACTGTATCCCCAAGCATGTCTGGCTCTTTGAGCCTTTTGATTTTAGGGTCCAGAAGAAGTTAAGAATATATGGAAAGGCAGTATGGGTCCAGCTGTGCTGGATAGCATTCATCTCCCACCCCACCGTCACCAAGCCTTGCATGCCCTTTGACCCAGCAATACCACCCCCAGGCCTGTTGCCTACAGAGACCAGAGAAAGTGGAAAAGGACCCATGTGTCCAAAAACATTGATAGCAGCTATTTTTGTAATGGCGAAGAAGTGGAAACTGAGGCAGGACCCATCAGCTAGGGGATGGTTGAACAGATGGTGACATGAAAGGGATGGCTTTGGAGGAGGCTGGGAAGACCTTCCTGGACTGATGCAGAGCCAGGAGACCAAACCACTTGGGAATTCTCATTACTGTCAAAGCTCCCCCTCCAGGCAGGCCGGTTGTGAGCTCCAGCTGACTAGGAGGCTATCACTGCAGGCATGGAGGTTTGTCAGGCTTGAGGAAGTGTGATTTGAGAGAAAGTAAATGCTCATTAATTGACAAAGATTTGGGCAGTGTGGTCTTCTAGAAAGAGCCCAGGCCTCAGGAGGCCTGAGGTCTGTGCCTGATCACCGACCCTGTGACCTGGGTGCATCACCTCCTCTCTCTGAGCCTCAGTTTCTTGTGTCTGCAGTGTGTATAATAACTTGTCTGTCCGTGGGGTTGGCAGGCGAGGCAGTCGCCTAAAATCATGGTGTGTGCCTGTGAGGTTTCTGCTGCTGTTCGTAGAGTGGCACGGTCCCTTGAAGCTTCCTCTGTCGGTGGCTGTCTCTAGAGTGACTAAGTATCAGGAGGCGGTGTCCCCTGGGGCATTCAAAGGGGGAACCGGAGCTGACAGTTCAAGTGCTTGTTCTTGGATGTGGTGCTGTTTAATTTCTAAGTACTTTTTATTTTAATGCCAGCTTAAGACTGCAGGCAGCCTGTAAGGGCTGAGGCTACAATTCCAGTTAGACTAGGATGCACATTCAAAAGTAATCCCAGAGTGAGGTGAAACATCAGAAACAAGGCGATGAGAGGCAGGCAGCCCACTCGTCTGAAGAAAGAAAAACATCATTAACTGAAGATGTGCAATCATTTATGCTGAAATGCAGTGGGGAAAAAATGTGCAAGAGGGCCAGAAATTGGATGTGAACGAAGCATGAGCTGCTATTTTAAAGTGAAGTATGAGGGGGCAGCTAGATGGCGCAGTGGATAGAGCACTGGCCCGGGATTCAGGAGGACCTGAGTTCAGATCCGGCCTCAGACACGTAACACTTGCTAGCTGTGTGACCCTGGGCAAGTCACTTAATCCCCATTGCCCAACCAAAAAAAAAAAAAAAACAAAATGAAGTACGGTAACAGGAATGTTTTGGTCGAAGGGCAGCATGCTGGGAGGAAGAGCATTCTCAGAGGCCTTAGCACTCCAGATCTCTTAGGAAGGCATGCTTAGAGTCTGGTGGACAGGGTTGAGAGTGGTACATTATTCGTTGAGAATCAGCTGAAGGACAGTGATACAAATGCTCTTAAAGACAGGCTGTTTTCCATCTTCACTAGGGATGGAGCAGAAGGACGGGGAGTACAGCAGCACATACCCCTGGGTCGGAGCCCCTCTGTTCAAATCCCACCTGAGATTTGGCAGGGTGACCTTGGGCTGGGCCCCACTTTCCTTGTTTGTAAAAAGAATCCCATCCACCTCTGGGTTTATGATCCTCTGAGTCAAGGAAGACTCGGGTGTTTTAGTCGCATAGAAGAGCTCTTGTACTGAGCTTTGAAGCAAACAGCGTTCCAAGAAATCGAACTTTCTAGGCAGGCGTGGTAGAAAGCCAGTGCAGATTTGTGGCCTCGGGAGGAGCGTCAGAACGATCATTTGGACTGCCCACGGTGGGGTGATAATGCCTAGCAAGTCTGGGGGAAGTGGGCCAGGGTCCAGTGCTGAAGGGCTGCAGTTGAGCCAGCAGTAAGGAAGCAGCCCCTGGTGTTTCCTGAGCAGGCACTGACAGGGTCGGGGCTGTGCTTTAGGAAGGTCACTTTGGCAGCCGTGAGGGAGGCAGGGAAATGGGGCAAGAGATGGCCAGGGCTTGAACAAGGTCGGTGACTGGCGAGTGGAGAGAAGGGGACAGCTGTGAGATGTGGGGGAGGTGATGCCGATGAGCCCTGGCGGCTGACTGGATGTTTGGGGCGAGGGGCGGGGAGGGTCGAGGACGGTCCCCATGTGGTGGTGCATGCGTGGAGATTGGTTCGGAGGAGGGGGTCCTGGGTTTGGGGGACAAAGATGAGTTCAGCCTCTGTTCAGGTCTGTTGAGTTTGAGGTGCCTGCGGGACAGCTGGCTCCAGATGTGCCGTGATCCATAACTGGGTCTCTGGACAGGTGGCCTCCTTTTGTTCTACAGTGATTTCATGAAGTCCTCTGCTGGGAAGGGAGAGGGAAAGGGCTCTTCGCCCCAGTACTCTCTCAGCACCTTCCTCTGTTCCCCTGGGCTTTCCTGGCATCTCAGTGCAGGCAAGACCCAGCTTTTCTGTCTGCTGGCAGTCCGCGCCACAACTTACCTTGGAGCCGTTTCAGATTGGATGCTCCATGGGCCTCTTAACCGCAGCCTGTCCAGAGCTGAGCTCATTCTCTGCCCTGCGCAACCCCCTCATCTTATCTGACCATTTAATTTTTCCCTCCTTTTTTTTATCTCAGTGAAGTAGTTGAGTAGAATTCCCCTTCCTCTCTTTCAGTTCATTGGTTTTTAAACTTTTGTTTACTGTGTTTTTCTAAAAAGAATTTTTCCCATTATTCTCCTTCCTTACATTCCCTTTCTATCCTAGCCTTTTATTCATTGATTCAGGGCCCTTACCCTTACTTAAGTCCTTTATTCTCTCCGTTCCTCTTGGGATTCGAAGTTTTGAGGTGCCTCTTTTGCTCCTCTCAGTGCCTTGTAGATGTTGACCTCTTGCCTCCTTTTTTCCTCTTAAGCTCACTCTCAAGAAATAGCGATTCCTACAGGTGATAAAGAGGATATTGCCCCATAGCAGGAATCTTCTTATGTCCTGTCACCTTTTCACCCCCACGCCCACCCGCTGTGATCCATGCACACTGCCCTGCCCTGGTTTTCCCTGGAGCAGGATGCTTCCTATCCTGGTCAGGCATTTTTCCTGGCTGCCGCTGATGCCTGGAATGCTCTCCCTACCTCCTGGCTTCCCTAGCTTCCTTCGAGTCCCAGCTAAAATCTCACCTACAGGAAGCCCTTGGTGCTTCATGTTACTTCTAGTGCCTTCCCTCCGTTGATGCTGCAGCCAGCTTAATTCTGCATAGTTGTTTGCATGTTGTCTCCGCCGTAAGACTGTGAGTTCCGGGAGAGCACCCAGCAAAATAGTGGTTATTTTAATAAGTGCTCACGGACTGACTGGTGCCTGAGTAATTGATCGCTGTGGAATTGTTAATTGTGACTGCGCTGCGTCCTGGAGCTGGCAGCACACGGTTTCTTTCGGGAGGCGTCCTGTGGACTCTGTCGCTCAGTTCTCGGTATTCTGTTCAGAAGTTCTGGGCAGTTGCTTTGTGCTGTTTCTTGCACTTTTGGTGTTCAGGCTTTTTGACTTGTGGTCTTTTGGGAGACCGATAATCCTGAAATTTTCTCTCCACGGTCGTTCTTTGAAATCTGTATGTTTTGCTTGTGTGGAGTCTTGCTTTCTTTTTGACATTACTCTCTTCTGCCTCTTTTCTTCCATGTTGTCCTTCACGTCTATGTATTTGTATTCCCAGTTCATTAATTCTGTCTTTTGTCTCTGGGTGAGACTCACCACCGTAGATTCAAGTTTTTCTGTTCTGCCAGTTATTTCTGCTGTGCAAGCCGTAAATTCTGTTTCATAATTCTAATTTATCTTTTTTTTTTCTTTTTTGGCTAGGCAGCGGGGTTAAGTGACTTGCCCAGCTAGTAAGCATCAAGTGTCTGAGGCTGGACTTGAACTCGGGTCCTCCTGACTCCAGGGCCGGTGCTCTACCCACTGCGCCCTCATTTATCTTTTAAACTATTCAGGAACGTGCCACAGTGGTTCCGTGCTCTCTTCAGAATCCGCAGAGCCCTCCACTGCGTCATTCGTTTGCCGTTGTCTTGCAGCAGTCAGTCATTTCTGTCTAGACTCTTTTCCCTGAGCTGCAGGCCGTATTTTCTTCTGCTGTCAGTATCCTTCCTGTTGGTTTGTCTGGTTATGTTCAAGGTCTTCCTCCTGAGCTCGCTCTTTGTTTTCCCGTGTTGCTCACTTTCTAATGCCTCTTGTTCCCTCCCCCAATTCCCCCTTTGACAGCTGTTAACCCTGGTAGTGGCAAGAGCTCAAGGGTATCTCAGCCTCTTCCCATGCTGGACAGTTCACTTGTCCCAAGCATTTTCCCTCAGGTTTAGTCTGGTGCCACACAGAGCCATTGATATGCATCAGTGTCTGGCTCCTGGATGTATTTGCAGCCCCAGCAAATTCCTGCCCTTTGGATCTGCAGCACTGGGAAGGGAGGTGGGGTGGGCTTGTGAGATAAGTCCATTGCAGGAGTGTGGGTCAGCTTGTGCAAGCCCCACTGCTTGGAGCCTGGGGACAAGAGGAGTTGAACGTGCTCGGGGTTAGCTGCTAATTTGCTTGGTTCATTGAAGTTTTTTGGCTTCTTCTTGTTCCAGATCATGAAGACAACTGCAGTTGCTTCAACTCTAGCACATAATTCCTAATTTGGAGAGGTTTGAGAGGTCTTGAGAATCATAGAAAAGCTTGTTGGCCACCTGGCCTTTGCTTAATCCTCATCTTTCTTGATCTCTCTACATCCCGTAAGACTATTACCCGTCCTCTTCTCTTTGATACTTTTCTTCTCTGAGATTTTCAGGATACTACTTTCTCCTGGTTCTTCTACCTGACAGCTCTTTTTAAGTCTTTGCTGGATCTTCATCCAAGTCATACCTGCTAACGGGAGTAGGGACGGAAAAAAGATGGGCAGGCCTTCTAAGGCCCTTTCCTTTTTTCAGACTTCTACATATTATAGGCAGACTAAGTTCTGAGTCTACATATAAGTAGTTAGCTTTCGATGCTGGCTTGTAGGTTATTAAATGTTCCTCTCTCTCTTTCTTTCTTTCCCTCTCCCCTTCCCTCTCTCCCCCCTCTCTCCTCTAGACATTTTACATTACACATCTATATAACATATTAAGTACTGTTTAACTGGATATTACATTCATAAAATTTTGTCTGTTCTCTGAAAGGCATTTCTAGTTCAGAGATTCCCATATCTTAAACTCTTTTGGAACAGAAGTAACTCTCACAGAGGTTCCCAAACTTATTTGATCTACTGCCCCCTTTCAAAAAAAAAATTACAGAACACCCCCTTGGAAATCTACTTTCTTTAACCCTTTAACAATTTTGTTTTTCTTTTTTAAATTTGTATCATTTCAAACTACTACTGCCCCCCTGGATCATTGCAGCGCCCCCAGGGGGCAGTATCACCCACCTTGGAAACTCACGCTAGAAACTTACCATTACTTTGCTGAATCCTTGGGACAGTTACAATTTTCTTTTCCTTAGGTTGTGTTTTAAAGAATAATTAGGTTAAGCAATGTGGATACCAGTGTTATAGGAATGGTATAACAGGAGTTTACATTTATCCTTTTCTTTGAAAGACCTGATAGTCCTTAAAATGTTTAATGCATTACTTTTTGTTCCCAAAATAAAAGTTTGTAAGATGTATAATCAGTGTGTGTGTGACTAGATAGGAACAGTGAGAATGTCCATGGTAGTACTCAGCAAAAATATGATTTATTTGTAGAACAGAACATGCAATCTTGTCTGACAGTTGGGAAAGTCATTGAGTTAAAGATAGTTGTCCCAGGGCATTTTTATCATCTAGACTTTCTTTGGAGAATTCTTCCTCTGATCTAATTAGACATGTTCTAAGCCTGTTCTCTGTATTTCAGGGAAAGACGTACAGAAAGGATCTTTGCTTTTTGATGACCTGCCTCCAGCTAGCAGTGCTGACTCAGGTACAGTCTTCAGGCTCTCCCAGGTGTGTGTCAACCTCTCTCCTCATCCTGGGATTGTAGTTGTCTCAATCTTTCTCCCTTTCCCCCATTTTCAACACACAGATGGGATAGGTGTTGGACTGTCTTAAGTTTTGAATCAGAGGCATCAGGTAAGGCAGACAATCAGCTTGTAGCTAGTAGCCAGCCCTGAGAAAATCTTGCCTAAGAAATACAAGCAGATTTCTCTGGTTCGTTCAGCAGCCACATTTGTTGTGCTGGTTAAAATGAAGTCGACTCTTTAAAGCTGATTTCTGTTTCTTTGACAATGATGCATTTCTCTAGGGTTGGTATCAGGTAAGTCCAGGGTCCTCCTGCTTCCGCCAGCGTCCCTGGTCTCAGGGCTGGTGCAACAGGGCTGTGAGTGGATGTCAGCTGGCTTGGGGGTGAGGTGTCCTGGCGGGGTGGACTTGGGACAAGAAGACCTTGGAAGGAGGCTTGTCTGTGACTCACTGGGGCTTCTGCTGTGTTTCAGGGTCAGGGGGATCTTTGCTTTTTGATGATCTTCCACCTGCTAGCAGTGGTGACTCAGGTAAGTGGGTGAAAAGAGGTTCAAGGCAGTGCTGTCTGTCCATAATACCTCGTTCACATTTTAGCCTTTCTTGCCAAAGATATTTCCGGCAACTTACAAACCACAGCATTGAAAGAGAAGAGATGAAAGCTCAAATTGAACAAAGTCCATTTCGCAGAAATAGAGTCAATGATACCTTCCTTGGGGTCTGTTCTCTGTCACACTCTGCTTTAAATAAACCCTTGGCATATAAATCTAAAGATCCTCAAATTCATTTTTTTCTATTTCTCTTTTTAATCTGTTATCCAGTTTGGCAAACATTGAATGAAACAGGAGCTTTGCTAGGTCCTGGGGGAAGAATAGGGCATTTAAGACTCATGGGACTTAACACCTTGCAGCAGGATTGTGGCGCACACCCAAGTGACTGTGATGCATGAAAGATGCCTTGAGAGGGGAAGGGAGCCGTGTGTTTTATAGCCTATGTTAGAGCAGGAGTGTCCCGGCCAGGTCAGTTAGGGATGGAAGACCACAGGGGAGCTGGCAGGTGCATTCAGTTTGTAAGGGTGAGTAGGAGATCGCAAGCTGTCTTTAGCGTGGCGTGAGCTGAGATAGCAAGGTGTTGGAGAAGAGCCAGAGGCAGCAAGGCTGGAGGGCCGGGAGTCTCTGTGCTGCTGCAGGAAGGAGCACAGGCGGTGAAGGGCTGCAGCTTGTTTAGGGAAGCGGACAGCAGGGCTCCTTATCCTGCAGGCGGCTAGGTTTCCTTAACGATTGGTATCCATCCACTCTGACGAGAAGAGAGTTCTCCCGGGTAACTGCACAGGCTTCCCCCAGCACACCTGGGCGTGCAGGGCTCCGCATCTTGCACTTGACATCTGCCAATTGGGATGTGGACTCGCGAGCCTCAGAAGGAGACGGAAGGGACTCTTTTCTTCTAAGGCTTCCCAGCACCCTAAGCTGCTTTTTCAGAAACCTACATGGTAAACAGGAAGCGGCAGTGATTCACAGTGGACCATTGCTGCCATGGAGCCCCGAGCACCGGGGCTGCCAGAGGTAGGGCCCTAGGAGCACCCGGCAACTTCACTACCCACAGGCTCCAGCCACAACATCCCCACCCTCCCATGGGGCACCGTGTGGGCCAGGGCAGAGAGAGCTCTGATGCAACTCCCTCTTCACTTCTGCAGGCTCAGTTTTCTCTTCTGTAAGTGGTGTAAAACTTTTGCAGATTAATTGTGAGATTCAAACAAGATTATCATGTGTGCTCAGTGCTTGGCAAAGCTCGAAGGGCCTTAGGACTAGCAGCTGTTGTGGTGTTACTGCCCGCTCAAGGGGAGGCTTCCCTCTCATCCCACTGGTTCTCCTGCACCTACGTTCAGCAGTACTCCTTGTAAGAGCGGTTGCTCCCACCTGACGATAGGTCACTGTTCCCCAGAGATCCCTACTCTGTTCCAGCAGGTAAAGCTGTGAGTGGAATTTCCCAGGGACAAAGGAATAGAAGAGAAAAGGGCCACAGGCAGAGCCCTGGGGAGCCCCCAGTGTTCTGACACCTTTGGAAGATGAGCTGGGAACTGGTAGAGGAAATGGGAGGAGAATCGAGAGGACCTGACATGTCTGCAGCTGAGAGAAGAGGTGACCCTTCAAAGGAGAAGCAGCGTCTGCTGCCCCGAAGGATCTGCGCAGAAAAGGCCCTTGGGTGTGTCTCTGGGGACATCATTTGTCACCTACAGAGTGCTGAGGTTTGAAGAAGATTGCAAGAGGATGAAAGCAAGTGATGAAAAAGTGGAAATGCTGGTCATAGACCCTTTTCTCTAGATATTTTAAATGGGAGGAAAGAAATGAGACAGCTTGCTGGAGTGAGTGAGTTGGGGGGCAGGAAGTGAGTTTTAGGCTTGGGGAGAGAGATGTGATGAGTGCCTGAGAGGATGATTACCTGGGCAGTTTTGTAGGTCATCGTAAAGGAGCTGATGGAAAGGGACAGATCGGAGATGAGGTGGGGAGAGAATGATCTCTGCGGCAAACTCCGAGAAGGACATTGGAGCAGACGGGGATTAGCTGTGGCAAGGAGGAGGCCCACCTCTTCCCAATGGACAGCCCAAAATGGTAATGCTAACAATAGCTAAAGTTTAGATAGTGCTTGTGTGCCAGGTACTGTGCTAATAAGCATTTTATAGTTATCTCGTTTGGTCCTTAAAATGACCCTGGGAGGCAGCTGCTTTTATTATCCTCACTTTACAGAGGAGGAGACTAGGCAAACATGGTTAAGTGACTTGCCCAGGGTCTTATAGCTACTAAGTGTCTGAGGCTAGATTTGAACTCAGGTCCTCTTGACTGTAGGCCTGGCGCTCTAACCACTGCTGTGATAGGTTTTGAACTGTAAGTTGGAGAGGAAGGTCCTCATGACTAATATCTTTAGCACATTTATGGGCAGTGGTTAAAATCTTAGGTGGCAGTTCTCAAACTCTTTGGTCTCAGAATCCTTTTATACTCATCAATTATTGAGGACCCCTCCCAAGAACTTTTGTTTATGTCGATTATATCTATCAGTATCTACTACGTTAGATATTAACATGACGTTAAATATTATTAGGAAAATAATTTTGGCCTTGCGGACCCCCTAAAAGGGTCTTGGAGTCCCCAGGGGTCCTCACACCACACTTTGAAAGCCACCCTTGTAATCAAACATGTAAACTTTTTTGGGTTACTGCGTGGTAGGAAAGATGGAGGTCAGAGAGGGTATTTTACATGGGTAGAAGTCCCTGCAGCATGATGACAGGCATAGAAAGAGTGTGCCAGGCACTGAATTCTGTGAGTAAGGAGGGAGATTGGCATGAAGGCTGATGTATTGTCAACAAAGATCAGAATGCAGCGATGTGGAAGGATAGAGGGAACACTCAAGAGTGTTGGACAGTGATGGGTAGCAGAAGGGAGCACCCTGGGTCAGGCAGTCGTCCTCCTCACCCAGCATGTGTCAGGGCCCGAGAAACAGAGAATGGTACCCTCTGGAAAGTGGTCAGAAACACAGCGTCTCCTGGGAGGAGAAGCCAAGCTTCTGTGGACATCCAGAGGTGGTTGGTTTGAGCTGAAGGCAGCTTGGTCAGCAAGAGGCCCAGAGAGTGCCGAAGACGTAGTGGAAAGGAAGAGAAGAGGAAGAGACAGGCTATGGGGGCAGGGTGTAGGTGAGTGACACTGAGTGTAGGGAGGAGTAGCCAGGAGACAGAAATGGATGGAGGGAGAGGGAGGGCAGCTGCGGACTGGTCCAGCTGAGTCTAGCCCCTAAAGGGGACACGTGTATTCAGATTGGCACTTTCAAAGTTATACTGATGTATAATATGGTAAATAGTGGAAACAGGCAGTGCAAATTTAAGTAATGCCATGTTTGTACCTGCATCCCTCAGTGGTAAGGATTTGGTCATTGAGTCACTGCTCACATAATTCCGATGTTATTGAAGAAGAGAAAACATACTGAAAATCCAGTTTGGGGGAATATGGCTTAGTCTAAGATCTTTGTAGTCTAAACAGTCTTTGATCAGCAAAGTTGGATCCCTCTGAAGTCCCTTGTCCTCCAGGTGCCTAGAGTCTGGTAATGGGGGGAAAGGGCACCCAGACGGGGGGGGGGGGGGGGGGGGGGGGGGGGGGGGGGGGGCAGCCTTAGGGCTCATTCTGCAGGCGCAGGAAGAAAGCTTTCTTCCCAGCACTGCCCCTTGTGGCCAGTAGGAGGTTAGACAAGTGTCTTTACCTCATGGGGCCTATTTCCTCATCTTAAAGGAAGTGGGCTGAGCTCATTGGAGAAGGGGACAGAACCCCAGCTCTGTGACCCTGGGCTCATCCCTTCACTGATCTGTGCCTGCCTCTGTTTCCACATCTGGAAAATGAGGGGATTTGGCTCAGTAACCTCTGAATTGCTGATCTTTAAGGAGCCTTCTCTGTCGAAGTCCATGAGAAGGAACTAAGAATGTCTTAGGAATAGCCCCGGAACACGGCCCTTCAGTTCATCTGCGTTTGTCCGTGTATCACACAGCCCTTCGGTCAAAGCTTGGCCGTTTGCCAGTGAGCATATCTCCAGCTAAGGAAAGAATAATAGTTCCTATTGTAATAGCTAACATTTCTATAGCAAAGCATTCTACAAATGGTATCTCGTGAGCCTCACAACAGCCCTGGGAGGGAAGTACTGTTGTGACTCCCATTTTACAGATGAAGCAGAGGTGAAGTGTCACACAAGGTAGTGTGTGTGACTGAGGCTGGATTTGAACTCGGGTCTTCTGACTTCAGGTCTAAAGCTCCATCTGCTGCTGAGCCCTGAGCTGCCATTTTGAATTTTCTGGACCATTAACACTGACTTAAAGTAGTTGTTGCTTAAAACATGTAAGAAAAGTTCTTCATACTGAGCAGTGTTTCTGCACTTTGGCTTTAAATGGTCCTTGGGTTTTTTTTTTCTGAATTGATTAAAATCTGTCTGTTCATTTATCAGTTTCTGGAAATCTGCCAAATTAAGATAGGCATGTGTTTGCCTTCGAAGGTGCACGTGTGTCATTGTAGCTTGTGTGTGTATAGATACTCGTGTCACAGCATTCGGCTGCCTAATCTCAACGTCGGTCTTGGTGACCGAGGAAATAATCACTTTGCCTGTGGTCTCTTCCACGCTAGGTGTGCGTGTGTGGCTTGAAGTGACCGCTGTTTGTTTTGAAGTAGAAACCACCGTGGTGCCAGTCTTGTTTGGCAGTTCTCCTTTTCACCTTTGCTTGACCAAGTTCCCTGTGTTCGTTGGCTGGTCTGTCTGCAGGTGCCCAGGTGGCCATCCCTGCCATTTGAAGTGGTCCGTCCTCTGCTTTTCTTCTAGGTTCACCTGCCTCTCAAGTGTCCCAGGGACTGAAGAATGATGGGAAAGGAGCGAAACGGAAAACTATGGAGGAGGAGAAGAATGGGAGTGAAGAGCTTGTGGAAAAGAAAGTTTGTAAAGGTTTTCAGACAGTTTGAAAACAAATGTATTAGATGTTATGCCTCACTAGCCCAGGGAGTGGGAGAAGCAGCTCCAGTTGTCCGCTGTTCATTTCTGTCCCTAGGGGTGTGTTCTTTATGCATAGAGCATATCTCCTTTTAGTTTGTTTTTCTTATTTCCTTTTCCTTTGACCTCTCTTGGGTTCGCCTGGAAGACTTCATATGTAGCAGAACCCTAAGCCAGTGTATTTTCCATCCAGATTGAGGAAGTGATGATCCCATTTGTGAATTTCCAGATTTCTCTTCTGTTTCTCTCTCAAAATGCCCATTTTCCATCTCTTCCACTCCCCATCTCCTGAGTATGTCCAAGGCTGGGGAATGGAGATAAAGGTGGACAGTTTTGTCCTTTGGTGTCAATTTTGATCAAGGTTTGGGTGGGGAAGATGAATGAGAGGTACTGAAGAGTCTGTGGATGTGCACACACTCTCCACAGTTACTGTTGTTTGCCCGTGAAGTATCTGGGCTCGGCATAGTTACACAGCTTGAGAGGAGAGAAAAAGAGCTTGGAGCTTCTGAACTACCCAAGAAAGACTGCTGTGTAATTTGTATGAGAGGGTGAACCCCCACCTGCTCCCCCACTCCCTCCACCCCCTGCCAGAGAGTGCTGCCGACTGCAGAGCCACATGGGTGGGCTGTGGCCCCCTTAGCCAGGCACCGCTGTAGACAAAAGCCACTCAAGCCAGTACTTCTGCTGTTGGTTTTAGAAAGTTTCAGAAGTTGGGGATTTATCATTGTTGACTTTTTTTAGCCAAATTCAGATGTAGAAATAACTATTTGTCTAATGGGCTTTAATGAAAAGGAATTTTTGACAAGCTGAACTGGTCTTTCCTTGCCCTGTGTTGGGCTTGTGAATCATAACGAGACCTGAGCTGAAGGAGAAAAGCTCCTTCCTTTGGATGGATTGAAGGCAGTGCCTCAGGACTGATGGGTCTTCCGTCCACCCGGATAATGCCTGAGGTGTCCCCCCCCCCCCCGGACCCAGCAGAGATGTGAGCCAGTGCAGCCAGCATGCAGGGGATTGTTGAGTGAAGTGCTTCGAGGTGGGGCTTCTGAAAGAAGAACTTGGCCGCTTTCATGTTGTTTTCTTCCTCAGATTCCTCGGTGATCTTTGGCCTTAAAGGTTACGTGGCAGAGAGGAAAGGAGAAAGGGAAGAGATGCAGGATGCCCACGTGATCTTGAATGACATCACAGAGGAGTGTAAGCCCCTGTCTCCTCTGATGTGAGTACCCTCGGCTCGCAAAGGGGGTGGGGGTGGGGGGCTACCACCGGGACCGCTCCCACCCTCCAGAGGAGGAAAGGGGACTCGGAAGGATCAAGTGGCTCATCCGTGGTCATGGGCACTGGAGTGGTGACGCTGTGCCCTAAACCCTAAAGGTCTGATGTCGTCCACGTGGTCTTCTTCTCCTCCTTCCCCCCCCCCAGCCCCCGGCAGCCTTCCTGCTGGTCTCCTGCTGGCAGAGCGCCGGCCATGTGCCTTTTACCTCTCTTGCCAAGTGACCAGCCCACCTTCTTTCTCCGCCTTCCGTTCCCTGGTGGACTTCAGCCATGGCCTCTTCTTCAGAGGTCTGTGACGTTTCTCACACCCTCCGTGCATGCACCTTGCCGTCAGCCTCTGTGCTGTGCTGCTCTCAGATTCTGTGCTGTTGGTTGGCGTCCAGGCCTGCTGCACACGGAAGCTCCAGTCAGATGGTAGTATGGAAGAGGTGGGCTTTGATTTCCTCTGCGGCCAGTTCAGGACCTGTTCTGGCCTGCTCTCCTCTGCCGCCACCTCCTCCTCCTTTTAAACTCGGGGCAGAGCTCACGTCCACGTGATTCCATCCATGATGGACGTCCTGATGGAGAAGCTCCCCGGGGTGCCCATCCGAATGCACATTGAAATCTGGGTGGAAGCGTCCTTGGTGGCTTACGGATTTAGAGCTCCAGGAGGGGGTGGGGAGGCTTTCAAGTCCAGTTCTAACTTATCTGATGGAGAAGAAGTGACGGGATTTGCCCAAGGTCACCCAGCTAGTGTTAGCGGCAGGCCTCAAGCCTGGAGCTTCCTGGACCCAGGCTTAGCACTCAGCCCGCTGCACTGCACTGCTGGTCTTTCCTGGGTATTTGAACAGACCAAACTCCTTCGAGCAGTTGGAGAGCACGGGCGCCTGCAGTCGTCAGCATGATATCATCCGCAGACAGGAGCATGTGGAAGACCTCGTCTTCCTGCACAGGAAATCCCTCCCCTTGATCTCTGCTTGGGGCTGGGTCTCCCCTCTTGTGGTGGTGGGTACCTTTCACAGGCCTGCACCTCCAAGTTGTGTGCCTTTTCTGGAATTCATAATCAAAGGGCCGTGGAGCAGTTACTGCTGTTGTTAGATCTTAGGAGCCCGTAGTGGTCTAGACGGGTGGGAGGGAAACAGCTTTTCTGTAAAAGGTCCCATAAAGTGGCTCTTTCCTCTTTGAAATCCACTGCCCTTTCATAATCCACACGTAGTATGTGTGATGTTTTCTACACATTTCAGTTAATTGAGAAATTAGAACGATCTGGTCTGATGTTGACTGTCAGTTGTGGATGCCTGCTTGCTCCTCATTAATACCTTCGTCAGTTTCCTTTGATTCTTCTGTAGATTTTGTGTAGAGCAGAGAACAGATACGCAGGTTGGTCATCATCATTCTGTGGAGCTAAATAAGCCCCAAGATTTCTGCCCCATCTGTGGTAGGCTTCCCTCCTTACGCCGCCCTGTGCTTTGGCCTCTCCACACCCTCGTGTGCATCTCTCGTCCAGTTTGAATGCTCTTCTCTGTGTTCCCTCGAGTGCCGTTTCTACTTCCAGGGGCACCTCAGGGCCAAATGAGGTGGTTCCACCATCTTTGATGGAAAAAACAGTTTGTTGAAATGGCTTGTCTGACTGTCTCTTTGTCTTCTGTCCACTCTCCTTTTTCCCTCTTCATCTTGGAATGTCATTGGGATGACTTTGCTTTGTTGACTTTGTAGCCAAACTTTCCTGAGACTGGTTTTACCACATTCTGATGCTTCTCTGCCTCACGAGACAATTTTGCTAATACTTATGTGGAAAATTTTACTTATGAGTTGCTATTGTGACTCAGTATTACCTTTCGCTGCCATTTCTATCCTTTTGTAAGGGAGATTTACTGTAAGGAAGCCAGGTTAAGCTGCTTTGTGGGTGCTTCTGGTCTTAGGCAGTTAGCTTATATTGGTTAAACTTCTGAGTGAAATTGTTTCACTTACTATCAGTTCTTTTGTCCATTTCCCTTTTTTTAGTTACTTGTTTAAATAATTTTGTATTGACCTATTTAATTGTGAGCCCCATCTTTTGCTCATTATTATTCTTTTTCACCCAGGAGAAATGAGTTGTCACACCTGAAAACAAGTCTTCTGGTTTTATCTCATCAGGAGCCAGGACTTACTATTCATAATTAACCATAATTTTGTCAGGGAATAGTTTCATGTTAAAACCTGAAAGGGACAGTAGAAGTCATTCGTTGTATTAATGAACGATGATAAATTGAGAAATATTGCCAATACCCATGAAGGGCACAAATGATAAAGAGATCGAAGAAAAGAAAGGTGCAGGCTCAAGCTCTTCCCAGAAAAAGAAATCAGAAAGTAGAATATAGAAGTCGATACAGGATTCTGTAGTAACCTTTGAAGATGTATATTTTTGGGGTCCCTTGTGAAAAGGCCCTTAGACTAAAGTGCATCTCTGAGTACTAGATTCTTGAATTTAACATCTTGGTATTCATGTATCTAAATGAAAGTCACTCCCTGCCAAGTAATCTCCTTAGAAGGCAGTACACTTCAACAAAGTGCAGCTGCTCAGAAGCTGGGGTGAGGGGATTGGGGGGATGGAGAAATTTCTTTAGAAAAACCCTTCAGAGCTGGTGATGCATTCTTTGGAATATCTCAGTCTTGCAAAGTCTCAACCCTTTCAAAGTTGCTTTGATTTTTGGAAACCCTTGGAAATCAGTTAATCCCAGTTAAATCTAATACAGGGTTCCTTAACTTTAATTCGTAGGGGATCTTTAGGTAAATTTCATGGGATTCCGGGGACTTGGGTGGGGGAAAAAAGGTACATCATTATTTTACTGAATTCTAACTAGAATTTAACTTTCCCTTCAATTATCAGTGTAGGGGGGAAAAAAACACATTCTATAGTGTTACTGCACTACCCAAGGTTTCTATGACATAAAAGAGACCTTGGCCTGATAAGCAGTACAGACGATCTTGCCATAGAATGTGGCTTGGAGTTTTAGGAGGATGGGTTTTCTGATATGGCTTGGCTGGCTCTGTAGGAACTTCCAAAAGGAGGTACCCCGGTGTCTTTGGGGTAACCTCATAAGAGGGCTGTGGAGAAGAACAGGGCGTGGCCAGTACCTGAAGTGGTGGTCAGTGCCCCAGAAGAGCTTTGACATCATCAGCGCCACGCTCCCTCCGGTGTCAGGGGCCATGGGCCTTCTCTCCCCAGGCAGTTACATGAGCGCTGGGGCCAGGCTTCTCCGAATGTGGCGGGGTGGTCCTGAAAGCCTCGGAGCCCATACCCAGCCTGAGCTCAGAGCCTTTTCCCCGGGGTAGGGGGAGGAATCCATAGATATGGATAAGTCAGTACAAAAATACGTATAAGTGAGATACAGCTTAACTTCTGGTGAGCCTGACACAAGCAGCTGGGGGAATGAGGATGGGCCTCGTGGAACAGGTGGCAGCTGAGCTTGTTCCACGCCTCTGCCTCCTGGCTTCCTTTAAGATTCGGCTGAAATCCCACCTGGTTCCCCCACCTGCCCTCACCCCTGTCCCCCATGGCTAGTGCCTTCCCTCTGGGATGACCTGTCTTCTCCACTGTACAGATCTTGCTTGTACGTAATTGTTGGCATGTCGTCTCCTCCCTTTCTTTCTTTCTCTTGTGCTAAGCCCAGGGTCTGGCGTGTAGAAAGTGTTTAACCAATGCTTATTGACTGACTGAACTTATCGGAGTCTTGAGGGGAGCCAGGGCCTGTGAAGGGTGTACATTCAGGCCTGGAGATGAGGGTTGGGATGTCATGTGTGAGCACGCCATGAAGGCCAGTGTAGCTGCACCATCCTTTGTGTGTGAGATGAGCCTGGAGAGGTCTGGTCAGAGCCAGATTGAGAAGGCCACACAGAGGAGTTTGTGTTTTTGTCCTGAAGCTTCTCCAGCCCAGGAGGGATATGGCCTGGGCCTGTGCTTTAGGAAGATCAGTTTGGCAGCTGGCAAAGTCTAGACTGGAGGCTGTGACAATTCGAGAGACGTGGAGATGGCACGTGATGGCAGCAGGAGGGGCACGGGGCACCAGGCACCAGAGAGTCAGAAGTGGTGTCCGAGCTTTGAACTTGCCTTACTGGAAAGACAAGGAATCAGGGAGAGCTTAGGGGGAAAGACGTGTTCTGTTTTAGACCTGTGGTTACCACATGAGCCATGATGCAGAGCTGAGGCTCAGCAGAGACCTGGAATGAGAGGCCAGCTCACCCCTGGGAGCCAACGAGATCCCAGAGAGAAAGGAGGAGGGGCCAGGACAGGGCGCATGGAGGTGGGACACAAGTGATGACCCAGCAGAAGCGCAAGGGGGAGTGACGTCACGAAGCCCGGGGAGCTGAAGAAACCGTCTGAAGTGGTGATCCTGCCTGTGTTGTCTGCCGAGTGCTTGGAAACCTGAGAGCCCTGATGGACGTCCTCACCAAGGAGCAGGTGGAAGCTCAGGAAGCTGAAGGACGTGCCCATGGTCCCACCTTCATGCGGGTCAGAGGCAAGCTTCAGACCAGCTCTTCTGGCACCAGGGCTCCGTCTTTGGAAGCCTAGGAAGTCGAGGCCCTTCTGAGCTCTGCTCATTTCTCACTGCTTCGGATCAGCCTGGATTTCATGCAGCTGCTTGATTTTCCCATTGTAATCTCAAGGCCCTGTGAGCCTCAGGGTCCTCTTATGTAAAATGTGGATAGGAGCATTGCAAAGAGCTACCCTAAACAGTCAGTGTTCCTTAAAACAACAATCCCAAACCTGCTTTACAAAGTTGTTTTAAAGTTTAGTGAAGCTGATTCTTCGTCTCTGAGACATTTTCTATTTTAGACTGATGGCTTTCCTTAAAATATAAAATAGATGGAATGAGAAAGGGAGAACCGGGCCCAGAGGTGCCCTGCGGCCCGACCACGAACAACTCAGGCCTTAACTTCTCTGTCCGTGTGCTTGGTTCCTTTCCCGACAGCTCTCGGGTTTCCTATTTTGCTGTTTTCGATGGGCATGGAGGAGTCCGGGCCTCCAAGTTTGCTGCTCAGAATTTGCATCAGAACCTAATCAGGAAATTTCCTAAAGGTAAGTGAGCTCTAGGTGATTCCTCTTTCCCTTCATTAGTGTAGAAAGATCTGTCATTTTGAGAGGATGTGGGGGATTCCCTCATGGTGGGGGCAGTAGGGGCCGTGTTGCTGAACATGAGTCTCGGGACAGGTATAGAGGTAGTTGTCATTAAGACTGTACCCATGTGACCAGCAAGATGGAGGGTTAGACACTTGCTGACCCTGCCAACCCCTCCAGTCTCTGCAAAATCAGAATTATGTGCACGAGATGAAGCAGTTTTCAGCTGCCTCTGCAGTCAGAAGATCTTGTTAGGGAATGGCTCAGTGAACTGACAGCAGAGAAAGCTAATCCCTAATGAGATCCCTCCACCTCCCTCTAGGCCGCCACAGTATGGCAGGGCTGCACAAGCTGACCCACAGGCTTACAATAACTCTGCTCTGCCTACCACACTCCCTCCATTCACAGGGGAGTGCCAAATGCAGAAGCTTACTCTGTGCTTCCCAGAACTCGGCCAGAAAACTCAGGAACAGGGAGATGGGATGGGGCACCTACTGTATGTTGGGTTATGCGGTCACTTAGGGCAGAGGAGGATGCTGGAGAAACTCAGTGGTGTGGGAGGAGGCCCAGCTTCCAGGGACCACTGTGAATGGGGAAGGAGTTAGAAAGTGAGTGATGGGGAAATGAGGAGAAAAGGTTGCAGTCCCCTGAGATCGCAGGAGAAAGAAAACTCGGTTAAAGGCATGAAGCATAAGCAGATAAGCGAGTAGGAAAGAGAACCAGTAACAGAAGGCGTCAGGTCTTCCAGATCAGCTGGAGTCAGATATTGATGGATCGGTATCCAGCACAAAGGAAAATGACTCAACACCCGGGGACACAGAAGGCCTTGGGGATTCCGCCAGCAGGAAGGCAGAACTCGTGGTCGCACGGCAGAAGTAACTGGCAGAGCAGAATACCTTTCATCAACAGCAGCCAACGTCAGGAGAGGAACAAAAGGAGAATGACTGCTAGGGATGCAGAGTATAGCAAAGTGAAGGACGGTCTGGAAAGAGCAGGAAGAGATGCTTACTGTGTGTGCAAAGCCTGCCAGTCTCAAAGCAGGGTGCATGGGAACAGTACACCCCCATGGAAGAAAATTTCCCAGGACTCCAGAACCCAGAAGAAACTGTCGATCCAGTGGGTCTATGTGTCTCCTGATGAAGCTGCTCCTGAATGTTGGAGCAGCGTCTATTCTGAATTGATGTGAACTCGCCTGGGCTTTGGGCAGTTAGATGATGCCATGAGGAATCATGAGGCCCGATCCCAGGATGTGAGCCTTCAGCTGACGAAGGCACTCTGAATTCTCAGGCGAGGTGTTTAGGCTTCTTTCCCCCATTCTTCCTGGTACATCTCTACCCTGTTGAAAAAGGGAACTAGAATGTTGTTCAGAGGGAGCCTCCCTCTCTCCCCCAGAGTTTGATTGGGTGATGTCCTTCTGTGACAGGAGAGGTGATCAGTGTGGAGAAGACTGTGAAGAGGTGCCTTCTGGACACTTTCAAGCACACTGATGAGGAGTTCCTCAAGCAGGCCTCCAGCCAGTGAGTATGGCAGGCCCAGCCGGGAGTGTGGCTCGTCCATGGCTGGTTCTGCCCGTTAGCCGGACCTACACACGTGAGGGCTGAGGGAGTTACCGAGAAAAGTGGGATGACTGCATCTTTCTCTTTCTCCACAGGAAGCCTGCCTGGAAGGACGGTTCCACAGCCACGTGTGTCCTCGCCGTAGACAACGTCCTCTATATCGCCAACTTGGGAGACAGCCGGGTAAAGTGGCTCTGAACCCTCGTCGTCCCTGCCCCGGGAGCTCAGAGCACAGCTCCTGACTCAGTCGGGCCGAGGCCCTTCACGTGTGGTCAGCACTAGGGGAGGGGAGCCGGCTGGCCGGCCTCTTGATCCAAACCCCCTTGGTTTTCCCAATGGGATTTCTCCCTTGAGAAAACCTGAGACTCCACAATAGTGGGGCCAGAAGCTGCTTGTTGTGCACAGTTCTTACAGTTAGTTTGAGCTCTAGTTGGGGCTGCTGACCATGATTTTGTGACACACTAAGCTTCCACAGCAGTGTGACGTGGACACAGTGGTAGCTGGCGTCTCTGTGGCATTGTGAGAGCAGCAAAGCACTCTGCACACGGGGGCTCATTGATCTCAGAACAGCTCTGTGAGGAAGGAGCTGCTGTTACTATTCCCATCTTACAGATGACAGAACTGAGGCCAGGAAAGGTTAGGGTCTGACAGCCTGAAAGTGTTAGAGGTCCTCCAGTACAGTGCCCTGGACCACCTGAAAATGGACAGGCCTCCACCATGTAGCATCACCTCACGTTTGACGCACATTTTTCTGTTTGGTCTCTTGAGCTTGGGTTGATTTCCTGGGATTTGAGGGAGGGGAAAGTGTTCCCCTGGTGGCTGGCCACTGCTCCTGTGGGGTTCCGAGGGGTTCTGTGGGACGCGTCAGCTGCTCTCAACGGTTCTCTTGCCCCGTGTAGGCGATCTTGTGCCGCTATAATGAAGAGAGTCACAGACACGCAGCCTTAAGCCTCAGCAAAGAGCACAACCCCACCCAGTATGAGGAGCGGATGCGGATACAGAAAGCAGGAGGAAACGTCAGGTAAAGAAACACTGCGAGGGTCCCGAAGTGAGTGGGAGAGCTCGCGGTGGGTGGCGGTGGCTGGCTAGCCAGCGTGGTGTTGGGCCTCGCTCTGCAGCCCCAGGAGAGACTGCGGGGTAGGCGTCAGGTCATGGGGAGCTGCAGCTGGGTCGGCCCAGCAATGGGAGGAGGAAAAGAGGCTGCCCCAGAGACAGGTGCTGTCCGATGTCCCTGTGAGCGGTCTGTGCTCTTGGGAGAGTGAGGGACAGGGAGACTGGTGTCCTGCCGCGGTCTGCCTGCACACGCGCAGGGTCCCAGGAGGTGTGGGAAGTTGGTCACTCCCAGTGTCAGTGGCCAGGTCGGGTGTTAAGAGGGTGTTAGTCATCAGCGGATACAAATATGTGGGCATCAATGTCAAAGAACAGCAGAGGTCGTGGGGGAGCTGACGTCTGGTGTATACATCTTGGCTCTCTTTAAGTGCCTGTTACATTTAATGTTGTCCTGTTCATGTCCCTTCCTGAGTTTTTGGTTTCCTCCTGTGTATTGTTTTGTTCTCTGTGTCCTTGTCTTTTCTTATTCTCTCTCACTCCCCTGGAAGGCCTCCCTTGTAACAACTAGAGTCCAGCAAACACAGTGGCCCCTAGAGCACATCTGATGCCCACCCCTCTTTGTCTCCCCTCTAGTCTCTGCCCAGGTTGGCGGCAGGGGCCGGGCCTGTCTTCCCCCATCTCCTGCACCAGCTCATTTTGCTTCCTGAACTCCATATGCATCTTCCCAGCTTTATCTAGATTAATCTGAACGATTTCACTCATCCCAGCACAAACCCGACAGAAGCCCCTCCTCATACTGTGCTCTGCATCTTGGCCGGTGTGTGGGTGTGTGTGCGTTCTCTGTCGTCTGCAGGCCTCAGGCCTGCTCCCTCCGCCTCTGACCTCCTCCTGGGGTTCTCCTGTGGCCTGAACTCATCCTGGGTCCCGTTGGTCAGATCTTTCCCCTGAAGGAAAGATCCAGATAATCTTGGCCCAGGCCCCAAAGGGCCTCCTGGGTAGTAGGCTGGGGCTCTATGACGCCTTTGGAAAGCAACATTCTGCCTTTTTCTCTTCCATATCATTGGTTCCCATGTGGTGCCTTTGTTTATCACCCGCCAGCATGGCCGGGAGGCTGGGCATTGCCTCTCTAGGGAGCCACAGTGTTATCAATTCTCCAGAAGGACTCGGTGGCCCCTGGTGGCCACGCGAGCCATGTTCTCTGCTGGAGATAAGAGAGAACGTGGAGTCTGGGGGAGTCGCTGACTCCTCTGCATCTCCAGGACTGAGGCCTTTCAGGATCTTCCTGAGCTAGTTGTGAGTGGCCCAGGCTGCACAGGCCTTGGGAGGGGAGGGGCTGAGGCCTCACAAAGCCTCCACAGAGTGGAAGCTCCTGCACGAGGGGCAGGCTCCAGTTAATGCAGTTGTACCCCTGGTGCTGGCCGCCCCTGGACAGCTGCTCACTGATTGATCGGTGTCTGAAGCAGTCCCTTTAGGAGGCCGAGCATCCAGGACTGGCTCCGGGATGGCCTAGCTCCACTCTTAGGCCCCCCACTGCTGCAGCTCCCTCCCCAGTGATGCAGAGGTCCTGCCCCTAAGATGTCAGGTCTCAGTTCAGCCTCCACCGAGTCAGCGTGCCGGCCAAGGTTAGCCTGAACTTCCCCTAAACAGCTTTGAAGTTTAGAATAGTTCTCTGAAAGTCACTGCCTCCACGAGCCTGAAAGCAGTGCATGCTGGTGGAAGTCAGTGCCCATTCCAGTGCTCTGGCTAATTCGGTGGCAAGTCTTGCTTGCAGGCCCTTCGCAGATTGTAGCCAGGTGTTAATGGGATCCTGTTTGCCCTGGGAAGGCACCAGAAAGCTAGTTCAGCCCTTCACTTCACCTGGTCATCGGGTCACTTGCCAGAGGTCACCAGAGAAGTTAGTTCATTTCAGAGCCAGAATTAGAAACCAAGTCACCTGATTCTTTTCGTTAGACCATACTGTCTTATGCAGTATTTCAGTCTTGACATTTTTATTAATTGTCCTAAGGTTCATTTTGTTTATACTTTGGGTATTTAAGCGCACTTGGATTTTAAATTTTACATTTGGGTAAGTGTGCAAAGCTCTTTAAACATTTGGGGAGGAAATGGGGAAAAATGGCCACAGCTGCTACTTTCACACCTGCTCCGTGGCTCACTCAGCGAGCTTCCACCCAAACGGAGAGTTCACAGATTTGGCCAAAGGCCAACTTTCTTTTCCTCCCTCTCCCTCTGCCCCCTCCTCCCTAAGACAGTGTGCAATCTGATATAATTACATAAACTATTTCCATGTTGTGAAGAAGAATTTGAACCAAAGGGGAAAACCACAAGAATAAAGAAAGAAAAAAAATAGTCTGCTTCCATCTGCATTCAGACTCCGTAGTTCTTTCTCTGGATGGAAGCATTTTCCATCATGAGTCTTTTGGAGATGTCTTAGGTCTTTGCATTGCCGAGAAGGCTAAGTCTATCAATGTTAGTCATCGCACAACGTGGCTGTTATTGTGTGTAATGTCCTCTTGGGTCTACTCACTTCACTCAGCATCAGACCATACAGGTCTTTCCAGGTTTTTCTGAAATCGGTCTGTTCATCATTTCTTACAGCACAGTAGTATTCCATTGCATTCATATCCCACAACTTGCTCAGCCATCCTCTCAATTTCCCATTCTTTGCCACCGCAAAAAGAGCTGCTATAAATACTTTTGTACGTGTGGGTCCTTTTCCCGTTTGTGTGATCTCCTTGGGATGCAGCCCTGGAAGTGCTATTGCTGGGTTAAAGGGCATGGACAGTTTCATAGCCCTTGGGGTATTGTTCCAAATTGTTCTGGATCAATTCACATCTACACCAACAATGCATCAGTGTTCCAGTTTTCCCACATTTTCTGCAACATTTATCCAAACACCAACTTTCTGATGAGCTGATAATAGTGAGCATTTCTAAAGCGCTTTACAAGTACCTTATTTTTTCCACATAGTAACTCTGGGAGGTAGGTGCTGTTATCCCCATTTTACAAATGAGGGAACTGAGGCGAGCAGCAGTGAGACTTGCCCAGGGTCACCCAGCTGGGCTATGCTCAGCTCTTCCTCACCACCTCACTGCCAAAAGGGGGTGGTGGTATACCTGTGAACCTGAAGATTTGCCAACAGAGCTGCCCCATTCACCTGTGAGAGTGAGCTTTGTCCCTGCCCGTGCATGTGTTTATGTATGAGAGAAGGTGCCATAAGACAGGGTTATGGGAGGCTGACCTCTTGACCCTGATACAGATGGGGACCAGCTTCCATCATCTGTAGATTGGACCGTCATGGCTGAGAGCAGCTGTGATGTAGAGAACGGATTTGTCCATTTCCGTTTGCAGTGTGCTTTACAGACACTACTGCATTGGATACTGTAGGTTTCATCTCCATCTTGTGGATGTAGCCGGTGTCTGAAACAGGATTTGAACCCAGCCCCTGATTCCACATCCAGATCACATCCACAACTCCTGAATGGCTTCACTAAGAATGATACCAAGCAGCATGCATTTAAATGCTTGACTGTAAGACGAAGGATGACATGGTCCCTGCTCCCCAGAAGCTTACATTCTAAGGGGAGAGGCCCCAGTCCCTTAGATAAATAAACCCTCCCCAGTGGTCGGTGCCCCAGGCATGCTAGGAGACGTTGCGCCAGCAGAACATGGCATCTACACAATTAGCTTGTGTCTTTTCTCCCGGGCAGTTTTTTCCCATCCTGCCCTTCTTCATGCAGGACTTGGGCGCCCTAGAATTGTTTCCCCAAAGGTGTGTGCACTGAGGTAAGGCATCCTCCAGGTGTGTTAGGCAGAAGCCTCCTGACGGAGGCCTGTTCTAGAGGCTCTGCAGGGTCAGCACAAGGTCACCTGGAAGCCTGCAAGGGATCCTGGGAAGGCAGGTGGCTCTGGTGGGCAGAGCCTAAGGACAGTGTCCGTAGTGGCTTTCAGGGAGGGGAGGGGCTCGTGGCTGACTGCCTCCGGTACTCTTCTAGTAGACAGAAAACGAACACCGTGGGACCTTGGGATCTGGCTGCCTCCTTCTCCCCTTCTCACATCCTCCCCAGTGCTGGGGAGGCCATTCTCATACAGAGGTGGCAGAGAGGGAAGAGGCAACGTGTGGCTCATTGGTCATATCTCGGCTAAGAACTCTGGTGGTTTTTCCTAAGTGCTCGGTAGCCTCTTCTCTTTCAGATGTCTTGGCAGTCGATCCCTCTTGTTTCCCCACTCTGTCAGCTCTCCCAAGGGAAGGGGTGGCCGTGGCCTGGTCTAGATGGGCGCCAGGTTCGTTTCTGCAGCAGCAGCACTTATTCTGATGAGATTAAGGTGGAAATGGGAGGCTTCCCTGCCACTGATGGAGGATCGGAATGGTCACAGATCCTTTGCGCTCCTTGTCTGTGAATTATCCCTCCAGTTTCATCCTTCGGTAGCCTTGAAATGATCTGGCTTTGTTTAATCTGCTGCCAAGATTTCTCTTGGTTGTTCCTTTCACCTGCTTCTCCCCATTTGTTTGTTTTGTTTCTTTTTTGGTGAGGCAGTCAAGGTTAAGTGACTTGCCCAGGGTCTGACTAGTGTCAAGTGTCTGAGGCCAGATTTGAACTCAGGTCTTCCTGACTCCAGGGCCAGTGCTGTATCCACTGTGCCACCTAACTGCCCCCCTTCTCCCCATTTTTTGAGGCAACGCTTCTCATAATTTTGCAGCCTCTTCTTCTGTAAGAATCTGCGAATGAGTTTATATTCTAAGCTGGTGTTGCCCTGAGCTGGCAAGGAGAGCAGATGTTTGCTGGTTGAAGTTCTTTATAGGGAGCAGTATGGAGATGAATTGGCTGAGTCTGGGGTCATATTGGAAAGAAGAGGAAAATGATGTCTGAGAAGGGCTGGTGAAAGTCCTGAGGGGAGGGTGGAGGGATGGAGGAGAGGCAGGCAGTGGGAGGGAGAGATCTGATATTAAATAGAAGGATGGAGGTGCTTCTGAGAAGGAGGCAGACCCTTGTGGGGAATGGGGAGAACCAGGGTGTAACCGTCCCTTTGTGGCACTGAAGTGGAGGGGAGGCATAGGCCACAGGACCTGAGGGCTGAGGGATTGAGGACTCAGCGAGTTTGCAGGACCATTGCTGTTGTATAAGGGCAGGAGCTGGGGAAGGAAGGACAACTGACGGTGAGCCAGGGCAGAACCTCCTGTAAAGGAGGGAGAATGATCTGATGACCGGGACACAACAACCCTGCTGTCATGCTATGTCCTTGGTGGGGCTGTCCCCTCCTACACACATGCGTACAGTCTGGGTGCAAGGGCCCCTCTGCTCCTCCCCCATCCTACCTTGGCCTAGTGGCCAGCCCTGACGTGGCCTCTTCTGCCCTCACGGCTGGGCTGGGCTGGGCCTCCCAAGAGCCAGCATGGCAGGCACAGGTCTGGGTCGCTGCGACATCCTGAGGGCAGAGGTCTAGGCTAGCTCTAGGCAGGGAGCCGAGAGAATTCTTGTGGGGGTTCTCCAGGTTTCGTGACATAGTTAGGGTTACTTTGGATGCTTTCCATGAATGATTATTGATGGATGTATTTTAAACCCTTTCAAAGTGAGGAAAGGGTTGAGCTTTTTTGTTTTTGTGAGGGCAGTTGGGGCTAAGTGACTTGCCTAGGGTCACACGCGCCACCAAGCTGCCCTAAGGATTGAGCTTTTTTAAAATGATGTTTGTAAATGAAGGGGAAAAAAGAAAACAGTTGCTAGCCTTACAGGGAATACATTTATAAAGCCGTTTTGAGGCAGTCTTTTTGATCCTGGTACACCTTGACTTTCCTGTTTCACTTCTCCCTCGTCCCGTTTCCGCCCTTTGGGTGGGTGGTTGGTCAGCATGGGGAGGAGCTGAATGCATTTCTTTTCTCCAGGGATGGCAGAGTCCTGGGCGTGCTGGAGGTTTCCCGTTCCATTGGGGATGGGCAGTACAAGCGCTGTGGTGTCACCTCTGTGCCAGACATCAAACGCTGCCAGCTTACTCAGAATGACAGGTAAAGCCCAGGGCCCCTCCCCCCCCAGCACATGGAGATATGGGGGGACTCTGAGGGCCTAGGGTACAGAGACAAGCAGGTGACAGTCCCTGCCCTCGAGGGGCTTACATTCTAATAAAGGGAAACAGTGCAGGGAGGAGGGGGTGGGGGGTGCTGATCAGAGCACAGGGCTGATGGCGACCCCCTCCTTTCCTGATGGCTGGTGTTGATTTGGCTGCTTGGCGAAGCAGCCATGACCCTGGGCACACCCCAGGCAGCTTCCCCACTAATGAACACATACACAAACCCGGAGCCAGTCTGGGTCTTACTTTGTGCCCCTTCTTGCGGTATCTTTCTGGTAAGGAGCCCCAGCCCCTTCAGTGTCTAACTGTAATTCGTAACCATTCCTGCACCCCCCACTACCCCCAAGGGGTCAGTCCGGGAGTCCAGCTCTCATTCCGCTGACCACAGGACCAGGTGCTTCCCAGCCTCCCCTCTGCCCTTGGGTTTTCCCTCCTGTGCCTCGGTTTACACCTTCCTGTTCCCTGCCCACCAGACTCACAAAGGAGAACTGTGGGCGTGCAGGTGGATGAAGCACAAAGTAGGGAGGCAGAGGGACATCCCACCTGGCCGAGGGCCACGTCCACCTTGTATTTCATGTGGGAAAACAAACCCGCCCGTTCATTCTGTGGGTGGAGGGACTTCTGAAAGTGCGTTACCAGAGATTCTTGTTATCAGGGAGAGAGAGACCCCAGTTTTACTTTGTGGAGACTGAAAATGCGCTGGCACGGCCTGCGGGCTGCCTGTGTCACTTAGTGGGTGCGGCCCCAGGAGTAAAGGCGGTGAGGGAGGTGTCTCGGGGCTGTGACTCCAGCCCACGGCCTGGGCTCAGGGGCCCCCCGGGAAGGCATGCAGCTCCAGGAGCAGGGCAGGCTCCCTCTTAAGGGCGGCTTTCTGTTGGCCCCACCTCCCCCTTTCCCGTCCCCTCCATCTGAGGTCCTTCATGTCTGACCTAGGAGGGACTGGCGAAGTCCTCTGGGCACTCGGCCTCCACAGCCCCACTTCCTGGTGCTCCTTAGTTTCCCTGTTGGAGCTTTCCCATGTGGCTAGACAGAAATCTTTGCCTCTGAAACTCTGCCCCATCTCTTCTCCAAAGCCAAGCAGGAAGTAGCCTTCCTGACTTGACAGCAGCCACTGTCGACCTCTGACTCTCTTTCTCCAGGCTAAAGATTCCAGGGGCGATGGCCTTCCGCGTGTGGGCCTCAGCCCCTTCTCACGGGACAGTTACTGGTCTGCATTACTAGAGGAAGTCTCTGTCCAGCAAAGTCACAGCTCTGGGCAGCAAGTTAATGAACATATGGTGCACAGCAAACCCAGCTAAGGGAAAAGGGATGGCGCACGGGACATCCGCTGACTGTCCTGGTCACTCTCTTCAGTCTGCTCCCCAGCATCTCTGTCACCTCTAAAGGGGCCCCCCAAAAAGCACCGTGGGTGCCGAGGGCATGGAGGATGTGTCATGAAAAAAGGGCAAGGCCCAGGTCAGGAAGGACCCCGGTTTTCTAACTGCTTGGTCCATTTCTGCAGGGGCTATGTGTGTGTGTGTCTGTGTCTGTGTATTTCTTTCTTTATTCCCCTCTCACCCCCTCTCTCATCAGGTTCATCATGCTGGCTTGTGATGGGCTCTTCAAGGTGTTCACCCCTGAGGAAGCTGTGACCTTCATCTTGTCCTGCCTTGAGGTAGGAGATGGATGTCCTGGGGGGATGGGCTGGCCTTGTACACTTCAGTTTGCAGAAAAAAACTGAAAAGTTTTCCTTGCTTCTCCATTCCTTACCAGCCAAGGGGCCCTGTCAGCCCTTAAAATGTGGCTCTGTAAATGGCAGTTACTGTAGTTGGTGTCATTTAAAGTGTCTTAATGCCATCGCCCAGACTTTTGTCTCCTTGCACCCGCTAGGCTGTCCCCCTGTCCTTGTCTTGGGACTCGTCTCTGAGTCCCAGTCCCTGGTTGGCCCCCGGACTACTCCAGGTGGACACCTGAGCTCCCCACCCATCTTTCTTTGGAAATAATGAGTGTGAGGGCCAGGGAACACCGTGTGTGGTAACTGCTGGTTTTCCCTCTGGGAGAGAAGGATGAGAAGATCCAGACCCGGGAAGGGAAGTCGGCCCTCGACGCCAGGTACGAAGCTGCCTGCAACCGTTTGGCCACCAAGGCCGTGCAGCGCGGCTCCGCGGACAACGTCACCGTGATGGTCGTGCGGATAGGCAAGTGAAGGAGAGCGCCAGGCAGCAGAGAGGACAGCATGGCATTGATTCAAGGGAAAAGTTGGGTTCACACGCGCGCATTCTGTGTTCTGAGTATTCTGCCAGGCTCTGTGGTTGTAAATAAAGGTTGTTCGTTTGTTTTTTCTAACCTGCTTAGCTCACTTCATGGCATAGTCTATAGATTTTAGCTAAATGTCGCATGGTATTTCAGCGTAGACTCCTCAAACCCGCACCTGAGGGAGAAACCCTGAAGTTCCCAAAGGGATGGTCCTGACCCTCCAGCCAGCCAAGTGTTGTCCTTCTGTAGCAAATAAAAGGAACCCTAGTAGGCTGATTTTGGTAGACTGAGAGGGTGTCAATGAATGCTCGCCATCAGCCCGAGAGCGGGTTTCTGGTGTAAGGCTAGGCTCGTTTTATTAGTAATTTCAGTGAAGGCATAAATAGAAAGTTTAATGGGTTTGCCGATGGCACAGAGTTGGAAGGGGTAGCTAACACAATGGATAACAGAATTGAGATCAAAACATTGTAAGAGATTAAAATGTTTCCATCCTGGGCTTGGGTTTAGAAAAGCATTTTAGGCTGGACGGTCAAACGTGTGGGGAGTGGGCAGGGATAGATGAAGGAGGCCCTGAAGTTAGGCTTTGAGGACAGAGCAGGAGAGACACAGGTGCATATGAGGCACTTCAGTGGCCTGCAAGGTCACAGGGAGTCCACAAGGCGCCCTCAGGACACACCTCCTGTGTCCTGAGCGTTCAGAGGGACTGTGACCGTGTGTCTAGAATAGGTGCCTGTCCCCACCTTTTCCCATCCTTCTCTTCTGGCTTTGTTCAGGGGTCACCGCCTCCATGCAGCCTTCTCTGCCTGGGCCCGTGTCCTGCTAGTGTCCCCAACGCTGGGAGATCCTCAGCCCTCTTATTCTTCACCTCTGTCTCCACAGCCCCCCACACATCAGGGAGAGAAACGAGCCGGCCCTTGGCATGGCTGGGCTCAGTCTGCTGAATCCTCGTGAGTGGAAGGATCTCAGAGCAGAGTTTCAGACATCCTTTTCCTAAGAATTCAGTAGTTTGTGTATAGCCCCCGTCTCTATTCGGTGCCTAAGAAAATAGGGACCAAAGCCTGGGGCTAACAATCTCAGCATTCTCTTAGCGTGAATCATAGCATTGGGGAGAAAGCTCCTCAGGCAAAAATACAGCCAGTCAGTGAAGAAATAACGTTACATTTATTTAACTTGTGTCTTTATGCAGAAAAAGACACAACCCAGACGTCATGCTTGAGAGGTGTTACCCATCCCTGTCTTTCTACTTCCCAGAGGCTCAGTCTTTTCAGAGCAAGGAGCAGAAGCAGGCTTGAATCTGCTGCCTTCAGAGCGTCAGCTCTGGCCTAGCCACAGCCTTCACTAGCCCTTGCAGCCCCGGGGGCCAGTTCTGGTGGGAGGAGGCAGGGAAGTGGGGTGGGGGCAGAGCCCTGCAGAGGCCACGTATAGGTGGGCTAAGTGCCTGGCCCCGTTTCAGTGTCCTGGGACAAAGCCCTGCAGGCCCCGCCTCTGCCATCGTCTGTCTCCTCCGTCGTTCGGGAGCTCTGGAAGAGGCCATGCTCCTCGGTGTTCCCTGCTTTCCACGGTTAGTTCTCAAGCACTCATCCCAGCACCCACACAGAACAGCAGTCACATAAACATCATCCACTTGACAACACTGTACGATGAATACGTTTCTATAGAACGTATTACCCGGTAGAGTGTGATGAGAATGAAGTTGGCGTTTGGGTTTTTCCAAGGGAAGGTCTAGCTGTTTGGCGTGCGTCTGTTGGAAACATTCATCTAAGGAAGGGTTTGGCCTCCTTGCCTCCTTATCAGAAGGGAAAAGGTTTTTTTTAATTGCCTGTTACCCTTTCCAGGTAGGGTGGGTACATGTTTTACTGAGAAATCGGGGTCGCTGTACTTCAGAGGTTCACTGCAGCTGTCTATCGTATTTTCATTCTTTGGCACTTCTGGGGGTGGGGAGGAAAGAGGATAAACTTTCAAAGCTACCTAACGTTAGCCTTCTTCACATACCCACTAAGCAGACTGACTGATCAAGGCCTCCCAGAGTCCTTAGAGGTCATGCCCAGCAGGCTCCCTCAGGTCTGCTGGGCTTTGACTCTGACATTCCCAGCCAGCAGCTCCAAGCCATACAAGGGCCAAAGGAGCTGTTGAGGGACAGTTCTGTACTTGGGTCAACATTCTTCCGAGTCAGGATCAGACAGACCTGAGAGGAAAACTAGGTGCAGTGTGCAGCCAGTCAAGCTGAGCCACCTGTGAAGGTCCGTTGTTCTTCGTGGTGGGAGATTGAACTGTCCTCTGGGCATTATAGAGAAATGGCAGGACCACCCCATGGGGACACACTATAAAGCTGCCCCACCTATTGGACTGGCCAACACTTACTAGATTGGTGACCTGTCCTTGCCTCTGTGGGTCTCAGTCCCTCCTAAGGGGAAGGGTTAGACTTTAAGGTCCCTTCCAGCTCTGCATCAGCAAGCCTGTTGACCTCCCACCTGATGTCCAGATTGCCAGCCAGGTTGGGTTGTTTGAAGAAATGCTTCCCAGTGGTAGTTTCCAAGCCAACAAGAAAGCAGAAGGGTTGGATGGGGCCAAGTTGATACCAGAAGGAGACCTTCATCTTGGGTGTTCAGCTCTTGAGCCACCAGGGTTATGATCCAAACACAGTTTGTGTAAGAAGCCTGACCTCCCAGCTGATGCATCAAGCCCCACAGTGATTCAGCTTCTTAAAGGGGATGGGGAGAAGTCATCTTTTCAGTTAGTGAAGAGGGAAAAACCATCTGGAAAATAAGTGCTGGTCATCTCTGCTGGATGAAAATGAGGTTCATGAACTAACTCCATGGGCTCTGGACATGAGTGATGCCTGAAAACCAGCCTCAGCCTAGGACCCCTCCCTGCCACAAATGCCTAACGAGATTATGGGCTGTTCCAGCATTGAATGGGGCTGGCCACAGCCAGAGTCCACACTCACCTTGACCCTCAGGGCTGTCAGCCATCTTTGTGGGTTCTGTAGACAGACCTAAGACACAGGTGAGGAGGGAGAAATCTCCAGGGAAGAGGAAAAGCAGTGAGTGGGGTGACCAGTAGCAAGGCCCTACATTCCCACATGTGGCTTCACTGGGCAGGACCAGTGCATGTGAGGACTGACTCTGAGCGTGCAGGATAGTAAGCAACAGGAGCATGTAGCTTCTTCCCCTTCCCTCAAGCAGGAGTGCTGGTGAACATCTGGCCCCTCTCTTCACCTGGATGCCCCACACAAACCAACTTCACTTTCATCCTCAGGGAGGCGAGGAATTGAGTTAACTGAACCCATGGCTTTGGGTGGGGTGACAGATCTTTCAACTGTAAGATGGAAAATGCGAGTACGACTTCTCCCACATTAACCAAAATTACCTTGATTAAATTTTGAGGTCAAGGGAGGAGAGTGTAGCTTTAAGGCATTTGGCAGCTATTCAGCAGATAGATTGTGCAGCCAGAACCTATCAGCTCTCAAGGCAAGATGGGGAATTTACAGAGAAGTTAGAAGGGCTAGTCCAACCAGAAATCAATATATGCCAGGTTTCCAGGAAGTTGATTCAAAAAAAGTTTTTCATGACAAATATTACACAGGTACCTCCTGTTTTCTTAGGGGAACAGTCTTCATACATAGATCGCTCATTTTTCTATTCTTTGAAGTATTCGACCGATCAGCCCCTGATGCACCATCTTGTAGAGGATGTCTCTGGAGTGAGGTGGGGTGGCCATCTTGGAGAGAGGTCAGAAAGTTTGGCAGCCTTTGGCTAGGTGGCACCTAAACCGGGAAGTTTGGCTCCTTCCCCAGGAAAACTTCTTGACTTCAGGTTACAGCGGAAAGAAGATGAAGACACTGGAGTCACTCTAGGGTTCGAGGAATTTATACCCCTAAGAACACAGCGCTGAAATTCGAACCACTGCGGATGATGAGAGACGATCCAGTAGCGTTGTCTATGAAGACGGAGGCATACTGGCCAGCCTGCAAGGGAGATGTAACAAGGAGAAGGAGTGAGGAGCTTCTGTTCACACATGCCCTGGTCCCTTTGCCTTGATGGTGAAAACTGATATGGAAAAAGGAGCAACAACTAGGGCATCCTTGACTCTGCTCTCCATCAGCCCACAGCCAATCGATCCCAAGTCACGTCAGTGGCTACACGTCATGGCACCATCGCCTCCTCTGCTCCACGTGGACACCAATACGGTCCAGGCCTAGGCTGCCACACTCACCCCTTAATAGGTCTCCCTGCCTCACCTCTCCACTCTTCAGCCCATCCTCTCCCTTGCCAAAAGGACTTTCCCCAAACTCAGGTCTGTTCATGGCACTCCCCCTCCTCAACAAACCCAGGTGACCCCCTTCATTTTCTGGGATAAAATAGTAACGTCACCGGCATCTAAAGCCCTACACCAGCTCACTGCAGCATACCCCCCTTCTACGCTCTACAGTCCAGCCAACGTGGTCTTTCTTCTCTTTCCATACACAGCCATTCTACCTCCACCTCCCTTCCTTTGCATTGGCTGTTCCCCGGGTCTGGAATAGACTCCCTTCTCACCTCCTCAGAATCCCTCTCTTTCTTAATTTAAGCTTCAGCTTGAGCACCTCTTAGAAGAGTGATTTCCTGATTCCTATCCCCTCCCTTTCCTCCCTCCCCAAATCACCTGGTACATAGTTTGTACATAGGTTGCCTCTCCTAATAGAATGGAAACTCCCTGAGGACAGGAGCCAGTTCATTTTGTGCTAATCCATACATGCCTTCTGTATCCTCAGCCCCCAGAGCCTAGCACTCACCAGGCACTTAATAAATTAGAAGAGTCTTTTACCTGGTCTCCCTGACTCCAGTCTATACCCTCTCCAGCCCTTCCTTCTTCACAGCTGCCAGCTTCATCCTCCTCAGGCACAGACCCAACCATGTCATCCTGACCCTTCTGGAAATGCTCACTGGCTCCCTGTTAGGCTGGCGTTTCGAATCCTCTACACTCTGGCTCACACCTACCCTTCCATCTGTAAGTCGTAATACTCCCTTGCCCAGACACTTGGTTCCAACCAAAATGCATGACCAGCCATGTTCCCAATTTAATAGGCCATCTCCCACCACCATGCATTTATATAAACCGGCCCCTTCCCTGGAGCACCTTCTCTGTGACTCGTCCATCTTCCTGCCTATAGCTCATGTTTATAGAGCACGTTAGCACTTTCCATATTTTATCTCACTGGATCCTCGAGACAACCACGGCAGGAAGATGCTGTTATTATCCCAATTTACAGAGAAGGCAGCTGAGGCTGGGAGTGATGAGTGTCTAAGGCAGGGTTTGAACATAGATGGCAGGTGCCATCCCCTCCTCCTCTCAGTGGATGATCTGGAAAAAATCCATCCCTTGGGGATCCACTTTTAGAGAAGCGGGCATCCAATATGATAAGCCTCTAACAAGCATGTACTGTGTGCCAGGCACTGGGTTAAGTGGGGGAGGGGGGCTACAAAGACAGCCCCTGCGCTGAAGAAGCTTCTGGGCCTCTGGCCTCCCCCTCCCTTCTAAGTTTACTCTGTGTTAATTCTGTAAATACCAATTTGCACACGTCTTCTTGATACAGTGGAATCATTTTTGTCTCTGTATCCCCAGCATTTAATACAGTGCATGTCATAGGTGCTTAATAAACGCTCATTTATTGACTGATTACTTCCTACTAGGTAGACGCAACATGTGGATGGGGAAGTATATGCATGATTGTTTAGGGGTGAGGGAAAGGGCACTCTCTCTGGGAAGGTCAAGACAGATGGCCCCCCAGCCTCAGTTTCCCCCTCTGTAAAAGGACCCAATGCTCTTCGAGGTCCATTCCGGTCTTTGTCACCATTACTGACGATTGTACAGAGAAGGGAGGTGCTGTCAGCCAAATCCGTGGTCACTGTGTGGTCTGCACAGCACTCCCTGCACAGTGAGATAGTGTATCCTTATCCTCCATTGTACAGATGAAGAAATGGAGGCTCAAAGCTTTCTTTTTTTTGGGGGGGGGCCTCAGTTTCATCTGTAAAATGGGGAGGGTGGAAGGGGTACAGTTTGGATGAGCCTGTCTGCTCTGGCTTTAACCCACTGATTTTACCTGCAGGGATTGGGTGGAGGGTGGCCCTCATTATTTACCTCTAGGTACAGGATTCCGCTCACTGAGACGGTGAAGAGCTCGCTGCTGTTGTCCAGGCCAGTGACAGCCTCCAGAGATCTGTGAGCCCAAGCAGAGAGAGGAGTCAGTGCCAGTTTGGGGTGCAATACTCCCGAGAGAACGTCCCCTCTGGGGGGAGTATGCGTTTCTCTCCAGGGTCCCAGCCTGGAGGCCCAAGGCAGTCAGGGGGCCCTGACGGGCAGAACCGCAGGCTCCCTCGTCTTCCCCTATTTGTAATCTCCCACCACGGTCTCCACACAGGCAGTACTCACAGCTCTGTCGTGTACTCCCTCCTCACTCATCTGGTCAATCTCCTAATTTTCTTTCAGGCTCTGATTAGGTGTCACATCCTAACCCAAGACTTTCCTGACACCCCCAAGTTGTGAGTGGTCTCTCTCCCCATCATTATGTTACTTGTGTTTTATTTACTTCTGTGTTGTAAATTTAATTAAAAATTCAAAGGGTCCCTCCAGTTATCAGAAGATGTTGCTACAGGGGCATGTGTGTGTGGCATGACTGTACCGGGTGCTGAGGTCAAATCCAGCTAGGCACTTATAGCTGTGCGACCCGAAGTGAATCAAAGACTTTCTGAAGTAGTTTCCACGATGGACTCAATGCGTTCTGAGGTCCCTTGTGGCTTTGAATGGGATAGGAGCTGCGTTTGTAATTGGAAATTGAGGCTTAGAACAAGTCTACTGGGCTGCATCAGAGGCTGCTTTCAATCCAGGACTTGGGGGTTGGAACCCTCCAATCAGAGCTGAAGGGGACGAGGCAGTCGTCTGAGCCTCTTAACTCTTCTCAAGCAAACCATCTTCAAACCTTGGCATTGCCATGTAGCCCTGGGTATCTCCACCCTGGGGCCCATGCCTCACGCCTCCCGGCCACCGCGGCTGAACTGCCGGGTTATCTGATGGGGCCAGCTGGCTGTGCCTCCAGATGCACACTCACACGTTACGCTGGCACAGAGACTGGATGCAGATCAGCACCCGCAGGCGGTCCCGGGACCGAGGCTGCCCCTTCTTCTGATGGTCCCCACCGTGCACTGCCGAGCGAGAGGAGAAGACAGGTCACTGGAATGTCCCACCCTCCCAGCCAAAGGGAAGCTGAGAGAACATCCAGAGAAAACCGGCTTGTGCAGACGGGGAGGGGGAGCAGTGAGGAGGGGGTGAAGATAGGACAGGGAAGTCCTGGGGAAGGGGACCAGGAAGTGGGGCTAGGCTGTCACCCACAAAGCTGGTCAAGTGGAGACCCAGCTGGAAGCTTGGAGAATGACGCCTTTGAGAGCTGAGAGGGGCCAGAGATGCTGTCTAGGTCAACCTTCACATTTTACAGATGACAAACTGACTCTTAGAAAGGTTAAGTTAGTTGCCCGGGGCCACCCAGCCAGTCATCTCTACCATCTGAGAGATCTTCATGTGTTAGAAAGCAACAATTGTGCACCCTCCGAGTTTCCTCTTCCCCAGTTCCTTCAATCCATTCTGACAGCAGGGATTCTTAACCTGGGAGCCATGGATAAAGTCAGGGGAACCATGAATGTGGATGGGGGAAAATTACACCTTTATTTCAACATAATTGATTCCCTTTACAATCTTTTGTGAATTTAAAAGCATTCTTCTGAGAAGGGGCTCCTAGACTTCACCAGCCTGCCACCGGACCATGACACACAAAAGGTGAAGAGCCCCTTTCCTGTGGTATATTTTCAAATTCCTAGCCCAGCCAAGTCTCCCTTTACTGTGCAGATCCCACCTTGACAATGTCCTTCCTAGACTGTGGGCTTCAGAAATGGGCCCAACCTCTAGTGGAGTCTGACCAGGGCAGAGAAAGCACAACTGTGATCTCCTTCATGCAGAAGCCGAGACCTTGCCTCCGACTTTTCTGAGATTGAGGCTGCCTGGTGTGCCCTTCCTTGGCTAAGACGGGCATGTGGTACAATGGAAAAGCCACCAGACTTGAGTCAGAGGACGCAGGCTCAGATCCTAGCTCCTCTACCAACTAGGTGGGTGACCTTGGCCAACTGTATCAATTGTATTGGACTCAGTTTCCTCATGTGTAAAATGAGGGACTACCATTTAGCTCTAAAGCTATGGTCCTATGAACTCTGCTTCCGAACCTCTCGGACCTCCATCCTGAGAGCATCATTGATTCAGAGCTTGAAGAGATGAGGATTAATCACTTCCAACCCCCATCACCACAACCTCATTTTACAGATGAGGACACTGAGACTCAAACAGAATTCTAAGTCTGTGACATCATGGCTGTCCCTCATGCTTGGGGTGTCTTCCCTTTTCACTTCTGCTCACTGAAATCCTGTCCTTCCTTCAAGGTCCTCCTCAGGCCAACAGTTCAAGTTGACAAGCATGTGTTAAGCCCCTGCCATGTATCAGGCGCTGTGCTAATCACTGGAGATGCAGAGAAAGGCAGAATCAGGCCTTGTTGCCAAGGACCTCGCAGTCTAAGGGGGAGGATGCTTTGCAAACTAAGTGTAAACAAGCTTTGATCTCCAGGGGAAGGTGCTAGCCTTAAGGGGGATCAGGAATGGCAGGTTTTGGATGGAGGTTGGTCATAAATGGCCACTTCTTGCCCCAGACTGAAGCTCCTCCCATTCTTGTCCCAATCATATCCAGCAACTCCTATCGAACCTCCTTGGGTATGCCCACCCTTCAATTATAAGCTTCCTAGGGGCCAAGACTAAATCAGTCGCCCTGGATGACCACACCTAGGGTAGTTTCTTGCACACAGTACTAGGTTAAATGTTTGTTGAATTGATGAGAAAATGGAGTGAATCTGACCATAGAGTTGTGTTCATCTGAGGCCATCTGGAACCTGCACCCGCCCCCCATTTATACATAGGGAAACCGAAAGGTCAAAGGCCTTGCCCAGAGTCGTGCTGGATCTGAAGTGGATTCAAACCCAGATTTTCCTCACTCCAAGGCCAACCTCTCCCCATTCCACCACCTGGCATTATTTCAAGTCCAGGCTTGTTCTTTGCCAGTCATCTAAAGGCTAGAGTGACCCAAGGCTCCTTGCTCAGGGGGTCGGATCTTACCAATGTACAGGGTAGCAGCGAATGTGTAGAATCCAGTGATGGGGGCTGTGTACTGACCGCTGGTGAGGTTCAGCCCCAGACCTCGGTGAAACGATCCGTCTTTTCCAGGCTGGAAAAAACAGGTTTGAATTTCAGTCTCTTGGTTTGAGCTTCTTCCAGCCTTTGCAAGCATGGGAACCCAAGCTGGCAGGAGGGGTGATCTATGGCTATGCACTGGAAGCCAGGTGCCCTTGAGGAGGCGGGCAGGTGCTTCCCAGGCCCTGGCCCTCGTCATGCTCAATGCTGCCTTACTGTGTCTCTGCAGAGATGCAGAGGCACATAGTGGGCTTCAAGACAGCAGAGACCTGGGTTCAGATCCCACCCCAGTGCTTAGAACCAGTGTGACTACAGGCAAATTTCTGAACCTGTCTGAGACTCCATCCCCTCATCTGTAAAAATCAGTGCCTTAATCAATGCCTGGGGTTGTTGTCTTAGGTTGTGAGGGTCCTTTGTGAAGAGCAGATGAGCAGGCGTCTGTTCCTTACTGCGCGCTCTTGGAATGTCGGCTGTTCCCGGTGCCTCGCTGGGCTGGGAGCACAGGCTGGACAGAGGGGCCTCAGAACTGAGTGGCCAGGTCCACAGGTCCCCACTCACCAGGTAATATTGCTGCAGTTCCTGGAAGGATCGCCGCTCGATGGACATGTTCTTTCGCAGCCGGCAGTGGAAGGCAGCCTCCACCCGGTGAGGTCTGTGGCTCTGTGCCAGGGACCCGGTTACCAGAGCCAGGACGTCGTCCTCTTCGGCCACCCTCTCCTCCTCCTCAGCCTCGGCTTCCTGGCCCCCACAGTCCTCACAAGGCTTCAGGCTCATCTTCTCCCGATACTTTACCGCCCCTGCCAAGAGAATGACCCAGAACTCATTAAGTGCCTACTGTGGGCTGGCCCTGCGGTAACTACAGGGGGATATGAGGACCGAGCATGGGGCAAGCCAGCCACAGTCTGGGGGCAGGGGCGAGGGAAGGGGAGAGCCCGGACACTGATCCCTTTGGGGTGGAAAAACCACACTCCTGACTGAGGTTGGCATCTTCACCAAGTGTCCTGAAAAGAAAGTTTTAGAGTACGGGGTTTTCGCCTGTTTTGTGTCCTGGACCATGAGGTCCAAGGTCAGGCGGTCTGCAGCGGCCTATGCACCCCTTCTCAGCATCAGCTTTGAAAATGGGTAAGATAAAAGGTGCAGGAATACAAAGGAAGCTGATTATCTGGAAATACGGTTCTCTAAACCCCTCCTGGGATTCTGGGTGAAGGATTCCTGCCCCAGGCACAGGTTTAAAGCTGAGAGGGGCCTCCGAGGCCTCATTTTTCAACTGAGGAAACCGAGGCCTAGGAAGGCTGCCTATGTAGTAATTGCCAGAGGTGAGATTTGAACCCAAGTCATCCAACTCTGTCCTGCTCTTCCCCATTCTCCCCTCTCTCTCCTCAGTTGTCAGAAACTTCAGCTAGGGAGCCAAAACAGACTCAGGGGGGTTAGTTAGTAAGTATCAGGGACAGGAGCAAGAGCCTGGCCTGGAATTCTCTCAGCCCAAGTCAGCAAGCATTTATTAAGCACCTACTATGGGCCAGGCATTGTGCTAAGCCCTAAAGATACCAAAAAAAGGTAAAAAACAGTCCCTGCCCTCAGGGAGCTTCCAGTCTGATGCTCAAGGTCCATAACAGCAGGTTTTAGGGTCACCGTACCTTGAATTTGAACACAGGAAAACTGAGGCTAAGCCTGAGTCTCGACACTTATCCGAAGGGATCTTTGCTCATTCCTCAAACATTTTTTGAAGTAGCTGCTGTGGGCCAGGCGGGGAATGCCTGTGTTCTCAGCAAGCTTTCTCCTGGGCTATAGCCTACTGAATACCAGATGCTGCTCAAAAATTGTACCAACATTTACTGAGTGCTTCCTGTATGCAAGGCCTTCTGCTGTCTATGAGGAGGTTACAAAGATGAGGGAGGCTGTTCCTGCCCACAAATCTTACAGTCTGGGCAGGGAGACAGGACATGGATAGAACTATAGCTCCTGACCCAGAAGAGGTTTCAGAAGTCATTTTACAGATGAGGAGACTGAGGCTGCTAGAGGTCACACAGCTAGTAAGTATCTGGGGTAGGATTTGAACTCGGGATTTCCTGATTCCAAGTCCAATACTCTATCCACTGTGCTACCCAGCTACCTTGATAAGAGTGGAAGAATGGGTTGGGCCCAAATCATGGAAAACCTTTGAACAGTATTCTGTGGGCAGTGAGGAGGGGGAATGACATTCAGTTATCCTGTTAAATAACATTTTTGCATATTTGAAGCCTCCATGGTTTTATCACTGCTGGGGACCACACCCGTCTGTGATGTAGGTGGGGGTGGGGGTATGTCTTGAGAGAGTACTTATAGCTTCATCCCATCTGTCACTACCTGTGTGACCTTGGACAACTCACTCAACATTGCTGGGCCTCATCTTCCTCCATAAAGAAAGGGTAGGAGGAGCCGCTAGGTGGCACCGTGGATAGAGCACCGGCCCTGAAGTCAGGAGGACCTGAGTTCAAATCTGGCCTCAGACCAAACCCTTGACACTAGCTGTGTGACCCTGGGCAAGTCACTTAACCCCAGTTGCCAAAAAAAAAAAGGGTATTGAGCTAGATGGCATCAGGTCTCATCTGGCTCCAGATGTGGGACCCCAGGATCTTAGGATTCTCCTCTGCTCTGGCAAGGGGTTCAGCAGGCCCTTAGAGGTACCAAGGCTGTGTCTGAAACCTTTCCAGCTTGGCAGTCCCTGCCACGGTTTGTACTCAGCCGGCCTGGCCTCAAGGACCCAAGGTCACCCCTGATGCCAAGCCTCTTACCCTTCCTCAAGAATGACATAGTATTGGTTTATTTTCTTTCATCATAGGGTTCCAAGAGAACTCACAAGTGTTATTCCAGTCCTTTTGATCAGCTATGCTAATCTCCTTCATGTAAGAGATGGGGAAGTTGAGGCATCATATGATTAGGTCTAAGGAGTCCTCACTAGCCACTGGGAACAGAACCTGAGATCCTTCGCATTCCAGGCTAAGCATGAAGTTCCCTTAATGAGGAAACAGAAACACCAAAACAAATCCCAATTTAACAAGTGCTGAGCAAGCATATACAGCAATCCAATCATCTCCTCTGCTTCTCCACCCCCTACACACCCACATGGACATGAACATGGACACAGACGGACAGGGAGGCAGACCCAGTCACCCCCACGGGACTATGACACCCTTGCATGTATCCAGTCACACTGCCAGAAAAGAAGAGTGAATCGTTGGGGTGGGCACTGATGACAGGCAGGAAATGAAACTGAGATGTCAAGAAACACGGCTTGAGATTCTCGGACAGAGGTCTTGACTCTCACCATCAGGCATAGTGGAATTATTTTAGCTTGTCCTATTTGAGTGGCATTAATTATAGACTTGTCAGTCCAAACAAGCTATTTCCTCTGGTGCTATTTTTACTAAGCTATTTTTGTCTCTGTGTGAAATGATAGCCTGAATCTAACTTTGATTTTCTCTCTCTCTCTTCTCAGTCTCTGGCTATCTCTGTGTCTCTCTGTCTTCTGTCTTTCCTTCCATCCTTCCCTTGCTTTCTTGCTCTGTTTCTCTTCCCATCATCTCTGTCTCTGTCATCTCTGTCTCCATCTCTGTTTCTCTGCGTGTGTGTGTTTGTGTGTGTCTATGTCTCTCTGCCTCTCTGTCTGTCTCTGTCACTGTCTCTCTCCCCTTCCATCCCTCTCTCTCTCCCTTCCATCCCTCTTTGGCTTTCTTGCTCTTTCTCTTTGCCACCATCTCTGTCTGTCTGTTTCTATATGTCTCTCTTTCTCTGCCACTCTTTCTTTGCCACTTTCTCTCTCTGCATCTCTGTCTCTGTCATTCTCTCTTAACACACACACACACACACACACACACACACACACACACACACACACACACACTTTCTTCCTAGTATATCCAACAACTTTCAACACATAGGTGACCTCTAAGATCTCTTCCAACTCTGAAACCTATGAATTTTGTGGGCACCTCCCCGTCCAAAGCAGTTGTTACTTCCTGCTGACAAACATTCCCAGTCTTGCCTGGACTATCCTTAGCTGCCATTCCTACTGTGCTGTGGGAGGAGCCTCAGGAGGCATCCAGCCCAACAACCCCTCCCAGAACAAGAATTCCTTCTAGAACATCTCTAGTGAGGAATCAGCCAGCTTGACTTGTCCCCATTGACAGGGGCCAGCCAGCCACCTCTTAAGGATGCCCATTCTACTTGGGGGTGGCTCTCATCAGTAGAAACCTGGTGGTTTTTCTTTTCTTAACTCCTATTCTAAATCTGCCTCTTTGTAATTCAGCCACTGCTCCAGGTTCTGCCCTTTGGGCCCAGACAGAACCACTGGAAGCTTCTTCCATGGGACAGCCTTCCAGTACTTGAAGACAGCTCCCCCCAGTCTTCTCTTCTCCAGGTTGAAGGCACTTGGTTCCTTCAATTTGAAGCCTCTGGCTTCATCATCAAGGTCACAACCCAACCTCTCCACATCCCTCCTAATCTCAAAGTGGTCCACATGAGCCTACATGAATATCGTTTCTTTACAAACACTGGAATTACTCTTACTGATTTGGAATAGCAGGTAGGTTATGCATTTCCATTTTGCAGTATCTGAACTCAAAGATTACTTAACACAGACAGATGGGGCCAATCTTTCCCTACTCCCACCCCATCATTTGGGAATGCCCATCTAAATGAATGTGAAAGCCCGGCAGCTATGGTGATGAAAGATCAGCAAAGTGTTGACAAACAGTGGTTCTGCTGCAGTGAAAAGAAAGAGTTATTTGTAAGGGAAGGCTGCATGGAGGAGGGGGCATCTGAGTTAAGGACTGGCCCATGTGAGTTTGGAGCACCTAATGACCAGAGCCAGCCACCAGTATGTGATGTTTTAGGGCCTTACCAAACATGAAATCGGCTGTCATGGTGTGAAGGAGCACCCTCTTTCACTCACTCACTTATTCATTCACTCATTCACTCAGTGAGTGAAGCCCTTTTGCTAGGCCAGGCAATGTTGTAAGACAACAAAAGATCCCAGCCCAAAGGACCTGCCCTCAATGTGTGCCCAGACAAGGCCATTCGAAGTCAGCACAAAGTGATCTCCAGCATGGAGGCCACTTGGGGTATCTGAAGAGGTTTGCTGTGGGAGGCCACACTTGCTAATCTCTGAATCAAGGTGGGGATTCTACAAGGTGGAGGTAAGGAAGAAGGGTGTGTCAGGTAGGGAACACAGCCTGGCAAAGCCACAAAGGCAGGAGATGGACTGTTGTGTGCAGACAGCAGTGGGTAAGTCCAGTGTGGCTGGAATGGAGGCTGCATGAAGGAGGGTAATATGTAAGAAGACTGGAAAGGTTGACTAGACACAGAGTGTAAAATGGCAGAGAATGTATTTTATCCAAGAGGCAACAGGGAGCCCCTGCTGATTCTTGAGCCCCCCACCAATGAAACCATAGATCCCTGAAGAGACTGAATCAGCACACTGAGAGGTGCCCCAGTCTCACACATCTCACAGAAGACGCAAACTCAACGTGAGCACAGAAACAGCAGCCTCTGGGGGAGGAAGAGGCCATCACTGCCAAAACACCCTGAGGCACCAGACAATGGAGGGTGGCTGTGGGAGCAGGGCTTGTGCTCCAGGACCACTGAGTTCCTTGGGCGGACGCCAGAGGATGTTCCGTGCCCCGTTGAGATAAGCTTCAATACCAAGTAAGAAGCACAGCGCTCAGTGGACTCTGCCATGCACAACCAGGGGAGCTTGTACTAGGCTCAGATCTCATTCGGGCAGTGCAAGGAGGCCTTCAGCAGTGTGGGGCAGACAGCTGTGGGGAGCTGGGTGGGGCACGGGGACCCAGCCCCAGACAGAGCTGGGAAGAGGCTCTCCCTTGGGTGAGCCAGCCCTCAGCGTTACGGCTCTCCCTTACACCGGCAGCTTAGTGTCCACACACAGAGCCCTGCAGCTCCCCCATGCTCTCAGTGTCACAGAAATGGAGACTCTCAGAAGTGGAAGGGACCTTGGCAGCTAATGTTACTGTTGTTCAGTCATTTCAGTTGTGTCCAACTCTTTGTGACCCCATTTGGGGTTTTCTTGGCAAAGAATGGAGAGATTTGCCATTTCCTTCTCCAGCTTATTTTACAGATGAGGAAACAGGCAAACAGGGGGAAGTGACTTGCCCAGGGTCACACAGCTAGTAAGTGTCTGAAGCCGGATTTGAATTCAAAACTCCAGGACCAGCACTCTATCCACTGTGCCACCTAGCTGCCCTTGTCCAAACCATACTCCTAAGAGAATTCCTCCTGCCATACTCCCTAAAAGTGGTCATCCTTTTGAAGACTTCCAAAGGCATTCCATACATTCAGTCTGTGACTTCCACTTCGTTGCTCCTAGTTGCTTTCTCTGAGGCTGAGCAAAGCTAAGCTGATCCCCCTCCACAGGAGCTGCCCAGCCAACCCTCCAACCTGCCCCATGAAGATTACCTATACTTCCTCACATTATAAGGTGGAGCCAGCTTCATATTTGGCTTATGCATACAACCATCCCTTGGGGGTGCGTCGTGGAGGACAGATGATATACCCTGGTGCTGGATGGGGTTAGGGGAATCCTGCATTTTTTTTTAACACCTGAACCAGGGCAGGATCAAAAGCATGATCAGAAACATTTAAATTGGCCTCATCCTGTCTCTGCCCCACCTAGGCTCCCAACTTCTTCCTTTTCCTCTTTGGCAAAAGTGGCCGATTGCGGGAGTGTGGGACTCACATGGGAGAAGGTTTTCCCAGAGTAGTTTATCTATGTGCAACTCTCAAGGTTTCTGAACCCACAGCTGCCGCAGCTAATAGAGAAAACTTTCTGTTTGTAACTCTCCCATGTTACAGTCTGCAGCTGAGTTGGATTAATTGAAGGAAGTGAGATACAATGTTATATAGGGAGCCAACTCTTAGCCAGGTGGGAGTGGGTGAGAGAGAAGGACAGTGGAAGGAAGGATTGGGAGGAGATTCGAGAAAGGAGAAGGCAGCAGCTCCGGGAATGGGAGGTGGGAGGAGGTGTAAGGGTGGTCTGGTCTGGTTGGCCAAGGGAGCTAAAGGGACCCAGAGAAAGACCAGGCCAGGCTGGGCTTATTTGTCAGCAAAAGTAGCAGTTGCCTTGCACGTAGTCAGTGCGCAAAAAGTTCATAGGTTTTAAAGTTGGAAGAGATCAGATAGCTAATTAATCCCTCTATAGATGAGGAAACTGAAGCTCAGAAACACAGGTAGGATCGTAGGATCATCCTTTTAGAGCTAAAATGGTCATGAGGGGTCATCTGGTCCAACTCCCTCATTCAACAGATTAGGAAACTGAGGTTGTGCTGCCTGGTGTTAGAAAGTAGTAAAATCGGGATTTGAATCCAGGTCCTCTCACCCCAAGTCTAACATTCTTTTATCTTCACAAAAGCTTGCTATGGTGCATGGAATGCTGGCCTTGGGATCAGAAAGATCAAAGTTCAAATTCTACCCCTGAGCCTATCCTTCCCCCTTCGCAGCCCTTCCCCCACCCCTTAGATTGTGAGCTCCTTAAGGGCAGGAACTGTCCTTACCTCTTTTTGTATCCCCAGTGCCCAGCACAGTACATAGTGGGCCCTTAATGTATGTTGGCCAACTGACTGGTAATGAGGCTATACAGTATAGTGGAAAGATCTCAGTGCTTCAAGAGGACCTGAGTTCTAATCCTGCTTCTGCCATTTACTACCTGTGTGACCTTAGACAAATCACTTGACCTGGCAAGGTCAGTGGAGTCCGACACCATCATGTCCACTGCTGGACCGCAATTTCTCTCTTCGGAACCTTCAGGAAGTCCTCTTATGACTCCCCCCCACCCGATCCCCACATACACCCTCGGAGGTTCCATCCCCATACCTTTCAGTAGCAGCTGGAATTCCTTCAATAAATCCTCAGGTGGGATGGAAGGCCCCGGGGGGCCCTGAGGGCCAGGGAGCCCAAGCTGAAAGATAAATGATAAGGAGAAACATCAAGGCCCAGTGGTACCAAGACAAGGGTTTCCCTAAAATCCCGCTGTTGGACTCAATCCATTTCGATCCAAGAAATCCTTATGAAATCTCTTCCATGTGCCAAGTTCCAGGCTGCCGTCTGCAGCTACCAATTGTAGCACAATGAACGGCCAGCATCGGCTAGCAGAAGGAGCTTCCTCATCAGGAATTCCTTAGGCCAGTGTCCTGGTTATATCCCCGATGTGTGCGGTCCAAACTGCTCAGCGACGGGGCGACAAGGACAAAGAGTGTAACAGCCTCTGCCCTCACTTGTACTCACTTCAGAGCTAGGGTTTAGACTCCCCTCAGCCCTTCCCGTGAGGCTTCATGGTGGCTTTGGCTACAAAGAGCGGGAGGTGGTTGGCCTATTGGGGAAGAGGAAACATCTCACTGGGTGCAGAGCCCAGCGCCAAGAGAACCCACTCCCCCACCCTGACCCAGGCTTCTCAGCAAGAATCCTGGTCAGCCTAAAACATGGCAGGCAGGGGTAGAGGGGCATCCAGCACCATGGGACAAGCTACTCCCCCAGGGAACATCCCTAAGAAGGCAGACATCAGGTGGTATCTGGTCTCCCAAGGCAATGATATGGCCAGGTCCCCAGATAATTTCTACAAAAGCTAAAATCTAGGAGGGGAATGGTTGAAGGGAAAGAATTCATAAAGAAACTCTCCCTATTGATAAGGTTCAATGGCTCAAATTGGAAAAACCAACTGGATCAGGATGGTTTTTCTTTGTTTTGTCTTTTTACTTATGATTCCCATTCAGATAGATCCCTCCCTCCTGCTTTTTGGAAATCAGTTTTATGGCACATCATAGAACCTTGGAATTGAAAAGGACCTCTGGAATTGTCACATCTAACCCCTAGCCTGAGCCATAAACTTCCTCTGCAGCATCTCTAACAAGTGGTCACCTAGCCTCCACTTGAATCTCTCCAGTAATGGGGAACTCACTATCTCACAAGACTTCATACCATTGTTGAACAGTTCTAATTGTTAGGAATGTCTTTAAATTGAGTCAATATCTGTCTCCTGCTAATGTCTCCCAATCAGTCCTATCCGTGCCTGCCCTCTAGGACCAGGATTCAGGGTTCTTTCTCCCACCCACGTTCATGGACTCCCTGAAATCTATCCCTGAGCTCCAGGTTAGAAACCCTACTATGGAGCTCCAGGGTTTTCAGGACAATAGACTCAGGACTATAGAGCTCAGGGTTTTCCCCTTCTGAAGGGGAAGTGATGGCTGTTATCCCCATTTTACACATGGGGCTAGTTCATGCAGAGAGGTGCCACTAGGCCAAAGGACTGCCCACAGTAGAATATTAGTTTCTTAAGGGGGAGGGCTGTCTTTCTCTCTGCTGTATTTGGATTCCCCACAGTTAACACAGTGCCTGGCACATGGTGTGCACTTAATAAATACTTGCTGACTGACTGATGGACAAGAGACATTAAGTGACTTCCTCCTGGTCCCACAGAAAGTGGCAGAGGCAAGATCCAAATCTCTGAGTCCAAATCCAGCTGCAGGCCCTGGGCACTGGGAGGCCCAGGCCTCTCCATGCTCACCTTGTATTTTTTGGATTTCCCAGTGTTCCTTTTTTTTCCATTGACCCCTTTGTTGGACTGTCTGACAAAGAGCATCCAGGTATCCCTGGGGTCAATGCTTCGGGGCTTCTCGGTGACAGGGGCTTCCTGTAACAGAATCCAAAAACTGGAGTCGACCAAGGAGGTGACTTCATATTAGAAGTGGGAAACGGACAATGGGACTTGCCTGGGCACCAGGAGGGCAGAAAACAGACTTTTCACTTTAACTTTTTTTTTTTAGCACAAATGCCTATGTGTATATATGTACATATTTATAGATTTTGTACAAATACTAAATCATATAAGTGTATATATAGTATAAAAAGTTCACAAAAATAAAAGTTAAAAACAAGGATCAGATAAAGGCAAAGTTATATCTTCTCCAGAGGCAATAGGAGCTACTGAAATTTATTGAATAGGGGAACCGTCAGCCCTGCTGTCCAGGAAGATCCCTTTAGGAAGAGACAGGAGGCAGGGAAAACCAATTAGGAAGTTATTGCAAAAGCCTGGTGATGCACCCCTGAACGAGGATGTGTGAATAGAAAAAATAACATGAATACAAGAGACATCTTGGAGGTAGAAAGAAAGAGGAGATTTGGCCATTAAGTGGCTACATGAGGGGAGGAAAAGGGAGGAGACTAGACTGATTCGAATATTGAGAACATGGTTGACTGGCAGGAACAGGGAAGTTCAGATGAGAGGGTGTGTGTGTGTGTGTGTGTGTGTGTGTTGGGGGGTGAAATAATGTCATGAGACACAGATCAAACACATCCCCGCCTGCTTCTCTCCAAATGACTCATTCTGTCCCCACAATGCACTGGGTAGGGGTGGGTGACACCCAAACTTCTTGTGGTGGTCAGCCAGGCATTAAGGACTTCCTCAGGGAGGAAGCGTTCCCTCCTGATTAAGATCTTCCCAAGAGCTTTCCCCTTCTCTCACCAGGAAGGAGGTGCCCATGTCACCTTCCTGCCAACACACTGGGCAGCTGTCCATGGCCCATCCTTAGAGCTGCCCTTTACTGAATGTCTCTCTCAATTCAAACGGAATCTCTTTGAGGGCTGGGCTTTCCGGCTTGCTTATATTTGCATCTCTGGGACTTAGCAAAGTGTTTGGCACAAAGTAAGCACTTAATAAATGCTTCTATCTATCTATCTATCTATCTATCTATCTATCTATCTATCTATCTATCTATCTATCTATCTTATATCTATCCATCTATCTTATATCTATCAATCTATCCATGTATCTCTGTCTGTCTGTCTACCAACTATCCATCCATCTATCTATCTATCTGTCTGTCTATCTATCTATCCATCCATCCATCCATCCATCCATCCATCCATGTATGTATGTATGTATGTATGTATGTATGTATGTATCTATCTGTCTGTCTGTCTGTCTGTCTGTCTATCACCACACCCCTTCAGTTAGTGAGCTTACCACTACCCCACACCAGTTATCTGGGATCAGTCACTCATTTTTAGAGTCAACACTAACAGCAACTCAATTCACCCCCAAAAGAGCCTTGAATGTCAGTGCCAGAGGCACAGTCCTGATCCAAATGGCCAGTAGTGTGACTGACTCAGGGCTTATCAGTGTCTGCCTCTCCCTGGACAGAGGTCGCTGGAATAGGAGCCCCCGGGAGGCAGGGACTATTTCCCCTTGTCTTTGCCTCCCTCCCATCTCATGTGGTGCCTGAAAAATGGCAGGAGCCTAATAAATGATCCTGGAATTAATTTAAGTGTCCTGTTGTTCCCAGTTGTTAATGCCACCCCTTCACGTACACTCACACCCACTCACACACCCACATACACACATTACTCCACATTTACAGTGTACGTATTTTCTATTTACTTAGATGTATACATGTCATGTTATTCCTTGCCCCTTCCCCTAAGTAGAAGGCAAGCTCTTTGGGAGTGGGGAGCGTTTTGCTTTTTTCTAGGCTTAAGACCTGGGCAGGAGGGAGATCTTCCCTAACGTTCCCAAATGGTGATGTAGAAGAAGCAGATATTAAGTATCATGAAAGGCAGCTTGGCCTGGCAAATCTGGGGCTGGCCTGAGGGCTGCTTCTAACATATATTGGCTTTGAGGCTCAGCCTCTCAGTGACTTGAGGCAGCTCCTTAGACTCTCGGGGGTGGTTAATAAATGCTTATGGACTGGCTAATCTGCGTTGTAGCAGGAGCTTCTCATACCAATGGAATCGTGGGTTGAAGGAAAAAATGAGATCGTGTGATTTAACACAAGGAGATTCAGGACTAAGGCATGATCAGGTCATGATTCAGTCCCAGATCATGGACTGGGAAGAAGCTAGGGATACTGAACGTGGTTCTATCCCTGTATCCAGAGTCAGGAAGCAGTGGGTTTGAATCCCACCCAAGGCCCTTACTGAGTCCCTTGGCCTCTCTCAGGTTCAGTTTCCCCTTCTGTAAAATGGACATAATAAGGGGCCGCTAAGTGGCACAGTGGATAGCGTACTGGCCCTGGAGTCAGGAGGACCTGAGTTCAAATTTGGTCTCAGACCAGACACTTGACACTCACTAGCTGTGTGACCCTGGGCAAGTCACTTAACCCCAATTGCCTCGCCAAAAAATAAAAAAAATTTTTTTTAAATTTTACAAAATGGGCATAATAATAGCACCTACCTCCCAGGGTTTCAATGATGGTTGAATGAGACAATGATTGTAAAGCACTTAACACAGTGCCTGGCACATAGTAAGCACTAGATAAATGTTAGCTATCATCATCTTCATTATTGTTGTTATTAATATATGTAAAGTGATTTGCAAACCTTCAAGCATGTTGAAGGGTGTCCCAAAAGTCTTTTACTTGCACTAAGATTTTTTTGGGACATCTTGTGTAACTGTCGTCTATGATGAGGAAGCAGTTGCGTGGCTCAGCGGAAGAGCTCTGGGCCAGGAGTCAGGAAGACCTGGGTTCAAATCTGGTCTCAGACACTCACTAGCTGTGTGACCCTGGGCAAGTCACTTCACCCTGTTTGCCTTAAGCCACCGGAGAAGGAAATGGTAAACCACTGCAATGAGAAAACCCCATAGATAGCAAGGGTGTGCTGTGCTCCATGGGACAGTCAGACTCGGCTGAACACTGAACCACAAGATGATGAGGGAGAGGCAAAGGGAGGAGACAACCTGGGCACAGAGACCAGAGACGGAGTGCCATCCGCGCACAGGGTGGCAGCAAAGGGGCTGGAGCGTCTCTGGCAGGAGGGGGGAGGGGGTGGCCTCGGGGAAGTGACTCCTTCCTCCCTTCTCTGAAAAGGACCAAATGAGAGTGTGTGCGTGGAAGGCCGTGGTGCTGGCCGTGGTACTGCCTCCAACAAGGAATTCTGCATGAACGCCACAGCGTCTCCGATGCCGTCAATGTGGGGATCTCGGCTCACCTCAGCACTCCAGTGACCTAGTCTTCCAGCACATTGGAGTGGAATGACACGGCCAGGGTCACCCAGCTGAGACGTGTCAGAGATGACGTGGGGAGCTGTGAATTAAGGCCTCCCTGCCTCCAACCACTATGAAACACAGCCTCTACTCATTATAATGCCATGATTGTCATTCTTACCAAGTGAGGACCCTACTGTGTGCTATTCGTTTTACAGAGGATCCCACTTTAAGATTTTCCCTCCCCTCCTCCCCCATGCCTGCCTCAAAGGGATGGAAAGAACATAGTCTTTTAGTTAGAGGTACCAGGTTCTAATCCCACCCCTGTCCCTTACTACCTGAAGGTCCCTGGATGAGTGAGTGACTTTTCCTCTGTAGTCCCTGGGGAGGTGGCCACAGACTCTGCAAGAACTCTCCCAGTCCTTTATCCTATGGTTAGTTTCCCCTGGATCCACAGATCTTCCCAACTGCCATCTGACTTTTTAAAAAACAGTTTCCAGGGAGTTCACGATCACGGCCGTGTAACACAGCAGAGCTGCCTTCCCCTGAGGGAGCTTGCACCTGGACCTAACACCAAGGGCTGGACATGGAGAAGGATCAGGGGATGGCTCTGGAAGCCAGGACTCCTGTATGCAGGAGAGGCAGCTGGTGGCCTTAGAGAGCTGGCCACCTGGGCCTCTCCAAACAAAACCCTTTATCTCTGCCTCAGTTTCCTCTCCTGTAAACTGAGGATCCTAATGCTCAGACTACCTGCCTTTGCAAACTTTAACAGCCCCAGAGAAGTGTTAGGATTAACATAAAAGCCATGTGGGAGGTGAGGGCCGGTTGGGGCTGGTTTTTAGCTTGTGCAGTTTACTGGGCTCTTCATTACTGACCTTGCAATGGTCTGATGCAAGTGTGGGTGCTTAATTAAAGCTCCTGAGTCTTGGCCCGTCTTTTAAAATAATAATAATCCTAGTGATTATTTAAGGTTTGAAAATTGCTTTACTGTTGCCTCAGCTTATCCTCACAACAGCGATGGGCATGAAGTGATATTATTAATTCCGTTTTCCAGATGAAAAAACTAAGACTCAGAGAGGTCCTAGGATTGTGTCTAGAACTAGAAGGTCAATTAGTCAGTAAACATTTCCTTAGTAAGTGCCAAGCGCTATGTTAAGCACTGGGGATACCAAGAGGCAAAAGACAGTCCTTGCCCTCAAGGAGCTTATAGTCTAACGAGGAGGCAACAAGCAAATATAGACGATCAAGCTCTAGGTGGGATAAACGGAAATCATTAGCAGGGGAAGGCTCTGGAATTGAGGGGCTGGAAGAGGTTTCTAGGAGAAGGTGGGATTTTAGTTGGGACTTAGAAAGCCAAGGAGGTCAGTAGTCAGAGAGGAGGAGGGAGGGCATTCCAGGCAGGGGGAAGGCCTGAGAAAATGCCCAGAGCAGAGAGATGAAGGCTCTTGTTTATGGAGCAGGCAGGAGTCCAGTGGCACTAGATGGAAGGGCGGGTGTCTCTGGAGAAAGATGGAAGATGGAAAGGTAGGAGGGGGTCAGTTTCCAAAGGGCTCCGAATGCCAAGCTGAGCATTTTGTATTTGCTCCTGGAGGCCACAGGGAGCCGTTGGAGTTTCCTGAGGGGAGTTGAGAGGGGTGCTGTGATCAGACCTGCAGCTGGTGGCTGAACGGAGGCTGGACTGGAGTGGGGAAAGGCGAGGCAGGCAGAGCTTTCAACAGTCCTGGAATGAGGGCACCAAGGGGGTGTCAGAGGAGAGAAGGGGGCTGCAGAGGCAAAGTGGACAGGCCTGGGCACCAGCTTGGAGAGGGAGGGGGGGGCGAGAGATAGGAAGGAATCAAGGGTGACTCCTAGGGTGTAAACCTGAGGGACTGGAAGGATGGTGGTGCCCTTGAAAGTAATAGGGAAGGTAGGAGGGGGAGGAGACTTTAAAGACCATCCTCTCCAACCCCATCACTTCCCAGATGAAGAAACTGTAGTTCAGAGGGGTCCTAGGATCATGGGTCCAGAGCTGGGAGGGAGCTCAGAGGCCATTGATCTAGTCCAACCTACTCATTTTACAGATGAACAAACTGAGACTCAGAGAAGGGGAAGCTGCTTGACCAGAATCATACAGCAAGGCAATATCAGAAAAACCTAGGTTTTCCTGACTGCAGGCTCAGCACTCTCTTCCCTATGCCTCTCAATGACTATGAAGTACACCTTTCACAAGACATTAATGTTTCTCTTAGAGCTGGCAAACATGTGTTTAAGGGAGTTCACGAGCACACAGCTTTCACAGGCAGCATGTTGCTTTAGGATCACACACACACACACACACACACACACACACACTTATGCACACACAGAGACACCCCACCTACTCATCCCCTTCTCAGCCAGGGATCCCTGAGGCCTGCAAGTGTCTCTTTCTTGGGTTTAATTTCAGGTCCTAAAATTCTCATCCATGAGATGCTAGTTAGACCCCAGAGTTTCACCTTCTTGTTTGGGGGCTACTCTATGCTCCACCAATCAGGGGAGCGACTCAGGCAGCTGCTGATCACGGCTCCTTATCCAGAGCCCTTAGAAGCATTTTGTCTGAGCTGAGCAGGGAGGGCAGAGGACACTTCCTGTCCAACACTCCGGGAGCCACACCCATTTTCGGCCAGCCTGCAGATCCTCTTCTTTCTTCCTTGGATTCCCATATTAGTCCCTCCATTGTGCTCAAGAGTACAGAACCCTCCCCCTTTATCACTAGATCCAGTGAGGTCAAGTGGAAAAGCAGGGCCCCTGAAGACTTAATTCAAAGGATCGACATTTCCCAAAATATGCTCAAATTTCTACAAAGAGCTGCTTCCACATCCGTGAGGCAACTGGTTTAGCCATACTTAATGTATTTCTCAACAGCCTGCTTTTCTACAGATTAAGAAACAGCTTTCCCTGGCTTTCACCTCTTTCTGACTAACTTCCCAAAGGGCCACTTAAGATGACAGAGAAGGTGCTGTGTGGCATAATGGATAGGGCACTGGGCTTGGAGTCAGCAAAATCTGAATTCAAATCTTGCTTCAGAAACTTCCTGGCTGTGTGATTCTGGGCAAGCCCCTTCCTCTCCCTGTGCCTCAGTGTACCAACCTGTAAAATGAGGAGGTTGGACTCACTGAGCACAAGGACGCCCCTGGAAGCCCCACACTTTTGTTTTATGGACCAGGAAACAGGCCCAGAGGACAGGGAGTCAGAAGCATAGGCAGGACCTGAATCCAGACCCTCTGATGGCTAACCAGTCATTCCTTCCACCACCCCACATTACCTCCCCTGGGCTAACCACTTCTACCTCATTATCACAATCTGCCTCCACCACTCATCGCCCCAGTTCCCCGATTATGCTTCAGGAGGGAGATGTCTTAATAGGATCTGCAAGTCACCTGTTTCCTCCCTCTGGCTGGACTGATAGGGGGTAGCCCAAGTGATCTTACCAGGTCATTAGAGGCTGGCAGAGGGCCGCTGCTCACCCCTTGCTCCATGGGAAAGTCATTCCACTGAGATTGCTTCTCTGGATCCCGTCTACTTCCGTGTCTCTCCGACTCAACTGAGCCATCACAGGAGCCGGCTGCCAGAAGCCCCAGAAAGACAAACAGGAGCCAGCAGCTGGGAAGAACAGCTGTGGCCATCCCAGAGCCCAGAGCCCTCCAGAAGGGGCCCCTGCACTTCCTCTCCAAGCACCCCGAGTCTCCACCAAGGACAAAGCTTGGACCTAGGAAGAAGCCAGGAGGTTGCCCTGAGATACAAGGGGAGGGAGGGGATCAGTGACCAGAGAAAGCTGCTGGGAGGGTTGGGAGGCTGAGATGAGGAGGATGGGGTCCTAGTTGTGGCTCTCCTCCAACCTTCCCCCATAGCCAGCCTGGCCATCCATCAGCTCTGTTCCCTCTGGGGGACAGCCCATTCTTACCCAGGAAAGAGGAATCCATTGGGCACCTGGCCATTGGCTTCAGCTTGGGGTGGCTTCGGAGGGGCGCACCTGCCTGCCTAAGGAACATGATCCCCCTCAGGAACAGATGGGCAGGACCCTCCGAACACTGGTGAGGTCCACCAGAGACCCCCCATCTTTGGGAGGGACAGGAGGACTGGACCCAAACCTGGCCTGCTCCAACGTGGAAGGAGGGGTTGTCTCCAGGTGGGGGGTGATGGTGAAGAGGGGATCTAGAATGATTTCCCTTTTCTGCTTTTCTTCTGCACCTCTTTCAGTTGCAGTGAAGGTTGGCTGGGTGTGGATGACCACTGAGGGCACCTGCAGAATCCTAAGGTCTGTGCCTTCTTGCCAGTAGCATCCCTGCTGGTTTTCCTCTGTCCATCCTGTCAGCAGCCAGGGCTTCTGGAGAAGTGTAAGGTCCCCCGGCCAAATGCAAGCTTCTCCTTTTTTCCCTCTCTCACTGCATCTATTTTCTCCCCTTCCTCCTTGTCTCTCTCTCCCTCTCCTGTGATCTGTCCCTATTTCCCTCTGTCTCTGTTTCTGTGTGTGTGTGTGTCTCTCTCTGGCTCCCTCTTTCTCTAGGTTACTACAGCCACTGGGCGCCTACTTCAGCCAAGTCCCTATCTCTGAAGTTCGGGCTCTTGTCTCCTCCTTTTAATAAGCTTGAATTCCCCGCCTTGATGCCACCCTCTTCACTGGGGGAACCACAGAGCCCTCTTCTGGCCTGAAAGCTAGGTACAAGAGACGGAGAGAGGGAGGGGGCAGGATCTATCTTCAGTCTAGGAGCTCCAGAATGCTGGCAGGGACCCAAGGCTTCCATGCAGAAGACTCACTGGTTGATTAATAGCCCTAGCCTTGTGCCAGCCTAGAACCTGGCTGCTTAGCATTTGAGGGGCTTGAGTCCACTTCCCATACAAGACCCACAAAGGGAAAAGAGCCAGTGACTTCTTAGGCATCTTCAGTGGCCAGGCTCCAGCTGAAGAAAGTTAAAGCTGGCATTGGTGAGTGTAGAGCAAGAAGGGAACACAGAGCTCACTGGTCTTTGAATCAGAGGTCTGGAGGTGGAAGGAAGACCAGAAGCTGTTGGGTCTGACCTCTTCACTTGTGAAGAGCCTGACTGGCCCAAGGGCATAAGTAGTGACCGACAGCAGCAGAACCTGAATTCAGGTCCTCTGACTTCAGCCCCAGTTCCACTGTACCATGCAATAGTCCAGCCCTTCTTTTGGCAGATGAGGAAACTAAGGCACGGAAAGTGACTTACCCAAGGTCACATGGTGGTTTAATGAGAAAGCTGAAACTAAAAGCCAGGTCCCCGACTCAGTACCTAGGGCTCTATCTATCACTCAATGCTAGCTTCTTTCCTTCGGTACCCACCCCGTGGTGCAGATGCTTTAGTAAATTAGAAACATCCTGTGGGATTCCAATTCACTAAGAATTTCTTCCTCTGAAAAAGTCTGGGGTCTTAATACAGCTTCAAGCAGAAGTTTGTTAGATCCATGGATTGTGCAAAGGTTGGACTGTACAGCAAGGTATAAGGGGAGAGGTGGGTGGATTCCAAGGTAAATACACCGAAACATGCATTTATTAAGATCCCTGCATCTGCAGGGCTCCATGTCAGGCACCAGAAAAAGTATAACATTTAGATAATAACTTATCAACATCCTTAATTTAATTCAAAATCCTTAATTTAATTTAATTTAATTCTACAAACATATATTAAGTGCCTCCAATGCGCCAAGCACTGTGCCGGGCACTAGGGATATAATAAGAGACGGCAAGTCCCTACCCTAAAGGACGTTTCATTCCATAGGTATTCCATCCCGTGTACAACAGCAAATAAATAGAGACAGAGACTGAAAGAGACAAAGGGAAAAGTCAGAGGCACAGAGAGACTGAGAGAGAAAGAAAGAGACTGAGAAAGAAGGAAAGAGAGAGGAGAATGGAGAAAGGAGAGAGAGAAAGAGAAAGAGACTGAGAAAGAAGGAAAGAGAGAGGAGAAAGGAGAGAGAGAGAGAGAGAGAGAGAGAGAGAGAGAGAGAGGAGAGAGAGAGAGAGAGAGAGAGAGAGAGAAAGCTCACACTAACACCTGGGGAGGGGAGGGTGGCACAGATCAGGAAAGGAGAGCCCCTGAGGAAGTGGCCCCTGAGTGATGTTTTGAAGAAAGCTAGAGATTCAGTGAGTCAGAGGGGAAGAGAGAGAGAGCAGGAAAGAAAAGGGAATAAAAGCCTTATCTCCCCATCCAGGGCTCTTTCCAGCTATGGAACAGTGTGGAGGAAAGAGATGGAATTTGGTATTCAGGGAACAAGCTTAATGTGAAATGGAAATTGTGTTAAGAGCATAACACGAAATAAAACTGGAAGGGTAGATGGGTGTTAGTTTCTTCAGGACTTAAAGTGCCAACCTCAGGAGTTTGCATTTTTTCTAAAGTCGACAGAGCTAATGAATCTTCTGAGAAGGATGGAGGTGATGCAATTGTGTGTGTTTAGTAATATCGATTACTTTCTAGTAGAGGACCACTAAAACAGAGAGCTATAATACATGTACCTCATGTGCCAGGGCCTCCACAAGATCTTAGGGTCACAGGAAAGGTCTGATCCTGGGAAGTAACCTAGATAAGTCATTTTCTCTTTGGGTTTGTTATATCCCCACCTAATGTCTGTTCCAGGAGAAGCATCCAAATATGATGTGTCTACCTTTCCACAGATGTAGGTAAAAGGTGTCCCCTGCTCCTGTATAAGCATTGGAGGTATAACTGCATGTACATAAAGTACATCCTTTATTTGTCCTCAGAGAAAATGCAGAGGACACAAATACTTGACAGAACACCACAAATGGATACAGAAAAGTTGTAAGGAACCGAAGAGTCCATAAACAGTTATCAAAAACACATAAGCCCTTCTTCTAGGAATTGTACTTTAGATTGTTAAAGAAACAGCGAAAGGGTGAAAAAAAAGGAAAGGAAAAAGGGCTGCAAGTACTTTGTTGCTAGGTGGCATGGTAGATAGAGTGCTGACACTGGAGTCAGAAAGACCCAAGTTCAACTCCAGCCTTGACACTTACTGTGTGCCTCTGGGCAAGTCACTTAACCTCTCAGTGCCTCAGTTTCCTTATCTGTAAAATGGAGATAATAATATCACTTACCTCTCAGTTATTGCAAGGCTCAAATGAGGTAATATTTATAAAGTACTTTGCAAACCTGTAAGTGCTATATAAACACATGTCATTATTGTTGTTAGTGGTGGTGTCACAGCTAGTAATAGAGAGGTGTATCTTCTGACAAGATTGTCTTTCCTTGTGCAGACTATAACCCAGCCATTCTGTACCATTCTTCTCAATATTTCCCCTAAAATTCTCCATGTCAGATCTCCCCAACATTCTGGAGTCCTTCTTCTGGCACTTGTAATATAGCATGAAGACCAGTGCAGAACTGTTCTTCACTATCCTGACAAAACCAGCCCGTCTCTCTTTCCAATCATACATCTCCTGGATGGTATTATTTATACCACTTCCTTCTTTCATGTTGTGATTATTGGTAACAGGTAACATAGGTAACCTACTTACACCCACCATGCATCTCTCTGCTGGCTTTTGGGTGGTCCATCATTTGGAACCTTCAGAAACTATGGTGCTCCATCACTTCTAATTCCTGCAGATTTGCCAGAACATTAATATTTTTTAAAGTGGATATTTGTGACAGGAAACAGAGATGATTAAAGGCACCATTTCCCCAGTGCAAACCAGGCGCTTCTTCTAGGAAGTCCTGAGTGTGGTTTGCTGTCCATTTGCAAGATTTGTACTTTATGTGTGATGCACCAACTCGATGGCTTTTCCATTCAGCTACAAGTCATAGGCTCAGCCATAAGCATCTTTCATGCATTTGCTTTCCCAGTGTGCATAATTAGGTGGACCTCTTTATGAGTCTTTGTGGATTTCATCAGAAGGTCTGTAGTATTCTGGAACTTCATGCACAATGTCGCCTCCAAACAGAAGCATATGATGAATGGCACCACCTCCAGGGAATCCTCTCCACATTGGATCTCTGGACAGGATACCGTGACAGTGGAAGACAACTTTGGTGAGTGTATGTCTCTCTGACTTATGCCTGGGTATATGATCTTATACATGTACATGGGAGACGCCTCACTGGAGGAGAGCTTGTATATAAGTTTGTTTTTTGTTCTTTCAAATCGGTGCTTTTTTACATACAGTTAATGAACCATAAGAACAGTAAACTCTCGTATTCCCGACACCTTTCAGTCTATTGTGTGATTATGTAGATGTGGTCTGTTGTAGAAAATCATCTGTAAAAGCCTCTTTGTGTTTTCATCAATGATTCTCTCTCTCTCTCTCTCTCTCTCTCTCTCTCTCTCTCTCTCTCTCTCTCTCTCTTTCTCTTTCTGTGTGTGTGTGTGTTGATAACTCAAAAAACTGTTATAGAGATGAGCAAGTAGGCACACAAATAATTAGTTACTAAAAGCTTTGTTATTATCTTTTTGGGGGAGTAAAAACATTATCTGGTGTTTTTTTTAATTCTTTGGCATCTCTTGCTCTTTCAGATAACTTGAAAGTTAATGCCTTAATGCATTTAACTTTAAAACTGTAAAGATAAAAATTTAATAGAGGTAAATGCACATTCCTTTACTTGTCTTCCATAAATCAGCTGTACAAGTATAAGATGAAGAAGGCATGGCTGGACAATAATTCATAACAAAAAGATCTGGGATTTTTAATAAACCACAGGCTCAATCTGAACCGACAGAGTGACACCATTTGCCCTCACCCCTGCCCAGAAAAAAAAAAAAGCTTATATGATGCTAGGTTGCATTAGAAGGCATAGTGTCACTGTCAAGAGAGGTCCTGAGCCCTGCTGAACCACACATGGAATATTGTGTTCAGTTCCAGGCAGTACTTTTCAGGAAGGGCATTGATTGACAAATGGGATCATTCCATGTGGGAGGGTCCAACCTGGGTAGTGAAAGGACTGAAGAACATTCTATGCACGGATTTATTGAAGGAACTCTTAATGCTTAGCCTAGAGATGAGAAGACTTGTTGATGATAAACATCTTCAAATATTTGAATGAGTTGTTACATGGCAGCAGGAATTATTCTGGTTGATTCCCAAAGACAGAACTATAAGCATTAAATGAAAGCTGCAGAGAAACAGAATGACATGATTTTTTGAAAATTGTTTTCAATTTTTTCCAATTATATGTAAAAATAATTTTCAACATTCATTTTAAAAAAAATTTTGAGTACCAAATTCTCTCCCTTTCTCCTTCCCTCTTCTCCCTCAATGAAAAGGCAAGCAATTTTATGTATGTTATATATGTGGAGTTATGCAAAACATTTCCATATTAATCCTGTTGTAAAAGAAAACACAGACAAAAAACCACAAACAACACATAAAGAAAAATTTTAAAAGTATGCTTCAATATGCATTCAAACTCCATCAGTTCTTTCTCTGTAGATGGATGGCATTCTTCATCACAAGTTCTTCAGAATCATCTTGGATCATTGTATTGCTCAGAATAACTAAGTTGTTCACAGTTGGTCATTATACAATGTTGCCATTTCTGTATATACTATTCTCCTGATTTCTGCTCTCTTCACTTTGCATCCATTTGGGTAAATCTTTCCAGATTTCTCTGAAAGCATCCTGCTTGTTGCAAAATGACATGATTTAAGGAAAAATCTCTTGTAATTTAGCGAGAGCCAAGAGTGGGCTCCTTGAAATGCAATGAGTTCCCCATCTATGCAGGTCCTCAAGTGAATAATCACTTGTTGGGGATGCTGTAAGAACTAGATCTATGATGGGCTTGGGATTTTTTTGGATGGGAAATTCCCAGTGAGGAAACTCACCAATAAATGTTTACTGATTACTGATTTACTAATAAATGGTTACTGATACAAATTACTGAAGATAAAACATTTTCATGTGGTTGTTAAGATTTCACCAGTCTTCTTTTGAAAGCCATTTACTGATATTCTTTCACCACATTGGGTAACGGTTCTCGATTTTATGTATTTCTGCCAGTACCTTCTGCATCATAGATATTGTTCTTTAATCAGTGATTTTGTTGTTTAGTTGTTTTCAGTCATCTCCAACTCTTCATGACCCTATTTGGAGTGATCATGCAAAGATACTGGAATGGTTTGCCATTTCCTTCTCACGCTCATTTTGCAGATGGGAAAACTGAGGAAAACAGAGTTGAGTGACTTGCGCAGGGTCACATAGCTAGGAAGTGTCTGAGGGCAGATTTGAACTCAGATCTTCCTAAATCTAGGCCTGGTGCTCTATGCACTATGGCACCCCCATCTGTCCTTTAATCAATGATACTTGCCAAATATTTGTCTCATTTGGCAGCATCTCTTCTTAGCTCACACACGCTGATTTTTTTTTATTACCAAAGTTTTAGCTTTGTTTAGTAACAGTTGTATCTTTTGTATTTTAAGATCTCCTCTATCACTTATTTGTTTCAGGAGTCTTCCTCTGGCCATAGTTCTGAAACAGATTTCCTTTCTTTCTTTTCTTTCTTTCTTTTTTTTAAGTTGTCACCTTTTACATTTGGTGTTTGTTGTAGTAAATGGTGTAAGAAGCTGATCTAAATCTCATTTCTGCCAAATTACTTCCTAGTTTTCCCAGCAGTCCCCACCCCCAACTGGAAATTTTTTCCTCAGTAATTTGTGTTTTTAGTTTTCCACCAGGCTACTCTTCTGAATTGCTACTGGTTCTTGCTTATCTAATCTGTTCCATTGGTGTTTTTTTCTATCTTATTAGCACTACACTAGGTACATATCTAGTTTTGTTTTTAAAAAGAACTTTATGATGCTGCTTTTTAATATAAATTGAAGCTGGTAATACAATATCTATTTCATTCTATGTTTTTTTTCCTCGTTACTTCCTTTGAGATCTCAATCTTCTGCCCCTTCTACTGAATTTTGTTATCTCGTCTACTTCTAAAAAAGCATACCATCAGTAGTTTTGTGGGACTAGTGTAGGACTGAATCAGTAAATTAATTTGTCTTCAAACATGTGGAAGAGGTAGTAAACCTGTTTGGCTTAGCCCCAAAAGGCAGAACCAGTAGTAATGGAGGGATGAGGGTGGGGAGAGATGTTAGGAGAACTTCACAAGAAGCAGAGACACCTGAAAGTGCAATGGGGCTGTCTTGGTAGTGAGTTTCCTGTTCTTGGAAAGTTTCAAGCAAAAGTTGGACAGAGAATCTGATAAAGAAGATTCTTGCAAATTAGACTAGATGGCCTCTGAAATTGCCCCCAGCACTGAAATTCTGCTGTTTTTGCCAGTGGGATAATTCCTTTGCCTCCTTGCTGAGAGCTGAAATGTCTCCTTTAATTGTAAGACAGAAACCTATTCCATACTAATTCATTGGGCTCATCTGCCTACAATTTTACAATATGCTTGTGTATTAGTTGGAACGGGGACAAGGGGGTAACCAATCTGTCTGAAAAGGCCTCTCAGGGCACATGTGACATCATGAAAATTATATCATGGAAGAGGACACTCTCGGAAGTCCTAGGGACCAGCTGATGGAGATGGCAGGAGCCATTGCTATTTTCCCAAAGAGTGAACAACACAAATGATGTCATCAGAGCTGCTGGAGGGCCCACAACAAATTGGTTTGAATCCTTGGGCAAATCCGCATGGAATCCCATCTCAGGGTTATGGCCCAACCTTCTTGGGGCTCCGGGACAGAAGGGAGGCAAGCAGGTCTGTGGCATAGGGCTGCCCTGCATGGGTGTCTTCCCCCTTCCAGTTCTGGGAACCTGCTCTAGAACCATCATGATCTTACATGAGCCAAGGGTCAGCCTGAAACAGAGGGCTCTGCTGGGAATCGTTATCCGTCCCATGCTTGGGAAATAATGGGTGAGCACCAACGTGGAAGGAGCAGAGGAGGGTGGGAGGGAGGGAGAGATGGCTCACACATACACGCACACACACATACACACACACACACACACACACACACACACACACACACACACACTCCTTCACGCTCTGCTGAAATTGAATCCTCATTCTTGAGCTCTCATGTCACTGCCTTGGCCTGTGGTTCCCAGCAGACTGATGCAGTCAAGCTGTTCTCTCTTCTTTCTCTCTCACTTTCTCTCATTCTCTCATTCTACGGTTGTCTCTGTCTTCCTCCAAGGGAAAGACCTGGCTGATGAAGTCATGGGAATAAACACTCTGTCTGCTACTGAACACAGAAGTCATCATGTGGAAGGAAAGTCTTGGTGTGGGTGGCCTTCTGCTACTCTATCCCTTACAACTTGTTAACAACCTCCAGGAACAAGCAGTAGTGGAACTGTGACTCCCCTTTCTCCCCCTCCCCCTGGTCCTCCACACATCCATCCATCCATCCCTCCATCCATCCACCCATCCATCCATCCATCCATCCATCCATCCATCCTTGCACATCCTGAGGCCCCTTATTTCAAGATTCCATCCTGCCAAGCACAGGATGACCAAATGAAAACACAATGAAAGCCCTCAGAGTCTCATCTCACCTGTAGGGAGGCAGCTTGGGAAAATGAAAGGACCCTGGGCTTGAACACAGAAGACCAGGGATCCAAGATATAAACCAGTATAAAAGTCTGTCTGTAGCTCCCCACACCCAATTACTCAACAACAAACCCAGAATCTGAACCTTTAAAACCTCTCATAACCTGACCCTGCTCCTTCCTTTCCAGTCTTCATACACTTTACTTATCCTCACATGCCCTGTAATCCAGTGACACCAGCCTCCTGGCTGATCCACCAACAAGACCCTCCATCTCCAGACTCCGAGCATTTGCACTGGCTGTGCCCCAAGCCTGGAATGCTCTCCCTCCTCATCTTTGCCTTCTGGCTTCCTCCAAGTCCCAACCAAAATCCCGGCTTCTCTAGTAAGCACTCCTCGATACCAGTGTCTCCCCTGTAGATTCACTCCCCTTTAACCTGTATTTATCTTGTTGGCACATAGTTGCTTACATGTTATGCCCCTCCCCATTAGACTGTGAGCTTGCCTTTCTTCATCCTTAGTGCTTAGAACACAACCTTGGCCCACAGTTGATGCTTAATAAATGCTTATTGACTGACTGACAATAACTGATTGATGAAACATGTTATCCACCTCCTGATGCAGAGCAAAGGGGCATAAGGAACCCATCTTTCTGGCCACGGCCACTACATGGACTCATGCTGCATGGCTACAATGGTTCTTATGAGAGCCTTTCCACTTTTTTCTCTTGGAAAGGTTGGGGGGGGGAAGCAATAATGACCCTCCCCAAGGTTCATTGTAATATGTTTTTAGTGTGCAGGAAAGGACAAAATAATCAGCCAGAAGCACAAAAGAGACAGTCTTGAAAGTAACGCGTAGAATTTGTTTATTTTAAAGCAAGCCGTATGAAACAGAGAATCATGGGTTCCTCTACAATCCTCATTTTCTAGTCTGATATTCCTGTGGAAATGCTCTTTTTCTGGTGAAGTTCAGAATTTTAAAAAATAACTTAAAAAGACAATTGGAGGGGGGACAGCTAGGTGGTACAGTTGATAGAGCACTGGCCCTGAAGTCAGGAGGACCTGGGTTCAAATCCAGCCGCAGACCAAACACTTGACACATACTAGCTGTGTGACCTTGGGCAAGTCACTTAACCCCGATTGCCTCACTTAAAAAAAAAGACAATTGGAGGGTGCAGCTTCTCCTTAGACTACTTCTGTGTGGTGTCCAACCAGTGTAAAATGAAAAGAATGAAAATGAGATTGACAGATGGCAGGTCTACGGCACTCTTAGATTTACAAAGCATTTCACCTACTTTATCTTCTTAGATCAATATAACAACCTTATGAGGAGACCATTGCTTTACTCTCTTTGCAGGTGTAGAAACTGCATCTCATAGAAATGAAATGACTCGGCTCACACAGTCAGTACCTGACTCAATTCACTGAGGCCACCATCTGCTATAATGGAACTCTAAAACCACAACCTATCTCTACTAGGTAAGCATGCTGCTTTCTTACTAAGCTTTGTCCAGTCCAATCCCCAGAGCATTTATGAAGCACCTACTGTGTGCCAGGTTTTATGCTAGGCTCTAGGGAATCAGTAATAAGTATCTACTGCTGCTCTCAACTATAAGGAGCAGAAAACCATTGAACTTAGGGAGAGGTTGTGTAGACCTCACCTGGGGATGTGTCTAGACTTGCTATAAAGGGCATTACTTTAGGCAACATCCTTCTTAACTCAGACTGATTCCTGGAGTTTTGGGAATAATGATCCCCACAATCACAGAATGTTAGAGGATGGTGGAAGAAGGATCTAGGATGATGTGGACCAATGCCTTTACTTTACAAATGAGACAAGTGAGCCTCAGATCTGGGAAATCATTGCCCAGGCCCTACAGAAAGATCCACAAGTTCTTGGATTTGGAAGAAGCATTGGAAATTGGCTCGTCCAACTTCCTTATTGGATAAATGGGGAAACTGAGCCCTGGACTGGTAGAGTGACCACCTCATAGAATCTTGGACTGGGAAGGGACCTTGAACATCATCTTGTTTAGCTTCCTCCTATACAGATGAGGAAACTGAGGCCCAGAGAAGAAGTAGTATTTAGGGGTGAGGTTGGGTTCTAGGTCTCCTGGCCTTCTATCTGCTGCTCCCCACCCCCAATTACTCAACAGCAAACCCAGAATCTGAATCTAATCCAAGATTCTCTTTAGGCACCCCCCCCACCCTTAAGGCTACCTCCTTTTGTATTTGCCCAATTAATTAGTATGTGTCAGAGGAGGGCCTCAATAATGTAAGTAAAATAGTAACAGCAACCGTGGCAGTCACATTCAAAATCTCTTTGGGAACCAGTGGGTATCTCCTTCCCTTGAGGGCTTCCAGCCCTGGGAAGCAGGAAGCATCAGAAACTTGAACACGGGACGATGTCCAAACACGGCGGAGAGAAGCATCACGACGCAAGGAGAGCTCCCATGAACACCCCCGCTGGCAGCTGAGCTTTAGCAGAGGACGGCGGAAGAACAGGGCTGAGCTCCCGAGGACCTTAGCTCCTCACAAAGGGCTCTGTCCACTTGGAGACATCCATGAAGATGGAGGAAGAGCTGTGGTAAAGCCAGAGGCAGGGCAGGGCCCCTTCCCGTGTCCAGACGTTTTTAGTCCCATCGTACACCTCCATCTCTACCCGGTAGTCCCCTTCCATGCCCTGCCAGCGGCCACCCGTCACGTAGAGCTTGTCTCCCAAGGACACCATGCCACCGTTCTCATGCAGACTGTGAAGGAGCTGAACCTGGAACAAAGATGGCGGCTGGTGAGCATGCTGCTTTTCTTCTATTCCCGGCACTTAGCACGGTGCCTGGCACACAGTAGGTGTTTAATAAATGCTTAGTGACTGGCTGAGAGCCGTAACAAAGATGGGGCAGAGATGAGCCGTTCACTTTAAAAAGGCAAGCAGAAAAATACCTGTTCCTGAGAAACTCATGAGTGAAATCTGTTTACACGGATGTCGTTCGTAGACTCGAGGATTCAGATCAAGAAGGAACTTTAGAGCTCATTCAGGTCATTTGTACAGTTGAGGAAACTGAGGCCCAGGAAGAGTACGTGCTCAAACACAGCATCTGGGATGCATTTGGCCCTGATCTGGCCACATCTAAAGACCAGGAGCATAGACTTAAAACTATAAAGGGCTTTGAGGTCATTCATTGACTACAGAAAGGGGCGGGTGAGTGTTTTGTGAAGTATTTCAGAAAACTGAGGCCCAGGGAGGTAGAGTAATTTGCTCAACATGATGCAAGCAATACGTGTCAGAAGCAGGATTTGAACCCAGGTCATCTGTCTCTCTAAGGTATGTCAGGGTTGGGGGGGGGGTCATCTATCCTTGGTGTCCTTGGCCCTGACCAAGCCAGTATTGTGAAGGCTCATCAGAAACTGTCCCAGCCCAGTGACATCATACATGAAAGGGCTGTCACAGCCATTCCCAGAACGGGCTGCAGGAGAGGAGATGGGAAGGAGCCGCCTGCCCACATTCCTGGCAGGGACAGACTGGGGGGAATCGCTCCCTGGCAAGCATTGTTCTGCACCTGTCCTCCTGCCCCAGCGAGGTCAGCGTGGTCAGCTGGCTGCTGACGTCATGGGAACAGCTGCGGGGGGACTTTGGAATGATCCAAGTGTAACCCTACCCTCAAACAACATTACCAGTGGAGCGATGGAGCCGGCCCGGGGGTCAGGCGCAGGGGCGGAGCCTCTTCCTGCAGATGCCTTGGGTGGAGGGGGGGGCGGGGCATGTGCCTAGGCCTGGCCATCAAAGTTTCCAGGGACCGTCCTTCTACCCCACCCTCTAGGAAAGTCTGAGAGGTAGCACGAGAGTCCTTGCTGAGGATGGTCTGGGAGGAAGGATGCCTGTGCCACCCTGAACAAGTCACTTCACGTGTGTGGGGTGTTTCCTCATTGATAAAATGCCGAGGCTGAACTGGCTGGCCTCTGAGGTCCCTCCAGCTCCACGGTCTGATACCTGTGTGACCTTGGGTCAGTCACATGACATCACCAGATGGTCTGGCAGGTTCCTGCCATATCTAGAATCCTATGGCTATGGACTGGGCACCTCATAAAAATACAGACTTGGAGATGAAGAAACTGAGTCACAGAGAAGTGAGGGGACTTGCCCCGTAGTGTCACACATTGAGTCAGTGTCAGAGCTGGGATTTGAACCAAGGTCTGACTTCAAATCCAGCCCTCTTCCTACTCTTCTGTGTTCATCTAGTCCTCAGAGACGTTGAATCCATCTCCCAGGGTCCCAGTGGCACTAAATGATGCATCCTTTGACTTCAGACACCTTCCACCAGATTGAATCTTCACGGTCACATGTGCTGAAGGAGGCTCAGAACGCTGGCCCAAGAGAAGGCCCTACCAGCTCCCAGGGGTATGGGAAGAGAACTGCTTGGAAAACTTTAGAGAACTCGAGAAATGGAGAAATTAATCACTCCTGTTTCTCTAACGTTTTACCATCTGCAAGCCACTTCCTGTACATCGTCCTGTCAGAACCTCACAAACTGCCCAGTGAGGAAGGTGCTGCGGGCACGACTGGCCCCATTTTGCACATGAGAAAACTGAGGCTGGGAGAGGTTCAGCAGCCTGCCTGAGGTCACACGGCCAGTAAGGGTCAGAGGCCGGAGCTAAGCCCAGGCATTCCCGAATACGCCTCAGCCCTCGCCCATGCTGTGTCTCCACAAGCACTTTCTGCCTGTGCCCCCTGGCAGTTCAGACATTGGTGAAATGAGGATGCCAAGGAACTTCTCACAAGATGACCATGGGACTGAAGAGTTGAAAGGAACCTCGGGAAGCATCTAGTCTAACCCTTACCCAAAGGAATCCTTCCCCTACAATCCCTGAGAAGTAGTCATGCGACCTGACCCTCAGAGGAGGGCAAGCCCATCCCGCTCTGGGACAGCACTCATCAGAAGGAAGCTTTTCCACCCAAATTGGCCTCCTTGGCATTTCCACCCTTTGCTCCTGGTTCTTTGATACCTCAGGGATCAAACAGACCAAACTTAATCTGACCCGTGGAGGCCTTTCAGAAACATGGACACGGCTCTCGTGTCCCCTAAGTCTTCTCCAAAATAGGCATCCTTCGGTCTTTAAGCTGATGCTTGTGTAATGTGACCCCAAGGTCCTTCCCCGTCCTGGCCACTTTCCAGAATTACCAATGTGCTGCCTCGAGTGGAACCCAGGCCTGGATATGCTGTCTGACCAGGGCAGATGACACAGTAAGCCTCCCTGTTCCTCCAAGTCCTGTTCCCCTAAGGCAGCCCAAGATCACTTTGGCTTTTACTTCCATGGGAACATTGAGGAATCAAGCTCCTCTGGCCTCATGACAGACAATGGGGTCTGTCCACCATGTGTTCCCACTGTACCGACCCCAAGGTGAGAAAGGACCAGAGCAGCTCCTGGGAAAGATGAGCTTACCTTCTGCCACACGTTGGCTTCGGGGTCATACATGTAGACTTTCTTGGTGTTGTCCCCAATGAGGTAGATGGCCCCATTCAGAGAGGCACAGCGAGGGGAGGAGAGGTACTTTGGGATGAAAGGTGAGGCAATCACACTCCAGACTTCTGCAAGAAAAACATGGTGAGATTGACATGAAGACGAAAGATGCCATCTCTACCCAACCACGGCTTGTTGCTGAGGCGCAGGGAATAGGGTGCTCGACTTAGAGTCAGGAAGACCCAAGTTCAAATCCAGCCTCTGATACTTACTAGCTGTGTGACCCTGGGCAAGTCACTCAACCCTGTTTGCCTCAGTTTCCTCATCAATTGCCTCTCTAATCCCTTCTTGCTTCCAAATCTTTGATCTTATGAAAGGAAACACTTGAGACATTAGCCTGAATGGTTGTTGGGGATGAAGGTCATTCATTAATCCCTATCCTGTCAAGTTAGTATCATCCAGACAGAAGCACCTTACTCAGGATTGCACTCCTGAATTTAGCTGGCCGTCCAAAAAATGAGACGCCACGCTCATAAAATCAAGCCACATTTCTATGAGATCACAGACTTAGGGCTGGAAGGAACCCCTTCATTTTCCACAGGAGAAGCGGATGCCCACAGCTCTGGGTAGAGGTTTGCTCAGTGTCATACTGGTAACTAAGTGAAAAAGCTCGGATCTGAACCTATCCAGCCCCTTAAGCTTTACCAAACACCTTCTTCATGGTCAAGTCTGAGTGGTCAGTAGTGCACACTCTGCCGTTTCCATTTTATGGATGAGGATGATGAGGCTGAGAGCCCACCTAGGACAGTTACACGGCTAGCAAGTATCAGGCACCAGGTCTGTGATTCTCATTCCAACAGTTGTTACTACTATTTCGCCCTGCTGGGTTTCTAGGCGTAAAAAGGCACCAAGTGTGAGAGTGTGGGGGCCTTATTCCAAGTCCCCTCATTGGGTGTCATCATTCTAGGCAAGAGCTCATTGGAGGAACTGGGGATATTCCACCTGGAGGAGATCTAGGGCCATGATCACTTTCTCCGAGGACTGGAAGAGGATTAACTTTATTCATCCCAGCCTCGGGGCCATGACTAGGATTGGAATAAGACAGATTTAGGCTGAATGTCGGGAAACTTTCTAACCATCAGAAGTGATCGTTATAACCAGTGGGGAGTGGGCAACTTTGAAAGGTGATGAGTTTCCCCTCTGGCTGGAGAAGGACTCGCCAGGTAGATTACAGTGGGGATTCTCCAACATTTTGAGCCAGTCGAGATGGCTGATGAGGCCCTTGCCCAGTCTCAGACTCCCTGGAAGGCTGGAAGCCCTCCTGCTGCTGATTTTCCCTGGCTTCGTGAAGGAGCCCATCTTGATCCCAGGCCTTCCTCCACAGCCCGGCCCTACCCGCTGTCCCACACAGCGGCCACTCACCTGTGAGGGGGTTATAGCACTGCAGCGTCAGCGCGTTGTATTTGCAGGCACATGAGCCCACGAGGTAGAGCCTCCCGTGGCAGCCAGCAGCAGAGAAGTTACTCACATACTTCAGTGCTGGACCGATGACCGACCAGCTGTTGTTGTATGGATTATAGCTCTCTACCTCTACCACGTCCATAGTGGTACCTAGGAGGGGATATGGACATGGATGGGGGAAGTAAACAGATGACACACTCATGGGGGAAAGCCCAGGAGCAGAAAGTGAACGCAGAGGCTGTCTGACCCCTTCATTTTACAGATGAGGAAACTGAGGCCCAAGTCATACAAGTAGGAAGTGGTAGAGCTGGGATTTGAACTTGGGTCCTGTGACTTCTAGTTCATTAACTAGGTGCTGACGACACTTAGGCATGCCCTCAGGGAGCTTCCAGTCTCCAATTTCATGTCCCCATAAAGGTAGGCTAAATCAGAAGGATTTAAACCTCTTTAAACCTGAGGGTCCGCAGTGGGGCTTAGCCATGATCACAAGTGCCCCCAGAGCAGGTGTAAAGCACAAGAAAAGAAGGAAAAATAACAGCTCATGTTTCTATAAGACTTTAAAATTCGCGGAGCCAATCAGTCAGTCAACAAGCCTGGCTCCTTTTACCAGTGAGGAAAGTGAGGATCAGAGAGGAAGGCTCGTCCTGGTGAAACAGCTAAGGAAAGCCAGGACCCAGGCTCGAAGCTAGCTCTCTGCACATCTAAATTCACTGTTCTTTCTACTATGCTAGGAACAGGGAAAGGTGAAGCAGGAGAAGGAAGAAGAGAGAGGTGCCCACGGTGGGAAAGCGTGGGAAGCTCTAGCCTCAGGGAACACTTCATTTGTCCAAGGCCATGACCCTATTGGTGAGAAAACAGGGCCATCAAAATATCAGCAGAATGACTTACAGATTCCTCTAGAGATACTTACGCTCTAGGGGGGACCAAGTCACCTGACTTCTCCAGGCCCTGGATTCCTCATCTGTAACATGAGGTCACTTAAGGACCGCTACCATCCCTTCCAGCTCAAGACTCATGCTCCTCGGAAGCTATGAGGCCGTCCCTACTAGTATGGCACCAGGCCGTTCCATACAAGGCAGCAGCGGGCAGCTGGCTGGACCTCCTTGGCCTCGACTAGCTCACGTGGGTGAGCTGGCTGAGTTTAAAGGAGCCCTTCGAATGCCATGTGGGTTCCACCCCAGGGTCAGGGGGCCTACACTTGGACAGTGGGTTACACGTTGGAAACATGGTGTCTGGAAGTTAACTGCCCTGACTTGATTGATGTCAAGGATGAAAGCCAAGGCCTATCTCCTGAACCTACAGAAAGTGTGACGAAATAATGTGGAAGCCAGTCTCAAAGACCAGAGTCACAGATTCAGCCCCAAATAAACAAGGGATCCAGGTATCCTAAACCCGAATGAAACTGGGGTTAGCCAAACTCTGTGGATAGAGCAACAGGCCTGGAGTCAGGAAGACTCATCTTCCTGAGTTCAAATTGGCCCTCAGACACTAGCTGTGTGACCCTGGGCAAGTCACTTCACCCTGTTTGCCTCAGTTTCCTCATCTGTAAAATGAGCTGAAGAAGGAAATGGCAAAACCATTCCAGTGTCTCTGCCAAGAAAACTCCAAACGGGGTCACAAAGCAGCGGACATGACTGAAAGGACTGAACAACAAATGGAAATCAAGCTTGAGTTTCACTAGACTCTGTCCTTGGGAAATTTAGAAGGCAGACACATTCATTCACTTATTCAAAATACTTTTATCGAACCCTTATTATCTGCAAAGCGCACGGTCTATTAGGTGCTGTAGGAGATGCTGAGATCAATGTATCACTTCCTCTACTTTCATGTAGCTTCTAGTCTAATTGGGAAAATGATGTGCTCAAGTAACAATGATTCAAAATGGAATGTGATCAGTGGCACGAGACAGGTCCGGATGACTCCGAGAATTCAGAAGATGACCTGATCTCTCCCAACAGGACAGATCTGAACAGGCTTCAGTGAGGAGGCGGCAGTGGGGACGGTCCTGGAAGACGTGTTCTAACTCTAGTGACGTGAGGCTTGGCAGAAGGATAAAGGACGGGAAGAAGTGAACTTTGAAAATGCGGTCAGGACTCCTGCAAATGTCACAGACCACAGATAATCTTTGCAGACAAAATAATATTTGGAAACTCTGCCAAGACGGGTGTACTTGGAAGCTCTGCCCACAGTTCCCCAAACGGGGATGTTTACTAGATTAAAACAGAAAGGAGGAAGCTGTAAAGCCAGCTGGCCCTCACCCCCAATGGCGTAGACCTCTCCATTGAGCGCAGCACTGGCGTGGTTGGTACGGGCTTTCAACATCGGTGCAATAAGTTTCCAGATGCCCTCCTTCTGGGAAAAGCACCAGGCCTGGGTCGTGGACCAGGTGTCTATCTTACTGCCGCGGGAGCCACCTGCCAAGAAACACCTCAGTCAGGGACAGGCGTGAAAGTGTAGGCACGTGGTCTCCTTCCTCCCCGCAGCAAGGGGAAGTTCCTGGGCCACTGCCCGGTCCTCATCTTCATCAGTGGATGTTAAACACTCCCTGTGCTCAGGACCCTACGGACAGGATGCCCTTCTCCGCTGCCCCCCTCAGCTTCCCTCAGAGAGCCCCAGAAGCTCAGAGCTAGAACCTCAGAGTCACCTGGTTCGCCCCTTACTGGGACAAGATTCCCCTCACCAACATCCTTGACAAGACCTCACTCAGCCACAGCTTCAAAGGCTCTGGGGAGAGGGAACCTGCTATGCCTCAGGGCGCCCCACTTTGAGGTGACTCCAATCACTGGCAAGTTCTTTGTACCATCTAGTCTAAATGGCCCTTGGTAACTTCCACCAACGGGCTGGCCCCTTGAAAGATGAGAAGGGGCTGGGGATGGGCAGAGGGGAGCAGGAGGGACCTTTCTTGCCATAATCTCAGCTTCATACACAGGGCACGTGTCCCCAAAGTCAGTGGACTTCTAAGTTTGCACAGCATTACAGCTTCAGGAATTAAGTCTAGCGGCCTTGAAGCTATTAAATCTTCAATCTGTCCTAAGGCTTTGGGGACCCCCTGTCTGGCTGGCATCACCTCCCTGACGTCATGGTCTTCTTCCAGAATGAAGGACAAGGTTTGTAAAGCACCTTGCATGCGTTAGCTCATCTGAACCCCATGACAACCCCTCGAGGTGGTGCTATCATCACGCCCACCTTACAGATGAAGAAATTAAGCTTCAGATAGTGGGAGAGACTTCTGATGGTCACGCAGTTGGAGTGGTAGTGAACAGGCTTGACCCCCTGGTCTTCCTGACTCCAAGCACAGCGATCCGTCCATGCCACCAAGGATGGTTGCCCAGAATCATTCAGAGACATCCCTAGCTGCATGACTTTGGGCCAACCACTTCACTTTTAGGGGCCTCCTCATCTATAAAATGGGAACAATCATATCACCCAGATCAAATGAGTGGCTGGCCCAATAGGAGGCTGGGAGTCTTTTTAGCCCGACAACTGGGAAATTGCAGGAAAAGGAAATTCAATTTTTAATGAATACAGACGGTCCAGCAGCATCCTGTTGAAGAGCTGGGGCTGGTCGAGGACGGCAGGCCACAGAAGGGGGGTTAGTCATGCAGAGCTGAGGCAAGGATGCCCAGGGGCACCGAAGCAAACATCCAGACTCTGCCCAGGTGCAAAGGGCAAGGCTTCGAAGGCTCATGACCATACGGGATCAGCTCCTGGCATGGGAGTGCCCCTCCCAGACGCTGATGGCCCAGGCGCCTCCGATGACAGCTGGGACGCCAAATAAACCCAGGAGGGCATTGAATTAGACAGAAGAATGTGGCCTGGAAGAGATGACCCCTCCCTTCCCCGGGGACTCCAGTGAGCAAGAAATAGAACTCAGAAACGAGGCTTAAAATCAAAGCCCCCATGGAGTGCCCTGGGCGGAACCCTCAGCCTTCCTCCACCTACGTACCTGTGACATAAATATCGTTGTTCAGTGCCACGAGAGAAAAGCCCCATTTGTGGTAGTCGGGGAAATCGGGAAGGGCGGTCCAGCATTCTGATAAGGAAGGAGAAGGGGGTGAGTGAACATCAGAAGATGGAACATGAACTGAAGGCTGTGACACCTGATCAGAAGCACCGGTTCTGAGCAGCAAGGGAGGGAAGGCACTAGGACGCAGAGGTCAGGAATAGCTTCTTGCAGAAGGTGGGGTTTTAGCTGGGACTCGAAGGAGGCCAGGACAGCCATGGGGTGGAGCTGAGGAGGGACAGCATTCCATGCCAGGAGGACCGCCACCGAAACGGCCGGAGCAAGAGAGGCGGCTTCTTGGGCAAGAATTACAAAGAGGTCCGAGTCACTGGACTGAAGAGGACTGAAGAGGGGGGAGGGAGCTGGGTTCTGAAGGGCTTTGGACAGCCAAGAGAGTGGACCAGGAGCCACAGCTGCTTATGGAATTGGGGTGAGGGGAGGGTGATGTGGTCAGACCTGTGTTTTAGAAAAATCAGTGGCAGCTGAGTGGGGAGAGATGTGAGGCTGGGAGGACCACCCGGGAGGTGACTGCAATAGTCCAGGTGTGAGGTGACAGGGGCCTGCACCAGGGTGGGGCCACGTCATTCCCACAGGGAATGGGCCACCCTGGGAGGTGACGGGCTGCCCTCCTTGGACATTCTGAGCACAGGCCGGAGGCCGACTTGTCAGGTGGCCATCCTACAGTGGGTGCCTCTCAGGGATGGCCACTGAGGAGCCTTCCAATGCTACACTTCGGTGATTCTGGACCCTCTCTTCATGAGCCCATGCCGGCTCTCTGGAAGCCCAGGAAGCCTTGCATCAAACTTTCTCAGGTTTCAGAGATAAGCTCACCTTTGGAAGAAGACATCTTTGAGTCTGATTTACATCCAACCAAGACCTTACTCTACTTTTGAGTCTGGATGGTCTCCTTTTCCCTAATGAAAATATTAAGAAATAAGCATTTCTCCATTCTAAACTCATCTCCAGACTTCTCTCAGTGGAGGAGGCCTTATGTTCAACCATTTTTCAGTCACATCTGACTCTTGGTAACCCCATTTGGGAGTTTTCTTGGCAGAAATACTGGAGCCATTTCTTTCTCTAGCTTATAGTACAGATGAGGCTAACAGCGTGAAGTGACTTGCCCAGGGTCACACAGCTAGTAAGCATCTGTGGCTGGATTTGAACTCAGGAAGATGAGTCCAGACCCAGTTCTCTAAGAACTATGGCACCACCTAGCTGCCCCAAAAGGAAACTATTAACCCTTAAACTTCCAGGCAACAAGGAACTCTACTACATCTTTCCCCTACCATACCCCTTCTCCTAAAACTGACCAGTGGGGCAGAAGGTTAAGAATGAACTCAAAGGCTCCCAAGTTAGAATGGGATACAGGTTCATGCAGTCAAGGTCATTGCCTCCCTCCACTCTTGGCCAGAGTGAATGGTTGGGGAAATGTCACACACAATTTAGCTGATGTTTTGTTTATTGAAAGAAACTGTCCACAGAAGTGTTCCCTAAGCTGTGGACCCCACTCAGCCTTGACCCTGAACTGTCCTTGTGCAAGAACTCCATAAATTGTAATCACAAAGTGCCTTGTGTCAGAGCAAAGTCTGAGGACGTGAGGGATTCTGTCGGTTTGGACATTTCTCACTCCAAGCTGAAAAAAAAAAGCTTCATCAGAATAATTCCAACTAATGAAATTGTTTCCGACAAACTTGAGCTCCAAGTACAGAGGACAGTCTCTTTTCTTCCTCACTCACCCTACAGAGAGATGCCAACAACAGCACAGGGAAAGAAAGAATTTACAAGGGGTTGGTAGGAGATCGCCTTCCAAAGCATCCCTGTCGAAAGCTCCCCAGAGAAAGTTCCCCAGCTAGTTTTTAATCCTTCTCTTCAAAGGCAAAACTAGAAACTTTAGCACACTTCATGATGAATCTCTTCATAGACTCACAGAATTGGAGCTGTAAAAGATCTTGGAGGTGTCTGGGGCAACCTTCTCAATTTATATATAAAGAAACTGAGGACCAGGTAGGGAAATAGTTTTCCCAAGATCACACTGGCAGTAAGTGCTAGACCCGGGCTTCAACCCTGATGCTCTGACTACAGAGAACAAACCTGTTCTACTACATCACGATGCATTTCCCATCATGAGCCATTTTCTGCCTCTCCCCAAGATCTGCATTTACATGGTCCCAGTCTTGGGAGCTCCCTCTCACCTCAAGCCATATTTCTTCCTCTGAGAACCTCAGAATGTAGCTCATGCCTAGGTTTCCAAAAATATGAATTAATGGGGTTTAAGCCTGTGAAAGCACTCAAGGTAACAGTAAACATCAAATATAGGACAACCTATACTTTACCCCACAGAAAGACTAAAAAACAGCACAGAAGATTCACTTTGGACCATAAATAATCAGGACACTGTCCTTCTCTCCAGGAAGTCCCACCTTTGCCTCAGGCCCCTTTGGAGACCTCCAATCTCACAGCACTACCCCCATATTTGTACCTGACTTAAGAGGACAAATTGGGAACTGATAGAAAGGAGACCTTCACATTCAGTCCCACCTTCAACCCCAGGGATCTTCATAGACCTACATTCTTACAGTTCTACCCTAAAGGCTTGGACTCTCCTTGGAAGAGAAATAAAGTTTGGGCTGATAGAGATGCAATTCCATTTCCCATCAGAACGGTGCCAGGCAAACAATTCACAGTAAGAGAAAGGGCACATTCTAGATTTTCGCTCCTCTATGTCACGACTTTAGTCCCTCGCTACTCCTCCATCTTGGGGACCAAGTATTCAATCCTTTTCTGCTTTAGAAACCAGCACTATCCAGATACTGTCCCCTCCTACATCTAAGTCCAGGAAAAACCTGTGAATCAGCACAGCCTTGCCCCCCCCCACCTGCTCACAGTCACGTCTGCATGGTTCTTCTTTCAAACTGTCTGAATCTGGGCTCCAAGATCCCACCGCCACCACCACCATTGCCATACTTGCAAATGCCCACTACCACAGGGGAGGTTCTGAGTCAGAATATTTTGAGTCAAACAAATCACTCCAGGATCATGAGGCTTCATCTAAAACAATAGTCACTAATCTTCAGTGAAATGTAAATAAGTCAAGTACCCAAGTCTAGAAAATTCTCTGAATTCTGTCAGGAGATGCAGTCAAAGTCCCAAACAGTAGACTTCTCCTAAGTGGAAAAGGCACTATGTCTGGAGTCAGAGGTCCTGGGTTCATATCCTGCCTGTGGCAACTCACTACTTGCTGACTTTGGGTGGGGCACTTCATCTCTCTGGGCCTCAGTTTCCCCAACTGTAAAATGAGAAAGTTGGACCTCAAAGGTCCCTTCCAACTCTATCTATGACCCCATGATCCTAATAACTATGGATGAGATGGTCAGGTTTCCCCATATGCAAAGTAAGCCAATTGCCCAACAGTTCTGAGAGTCACTCTCAGGATCTCCCAACAGAGAAGATTAAGGAAGCCCTAACACACTTTTGTTCCTTCATCCTGCTTTATTCCATCTAGACTCCCAGGGATGGGACAAGGATCAAGTAAACAGGGGTAGCCAGGATGGGTCCATGACCACGCAGTGCCATAGAAAGGCCGCTAGCCCAGCAGGGTCCTGGGGGGGGGGAAGGGGAAGAACAGGAAACCCGGGTTCTAGTCTGGCTTCTCTCCTCCTCTGAGGGGTGACCATGGGCTTCAGGAAGCTCATCCATAAAATGGAGATGATGACCCTTGCAGTACATAACACAGCAGTGCTGATTGGGTGGGTAAGCTGAGACCATGAGCACACAGGTCCTGAGAGGTCTCCCCATGTCTGGTCCTTTTCTCCAGTGCACCCCACACCACAGCTAACAGAAACTTCCTAAGGAGCAGAAGGGACCTCCTTCCTTATTCTGCTGCTCAAGAATCTGTACTGGCTTCCAGATAGACTATAAAGTCCTTGGCTTGGCCTTCAATGCTCTTCACAGAATGGCTTCCGCCCCCCTTTCCAGGCTCACTTCCCTCGATTTTCCTTCACAAACGCTATGCTCAGCCAAACTGTGCTATTTGATGTTTCCCGAAGTCAACATGTTATGTCCACCTCCATGCCCCTGCATGCTGGGCCCAGAGCCTGAGATGCACTCGCTCCTTGCTCTGCTTCATGGAATTGCTGGCGTCCTTAACAGCTCTGCTCAAGAGCTATGTAGGAAGTCCTTCCCCATCCTCTTGGCTGTTAGAGCTTCCTCCCCTCCAATGATCGTATCTGTAAAAGTCAAAGGAAGGGACTTCTGGTCTTCGCATTCCCGAAGCTTAGCATGGGGTCTTAGAAAAGCTGCTTGGCTTCAGTTGGTGAATGGAAATGCTATGGACGATGTCATTAGGCTGCTGAGTGAGGGTCCTAGGGATTTGTATCCCCCTCTCCACTTCAGGGAGTTTATTCAGCATCAGAGTGCCTGACTGATCACTGCAGAGTGGCAAACTTGGGGACATTTCTGACTTTGGGTACTTTGAGATAAGTTGGCCTGCTCCGTGTACTGACTCTATGTCCTCTACGTGCGTCATCTTGCCTGGATCATGTCCCCTCTGATTCATGTTTGGGTCACCCTGGGAGGGCAGAGGAAAGGGCCAGAGCATTGTCTCACTGGGCTGCCTGGGGGCCTGCCAGCCAGGCTCCGATTGGGCAGTGCACAGCTGCTGGGCCCAGTGGGCCAAGAGAGCTCATCACATTAGCTCAGCCTGCAATCTCTCATGCTCCCAGGGCTCTCTTCCCCAGCCAGGACTCTACTGGGGACCGGTTTTGACAGTGCCAGTGTGTGGTGTCAGGGACTGCTGACCACAGGAGAGCTTGCTGGCCCATCCCAGATTCCAATCAGACGGTTCCAAGGGGCTTTGCTGTCTTTGTCCAGAGAGCACATGCCCTGATCTCCCCCTATGATCCCCCCACCCTGGGCTCCTAGAAATCCAGCCAAGTTCTCACTGAGAGAGACGTCACTGTCTGTCCAGCCGCTGATTGTTCTGAGGGACACAGGCAGGATGATTTTTGTCCCCATGGAGACGCCCTCCAGACACAAGGATGGGCATCCAAGAGTAGGATTCCCAGCATATGTATCTGCTCTGTTGTTGAGTTTCGTCACTAAGGAACCAGAACACATCAGCTTGGCTCCTGGCTGCCCAAAGGACCGGGCAAGTGGGTAATGAAAGGGGCCTAAGCAAGGTTATACAGCGTCAGCCAACAGCGCTTCAAGGTTCACGAGCAAATTTACATCCATGATCTCACCAAAGGCTCCCAACAGCCTAATGTGCCCAGCAGTACAGGTATCACTAGCCCCATTCTCCAGAAGCTCACAGGCAGGAGTCGAACCCAGGCATCTTGACTCACTTAACCTCGAAGTCCTCTAAGGCTAAAGATTGCAGAGCAGGTGGAAATCTGCATGAATAAAGGGAGTTTTCTCACCAAGAACTGAGTATACCAGTGAGATCATAAATAAGTCTGAATGTGAATGAATGAATGAAAAAATCAGGTCTGGATGTGAATGAATGAATGAATGATCATGGGTCTGAACATGAATGAATGAATGAATGAAAAATCACAGGGCTGAATGTGAATGAATAAAGGAATGAAAAAATCGGGTCTGGATATGAATGAATGAATGAAAGAAGGAAACAATATTTATCAAACAAAGTTTCCTATGTGCCAAGCATCATGCTATGTACTGAGGATACTAGTACAGAAGGTAAAACAGACCCAGTCTTTCAGGGGCTTCTTCCATCCCAATGAGGGCAGGAGATGTGGTTGTCATATTTGGGTTTGTTCCAGGGATAGTGGTGAGCAGAACCAAGGGGCCGTAGATTGAAGAGCCACTCCCAGCAGAAATGGCGATACAGTTTGATGATGCTTCCAGAACTCAAAAGGAGGAGGCGGTGGAGTGGGAGGAGAAAGGTGGCGATGAGGAGGTGCCTGAGTGCGGCAGCTGGGGAGAAGATGGGGGGGTAGTAAAGTGAAGCCTGACCTGACCTGACGGGCCACGTAAGACCTTCACCAATCTCAAGACCACGGCCCATGGGCTGAAGCTCTGGAGATGAAAGGGCTCAAAAAATCCTAGGTCCAAAGCCTCATCCTCTACACCAGGAGAGAGAAATTCAGGTTAAACGGTATTGAAATGGCATCTTGGGGAGAGGGGATGCTCAGCAGACTTAGAATCAGGCACACCTGGGTTCAGATCTTGCCTCTGACACTTTTGAGCTGTGACCATGAACAAGTTAGCCCACCTTTCCGAGCCTCAGTTCTCTCATCTGTGAAATGGGGACAACACCTGCTGCTTCTATCTCACAGGGCTGTTGTGAGTCTCCGGTGAGACCATGGCTGTAGAGGGCTTCACAAGCATTAGAGAGACAAAGAAATGCCACCTGTCACCATTATCATGATCTCATGTTTGACGGAGGTGGGTTACAAAAAGTCCTCTGCTGTTCTCACTGTCATCATCGTTATAGTTACTGAATAATGGAGGAAAAGGAGGCAGGGGTGAGTAAGAACACTGTCCCGCCCCAAGCTCAAGGCAGGACTTGGTTCAGGCTGATTTGGGGCCAGATCTTTCTCTGAAGCTTAGCAGAGAAGCTGTTCACTGGAGGGAAAGAAACCTTGGACTTGGAGGTGGACGCCCTGAGCTGTATGACCTTGATCAAGTCACAGGATTACCCTGAGCCTCAGTCTTCTCATCTGCAAAATGGGAATGTTGGTGATGCTTGTACTAAAGAGCAGTTTTAAGAATCAGATGAAATCATGTACATGTCCATTACCATAAAGGCAAACTTTAACATAAGCTAATCATGTCTCAAAACCGTAGGATGTGCCAGGGACAACCCCACGGGGGACAGCAATGACCATCTAGGTGGTGTGATTTAAAGGGTACCCTGTCCCAAAAGGTCCTCCTTACTGATCTACCCTGTTATCTGTTAAATCCCCACATTAGACTCGTGAAATGATCTATGTTAAGTGTCTTGTGAGCCTTAAAACTCTTCAGAAATGTTAGCTATCATTATGCATTTTGCTATTGTTAATGTTTTTGCAGTTAAAACACCAAGCCTCCAACAGCTATGTGGTGCAGTGGGCAGAGTGCTGGATTCAAATCCAGATTCAGACACTTAGTAGCTAAGCAAGCTTGGGCAAGTCATTTAACTTCCATCTGCCTCAGTTTCTTCAACTGTAAAATGGGGATAATAATAGTGATTTTTCCCCTCCCAGTGTTGTTATGAGGATAAAGGGAGAAAATTTTGTAAAGTACTCCCTATCACCATCATCACCATCACCATCATCATCATCATCATCATCATCATCATCATCATCATTATCATTGTTATTTTCCAGTAGAGTTAGCCACCCCACCAGTCATAATAAGAGAAGAGGACGAAGTGAGCATTGTCAGCCATGTAGACGTTAATGGGCAGATAGGACCTTTCAATTCTTTGTTTCTCCCTGGGCTTTGGCCTAGCATGGGTCTTGTATACAGTTGTCAGTCAATGAATGTTTGTTGAATGAATAAAGAGTGAATGAATGAATGAGTTTACCTAGACTGTCATTTGGAAAAATGACTGGGGGCTCAGACAAGTATGATCAGGAAGAAAAGGAGGAGGTAGAAGGTGGGGGTGGGTCCAAGCAGGAAGGCAGGCCTGGCCTGCTTAAAGGTCCCCACAGATTTTTTTATCTCAGCATCAGACTTTTGGCCATCTGGTGAAGCCTGCCAACCCTTTCTCAGAATAAAGTTTTCTTAAATGCACAAAATAAAATGTGTTGCGTTACAAAAGAAACCAAAGGCTAGGAAAAAGGAGGATTTTTTTTTCCCATCCAAATTCATGGACTCCCTGAATCTCTTCCCAGATTCCCTGGGGGTATGTGGAGCCCAGGTTGAGCGCTCCTGTCATTGAGGTTGGTAAGAGGGGGATGGAGGGACGCACAGGGAGGCCCCATCCTTCCCAGCCTATGGCTGCTCCTCATATAAATGATCCACTACTGCTTTTGAGAAGGGAAAAACACATGAGGGAGGACCCCCAGCTTGTCACTACCCATGGAAAGGCCCGTTTAGAATTTCTCCCATTTGGAGCCCCCAGCCTCCCCTCCGCAGTCCCAGTCATCAGGCTTCCAGCACGCTCTGAGACCCTTAACTGCAGCTTTGCCATGGAAGGGGAAAAGGAAGAGGCTTGGGCTTGAGGGAACTAAGGGGTCCAGCTGAGCTCTGGGGACCAGCCCTCCAGGAAGCTGGAGAGAGCTTGGAGGAAGGAAGAAGATCCTGGGATCCTAGAGTTTGTCAGGCTCTTCCTGAAGCCCTGTGTCTTTCAGGGCCTCCCTCATGTAATTACTATTCTCATTTCAAAGACAAGACAAGTGAGGCCCAAGGAATTCCAGTGATCTCTACAAGGCCTCCAATCCATTCTGGGGCAGACTGGGGACCAGAAGCCTCAGAGGAGTTCCTGTTGTCTGGGATTTGGCTCTTGCACCAGGATAAAGCATTTCTTCCCCTGCCCCCAGCAAGGAGTCAGTGAAGACCACAGAGACAAACACTGGTGCTGCTGGCAGCTTTGGGCTTGCCCTCAAAAGCTCCTGGCTGGCACTGAGGCCTTTTGAAGGTGGTGTCAGCCACAAATGTTCTCATTCACAGCTTAAAGGGCCACCAGGCTCAAGGGGGCAAAGCCCATGCTACTGGGAGGCAGCTTCATTGGTATCAGCTGGCCTGGGTAATAATCCTCCCACTGGCCCTGCTCCCTAGCCAATCCCAGCACCTGCCCTCCCTGCCACTTGCTCAGTCTGGGAGGGTCCAGGTGAGCCAGGGGGCCGACTGTTCCAGCAGCCATAATCAAAGGGCTTGCCCCAGCCTCAGGACCCAGGATGGGCCCCACAACCTGATCCAGACCCAGCTCCCCGGTCACATTGAGAACTGAAGGGCCCCTTCCTTGATCTCCACAGGCCACATCCATCCCTCATGTCGTCCAAACCCTTAAAAGCTTACCTACTACAACCCACAATTTCACTTAGAACAACTGTCTAGTGTTAAGCACATCAAATCACGCATCATCTCCCCAGATAGATTGTAAATGCACTGAGGACCTGGGCCTCTTGAATGGAGGGGCTGGGCTAAGTGACTCCTGGTGGGGGGCCACATTCCTGCAATACAGCATGGTATGGTGGGAGGGGGAGGGAGGGCAGCCAACGGGTGTCAGTCCTGGTCAAAGTGCATTGGTTCTGGGAAGCAGTGTGCACTCTACAATTTACGAACTGCATCATCAGTGGACTTTCAGGTCTACCTTGTTATTAAACTTATAATGAAATGAGTTAGGTTATCTGGTGAGATCTCAAGAATGTAAAAATGAGAATAAAGGTTCAAGCTGTTCTGTGTGAGGAAGGGGGGGAAACGGGAAGGGTGAGGAGGGGTGGGTTGGGGAGGAGAGAAGGAGGGAGGGGGAGAGAAGGGAAGGGGAGGGGAGGGGAGGGGAGGGGAGAGGGAGGGGGAAGGAAAGGGAAAGAGAGAAAGAAAGAAAGAGAGAAAGAAAGAAAGAAAGAAAGAAAGAAAGAAAGAAAGAAAGAAAGAAAGAAAGAAAGAAAGAGAAAGAAGGAAAAGGAAAGAGAATGAGAAAAAGAAGAAAGAAAAAAGGAAGGAAGGAAGGAAGAAATAAAAGAAGGTAAAAAAGAAAGAAAGACAAAATATGGCTCCTGGAGACCTTTCTTCTGACCTCCACTCTGTTACTTATTACCTATATAACACTAGACATGTCACTTCCCCCCTGTGCCTCAGTTTCTTCATCTGTAAAATAAGGAGGGTGGCCTAGATGGCCTCTGGGGTCTCTTCCAGCTCCAGGGGTCCCCCCAGCATCTCTTCTCCTGCTCAGGCACTTACTGGACTTTGTGTTATAGAAGGCACAGTTCCTGGAGATGGGCAGAGGCTCCTCATGGTTTTCTTCATCTTCTGAATCTTCCAGTGCTCGCCCACCTACTATCACCAGAACTTCCTCCAGCTTCTGCGGAAGCATCGTCGAAGACTGTCAGGCCAAGGGCATAAAAGATGGAGATTAAAAGGAGAACAGTTGGAAGTCTTTCAACCCTGACTCTAGAACACAATTACAAAACACTTTCCACACAAATAAAGACAGCTCTAAACAACTAAAGACATACTAATTGCTCATGGGTAGGCCAAGTCAATATAATACAAATGAGAATTCTGCCTAAGTAAGCTTACTTATTCAGTGCCATATCAATCAAAGAATTATTTTGTGGAGTTAGAAAAGATGGTAACAAAACTCATCTGGAAGAACAAAAGTCAAGAATATCAAGGGAATCAATGGGGAAAACTGATAAGGAAGGCAGCCTAGCAGGACCAGATTCCAAGCAGTGTTACACAGCAGTAATCATCAAAACAAGCTGGTATTGGCTAAGAAAGAGAATGATGGATCAATGGAATAGACTGGGTACATAATACACAGTAATAAATGACCATAATAACCTAGTGTTTGATAAATCCAAAGATCCTAGCTTTGGTGGCAAGAGCTTACTATCTGACAAAAAAATTACTTGGAAGGGCAGCTAGGTGGTGCAGTGGATAGAGCAATGGCCCTGAAGTCAGTAGGACCTGAGTTCAAATCCAGCCTCAGACACATAACACTTACTAGCTGTGTGACCCTGGGCAAGTCACTTAACTGCATTGCCCAACTCCTCAAAAAAATTATTTGGAAAACTGGAAAGCAGTTTGGCAGAAACTAGGTATAGACCAATGTTTCACACAACATATCAAGATAAAATCAAAATGAGTAAATGATTTAGACATAAAGGGTGATAGCATAAGCAAATTAGGGGAGCATGGAAAATTTTCCCTGTTAGAGCTATGGATAAAGGATGAGTTTGTCACCATACAAGAAATAGACAGGATCACAAGAAGTAAAATGGATAATTTCAATTACATGAAATTAAAATGCTTTGCACAAACAAAACCAATGCAGCCAAAATTAGAAGGAAAGAAGGAAACTGGGCAGGGGGGTGGATTTTATAGCAAACTTCTCTGATAAAGGCTTCGTTCCTCAAATACATAGGCAGCTGAGCCAAATTTATAAAAATGAAAACCATTCCTCAATTGATAAATGGTCAAAGGATATGAACAGGTAGTTTTTAGAAGAAGAATCAAAGCTCTCAATACTCATGTGAAAAAATGCTCTAAGGCACTATTGATTAGAAAAATGCGAATGTAAACAGCTGTGAAGGGCCACCTCACCCTTATCAGGCTGGCTGGCATGACAAAAGGAAAATGACAAGTGCTTAAAGGGATGTGGAGAAATAAGGACACCAATGCACTGTGCAACTGCTGATTGGTCCAACCATTCTGAATTTGGAAATACAATGACCCAGTGACCCATACAAAAATATTTATAGGCAGCTCTTTTTGTGGTGCTAAAGAATTGGAAATTAAGGGAATGCCCATCAATTCGAGAATAGCTGAATAAGTTGTGGAATGTGGTTGTGAAGAAATACTATTATGCTGTAAGAAATGACGAGCAGGATGATTTCAGAAAAACCTGGGAAGATTTATATGAACTGATGCAGAATGACATGAACAAAGCCAGGAGAACAGTGTATCCAGTAACAGCAACATTGTAACAATGGTCAACTCTGAAAAATTTAACTACTGTGATCAAGACAATGATCCAAGATAATTCCAAAAGATCCATGATGAAAAAAGGTTGTCCACGTCCAGAGAGAGGACTGATGGGCTCTGAGTGCAGATTGAAGCATGTTGTTTTTCACTTTCTTTGTTTCTTGCCTTTTTTGTGCAACATGGCTAATATGGAAATGTGTTTTGCATGACCTCACATGCATAATCGATATACTCTTTGCTTTCTCAGTGTATCGGGGAGGGGAGGAAAGGAGAGAGAGAATTTGAAACTCAAAATTTTTTTAAAAACTGAATGTTCAAAATAAATAAATGGAGCACCTGATTCTAAGCAATCTTTCCATCCTTATCTTCCACCACTCTAGTTTACATGCTCTACATTCCAATCTATTGACCTTCTTCATTGCCCTCACTCTCTTCTTCTCTCTGGTCTCAGGGTCTTTACTCATTCCTTGCTCTTCCTCACACTCATCATTCCATCTCCTGACTATGTGGTTGCCCTGGATGAATGTCCTGCCTCCTTACATCTATTTCTTACAATCTCGGTTTCCTCAGCTCAAGTACCAGGTTCTGTAGTACACATGTTCTTTCTTAATCCCTCGATCAGCTAGTGCCTTCCTCCCCAAATGACCTGTATCTATTTCATACACACACACACACACACACACACACACACACACACCTTTATGCATATATGTTAGTTCTTCTGACAGACTGCAAGCTCTTTCATGGAAGAAACAATTTCATTTTTGACTTTGTCTCCCCAAGACCAATTGACTGACACTGCTCCCTCTGCCTAATGCTAGAATGGATTCCCTCCCTTTACCTTCTCTGTCTTTCAAGACTGCTTCTTTCACTCAGGATTATTAACATAGGGACCACCTCCTCCAAGAGACCTCCCATGAGCCTTTTCCTGCTTGCTACCCCCAGCCAACTGAAAGCAATTAGTCCTCGAAGTGATGTAGTGGAGAGTGTTGAAGTTGGGGATCAGGAAAAACTGAGTCAGAATTCTGCCCCAGACACTTACTGGGTGGATGATTCTAAGCAAGTCACTTAACCTCTCTATGCCTCAGTTTACCCACCTGTAAAATGGGGATAATAATAATACCTACCTCCCAGGGTTGTTGTGAGGTTAAAATGAGAAAATATTTGTTAAGTGCCTTGCAAACATCTAAGTGCTACATGACTGTTAGCTATTATCATTATTATCTCCACCAAAAAAAAAAATTTCTCCTAGCGCCTACCACCTTCCCTGCCTTAAGCCATAGTCATTAATATTAATGTTCTCCTTTCTTCCTCCTGCCCCTTCCCACTTCAAAACAATAAGCCCTTTAGAGCAGGGGTCAATACCGTGTCTGTTTGATATATGATCTAGCTCAGTGCATGGTCCGTAGTAAGCACTTAATAAATGCGTGGAAGTGATAGGGGCTGAGCTCCGCTCCCCGTAAGGGTTTAGTGAGTATCAGAATTGCAAGGTCACAGTATCAGAGACCTAGGACTGCAAGTGACGTTCGAGGCCAACTAGTCCAACCCCCCATTCTGCCAGACCAGGGAGGTGAAGGGACTTGGCCAGGACCACACAGCTAGTGAGAAGTCAGAGATGAGATTCAAACCCCCAGAGCCAGGGCTCTTATCTATTAGGAGGTATAATGGAAAGTCTTATGGGGCCAAGGGAGGCAGAGAGAGGCTAAGTCAGAAAGGACAGAGTTGCCTAGTGGACAGAGAGCAGGACTTGGAGATGGTAGTCCTGGAATCGAATCCTGCCCCAGACACTTATTGCATGAGGTCTACAGAAGCTTCTGCTGAGGGGTGGTAATAGAAAGTCAAAAAGTCCTTAGCCTGGAAGAACAGCTCCCCAACACACACACATGCATACAAGCGCACGCACACACATCATGCATACATGTGCACACAGATACAGGTACATCTACTGTACACATGCATGTGCACATGCACACACATACACATGTGTGTGCACACACACACACACACACACACACACACAAAACACACACCCTCTATGGCTAGTTCTTTGCGTGACTGAGGACCCCAGGATAGGGCAGCCCCCAGGGTAGGACAGCTGTAGGTGACTCTGGCTATCAGCAACCTGAAGTGAGGTTGAGGGCTGGCCAGTCAGGAAGGTCCCCTGGCCCCATGAAACAGCATTCATCTTCCACACCCCCATGGCCAGAGTCACTAAGGGTCAGGGACCCCAGCACCCACCCATCCCCATCACTGACCGGGCTCTGGTGCTGGGAGATCACCGCCTTGCAGGCCTCAGAAGCCCGAGTCAAAGGCTCCGTGCAGAGCAGGTGCTGCCGGAATTGATCGGGAAGGGCAACCAGGTGCACCAGGTCCAGCAACTCGGGCAGGTAGCGGGCCCGGGCCTCCTCCTCGTACCTCACCCACCTGAGCAGGGCCTCTGCCCGGCTCTGTTCCTCCCGCACCTGGAGCAGCTCGTTGGCCAGGTAGGTGGCCAGCCTGTCTTTGGGCAGCTGCAGGAACTCCTCTTCTTGAGACACAGCCTCAAAGTTCTCCTGCAGGAAGGACCAGGCCTTGGAGGACACCTCTTGGCAGCCGTGGCGCTCCCCAAAGTCGCAGATGCCCAGGCAGTTGGTGGCATCTATCTGTTGTTGCAGGTAGCGGCTGCACACTTTCTGCACGGTGGGGAAATGGAGCCGGTTGGAGGTCTGGGTCAGAGCCTCCACGTTGTCCTGGTTGATGGTGAGCCTGCCCGTATACACAAAGTCCAGCAGCATCCCCATGGTCCCGGGGTCCACATCCGGCAGCTCCACCTGGGCAGTGATGCTCTCGGCAAAGTCCCCCGCAAACATGGCGTGGAAGTAGGGGCTGCAGAGGGCTAGGAGGCTGCGGTGGCACGGGAAGGCCTGGCTGCCCACCAGCAGGGTGATGTCCGACAGCTTGGGGTGGGTGCGGAAGGCCCGCAGCCCCTCCAGGATGTCCTGGGGGTGCGACTGGAGGCAGAAGTCAAGATCATCCATGTTCCTCACCATGGCTTTGGCACAAACGCGGCCTCTTGGACCCCAACCTGCCCCAAAGGGGAGAGCAGAGGAATTAACGTGGCGCACCGGTGGAGAGGAAGCCGTTGTCCCTGCGTCCCTGCCTCTTGCCCCATCCAGCCTCCTTCTCAGGGCGTCATTTTGGGCTCTGGTGAGCTGAGCCCACCGGTAGTGAGGATGACCAAGAGTTGTAGATATGGAGAATGCGGGGAATGGTCCCACTCTCATTTTACAGATGTGGAAGCTGAGGTGAAGAGAGGGGTCATAGGCCATAGACCCCAGAGGGGCCCCAGGGGCCATGTAATCCAATCCTTTCATTTTATAAAGGGGGAAACTGAGGCCCAGAGAGGTTGAGTGACAAGCGCAAGGTCTTACATGGGTCAGAGAATCATTGATCTAGTTGGAAATAACCTCAGAAGTCATTTAATGGAATGAGTCCCAGCAAGGTAAAAGTAAAACCATAGAATAATAGATCTGGGACTGTTAGCAATCCCCAAGGTCACAAACCAGGGAGGGAGATGCTAATGTTCCCATTTTCAAATGAGTTCAATGACTCACCCTGGGTCACACAGCTAGCATGGTGGGATTTGAACTCAGGTTGACCTGACTGCAGGCCCAGCCCTTTAGCCATGACCACACCATGAATTCACTAGTCAGTCTGGCTATTTCTGTCTACATGATGCGTCCTCCTTCTGGGGAAGAGGACTTATCGGCCCAGCCTGACTTCTCCCGAGCCATCACTTTTTCCGAGAAGACCGATGACCGGTTCTCACGTAAGATGACTTGCCTGGGTTCCCCAGAGACTTTCCTGGTTCCAGCCAACACCACAGATAGTTGAGGCATCACCTATCTTCACAGTCCAACTCACCAAAAGCCCTGACCTCCCCACCGGCGGTTGGCAGCTGTGGATGACAAGGGATGGTGGGGGCTGAGACAGCCAAGAGCCTCAGTTTCTCCCTGACTTTCGCCAGACTGGCCTTGCTGGAAAACTAGAGTAAACTGCTTGCTTCCAAATAGAAGTGAAATGAAAATGCATCCAAATGAAGGCTGAGGACTGGGCCCATGTGGGCAGCTGGGGAGACTCTTGAGTTTCCAGCGAGGGAGGGGCCAGGCCTGGAGAGCGTCAGCAAAACTCGGGCCAGACTCTTGGCCCACCGTCGGCTCAGAGGCCGCCAAAGGTGTGGAGTCAGGAATGAGCTTTGCCCAGACTCACCCTCGAATCCAGACCCATGCTTAGCCCAACCTTGATCCATCCTTCTCCCTCACAGCTGATTCTCTCCCCCTGAATCAAGGCCCCTTTTACACAATGAGAGCTCAGGGCACTGAAGCTCCTTCTATCAGAGCCGTACCTGGCTGAAGCCATAGTGTCTCTCTAGGAGTGCAGCCCTTCCAGAGGCGTCCTTCCCCCTTATGATTTAAGGGGCAGAACACAGCCCTGGGAGGAGGTGCTGGGGTTCTGGAGGTGATGGCCACTGAGGGATGACTGAGGAGAGGGGGAAGGAAGGGCCTGTGCTTTGGGGCTACAACCCTGACCAGGTCAGCAGCCCGGACAAAGCCCAACTCTCCCCAGGCTAGCAATGGGTTCTGGTCCTATCTTCCAATGGCAGCCATGAACAGAAGGAGAAAAGGTTGGCCCATAAGAACCTCTGGCTGGTTTCTCTCTGTAGCCACGTGCCAACCCCACTCCCACCCCTCTGAATTTCAGGGCTGCTTTACATACCATCCTCCACACTGCCATTAGTATCTCTGTCTGATAAACGTAGGGCATGTCTATCTGATAAAAACTGAGGGGACAGGAGCAGCTCTAGGCCAGGACCAGGCCCTCCAGTGAGCCAAGGGCAGGTGCAAGGGCTACTTTCCCATGGCCCTGCTCTCCCATCCTCGGGGCTTTCCTGTGGGAGGGTAGCAGGAGCAGCAGCAGGCCAGGACAGAGTGACTCTTCTGGCCTGGGTTGTTAAGAGCAGGACATCGTCCACCTTCTAGCCAGGGACAAAAGCTGCCTTGGGACTCCAAGCCGGAGAGGGAGTGGGCGGCCAGACCCACCAAGGACTTGCCTTGAGCAGGTCTGAGTGGAGAAGATAAAGACCTGGGCTCTCACCAGGCTCTTGGGAGAGGGTCCTCCTTCTCTTGGATCCCCTCGCCCGAGCCCCCCGGGGTGCAGCCTGCCTTCTGGAATTCCTCCCAGGAGCCCCTTGAAAGCTCAGTCAGCCTGATTCACCACCCCTTCGGTCTGATCCTGCCCAGGCTTCCCTGTTCCCAGGCCTTACCTCTGAGCTTCCGGCCTCGCCTCGCCTCAACGCTTGTCCTTCTCTGCCCGGGCTCACCCAAGGAACAGGTGCTGGGCACAGTCCATCCAGGGCAACAAAGGAGGAAGGACAGGAAGAAATTTCCTCCGCGGATTACCAGCCCGAGGAGGCTCAGCCCTCAGAGAGCCCTGGGCAGGCAGGCGCTGGCCACACACCAGCAGAAGAGGCGTGCCGGGGCAGGCGGAGAGGGGTATTTTTAGACCTCTGCCTGCCCCAGTGGTGGGGGTGGGAGATATTGAACAGTGAGGGATTCTGGCCAGGCTGCTTGCTCTTAAAGCCATACACCCAGGGACGTGAGACAGAAGAACTGTGGGGGAAAGTGAGCAAACACAAGCACCTACTGTGTGTGTGTGTGTGTGTGTGTGTGTGTGTGTGTGTGTGTGTGCGCGGCACCATTTGGGGCACTGGGGGTATTGAGGCACACTCCCTGCTTTGAAGGAATTTATAATTCCCTAGGAGGCCTGACAAGCACCCAGAGGGCAGTAGGTAGTAGAGACAGCAGCACCTGAAATCAGAATGACCTGAATTCAAATCCTGCCTCAGATACTTGATAGCTATGTGACCCTGGACAAGCCACTTAATCACTCTAGGCCTGTTTCATCACCTGGGAAATGAAGGAATTAGACTTAAGGGCCTCTGAAGGCCCTTCTAGTCCTAAATCCAGTTAAGATCCATTAGAGACACTATGAAAAGAGTCTTAGATTTGGAGTCCTAAGCCCTGGATTCAAATCTTACTTCTGATGCTTATCGCTTGTGTGACCCTAGGCAAATCATTTAACCTACCTGAGTCTCACTTTCCTCTTCTGTAAAATGAGCTGGAATTGGGCTCTGAGATGTCTTCTAGGTCTAAATCTATGATCCATAAATCCTTCTGATTCCTCTGGGCCTCAGTTTCTTCATCTGTAAAATGAAAAGCTAGGACTAGGTGGTCTTAGGAGGCCCCTTCCAACACTAATATACGTGATCCTAAGTCACTGAATGCCCTGTGCCTCATTTTCCTTATCTGCAAAATAAGGGAAGGGTGGATTAGATGGACCCTGGCTTCCCTTTGCAGTTTCAGATTTAGGATTCTAGGATTATGAGGTTGGAGCAGTACAAGCAGGATGTCAGTGATGATTCTAGAAGGACCCAACCGTGCAGAGCTGGGACCAGCAGGGAAGGTTTCATGATGGAAATGGTCCTTGATCTTGGCCTTGAATGAGGAGGATTCTCACCAACAGAGATGGGGGAAGGGCATTGAAGGGGCTGCCGTGAATGAAGCATGGAGGTGAGAAACAAGAGAAGGAGAAGGGGAAGGACAATGAGTCCAGCCAAGGTGGGGCATGGAGCCTGGGAAGTGGCAGATAGGAAGGATATAAAGGAAGATTTCTGGGAAGCGAAGCAGGGTAAGAAAGCAGCATCAGATGGACCATATACGCTGAATACCGAGCAGTCAGAGAGACAGGTCTGGGCTTGATATTGGGAACATTTTCCCAATTGGAGTTATCCCAACGTGAAATGGACTGGAAGTCCACCCTGCCCCTATAGCCCCTTCCTCATATGGGTCATATTCTCCTTGGTCTTCCATTTTAAGGAGGACACTCAGGCCAGCCACATCTTTATTCCTTTCCAGGTCCCTGATTCTCTGGACTTTGTCTACCATGCCTCATCAAGGGCACCTTCTCCTGCTCCCGCTTTGCAGTAGTTTTCTTTGGGGAATTGAATTGCATTGGATTAAACTAAATCAGTACAATGGAATCAAATGGAATCGAAGTGAAATAAATTAAATCAAATGGAAACAAAACTGGGTTGGGTTGGGTTGGGTTTTAACCCCTCCCTTTAGGGAGGTCAGAAAGGGGCAAAAGATGGACGTCTGGCCCTTTAGAGCCAAGTTTGATTCTCTGCAGATCCTGAGCCTCCCCAGTTCCTTCCCGTCCTCTTGAGTTGACCTAACATCCAATGTACTCTTCACCAGAAAGACTCCAGCATGAAATCTATCTGGCCCTTTCGCCATGTGGGGCTACAGAGATAGAAAACACTATATAAATAACCTGGCTATTATAGTGATTCCTCAGTCGGTCCCAGCTCCACCTCTCACATTCACCTACCCCAGAGAAGGCTCAGTTTCAGGCATCGTCCGTCAGTGCCAGACCCTCTGGATTTCAGGCTTTAAATGGAAATAGAGTCAGTGTTTCTTCTGTCCTCTGGGAGGAGCTGGCTTCTTTGGAGGCCCCAGAAGAATTGTCTGGGAAGATCTTACCCTGAATGTCTGGGCATTGTGCTGCTACTCACAGAACCTGAGAGGCAGGAGTGAACTTGGATACCACCTGAGCAGGAATCCCTTCCAGCATCCCCAGTGAGGGGTCAACCAGCTTCCTCTGTGGCACCTCCAGGAGGGGGATATTAGCCAGCATATAACGAATGTAAACTAAGGCTGGCAAAGTGCTTTGAATATGTTAGAATGTCACTCCCTCCAGAGGCAGACCAGCATACTCTGGGACCAATCTCATTGTGAGGAAGCAGGAAGCGTCTTCTCACGACTTCCCCTGCCTGAGACTGGCCTTTCTGCAAAAGGGCCGAGGAGAGGTTGGATGAAGCCAGGGAGCAGACCAGGAAGACTTGTGCCCTCCCTCCCAACCCGACAAGGGCTGAAGTCCCTAAAATGTGAAAAGCTGGATCAAAGCGCAGTGTGAGAGAAAAGGAGCAGGGACTGGGGGATTCAGGTGCTGGTTGATATTCAAGACACAGCATAGTATTTTTTTTTCCTTGTGATTTTGATCAGTGGAAAAAATCTTAGTGTGGGAATTCCCTCCACAGATACAGATTTGCAACTCGTAGGGTGTGAGAGTTGTAGGGGGGAGCATTGAGGGGTGATGGACGGACATGCAGCCAGGAAATGTCACGGCCCTTACACTTGAACCCAGATCTTGGTGACTCCAAGGCCAGTCGCTAAATGAATGTTATGGGTCACACAGAGATCCCATTGCTAGACACAGATCTAGAAGGGACCTCAGCGACCCTCTGGGCCAACCTTCTAATTTTATAGGTGAGGAAACTGTCAAAGATAGAAAGAAAGGTCCCAAATGTCCCCAAGTAATCCTAGAGACAATTGTTTTTGTAGCAGCAAAAAAACTAGAAACAAAGTCAATGTTCACTGCCTGGGAAACAGTTGAAAGAGCTGTGGCACATGAAGAGAATGGAATAAGACTTCACTATAAGAAATTTCACATATGAGGAATTTAGAGAAAGAAAAGGTAGACGGCACAAGTGGGTAAGAATGTTGGGCCAGGAGCCATGAAGACCTAAGTTCAAATCCAGTCTCAGATGCTAGCTGTGTGACCCTAAGCAAGTCATTTAACCTGTCTACTTCCATTTCCTCATCTATAAAATGGGTAGAATAATAGTACTTCCCTCTCAGAATTGGTGTGAGAATTAGATGAAATAATATGTGAAGTGCTTTGCAAATTGTAAAGAGCTTCATAAATGTCAATAATTGTTATTATTATTTGAGAATTGTAGCTGAAACATCCATACCCCTACTATCAAACAGGGTTGAGCCTTCCAGGACTTGGTCTGGCTGGTTCCTGGACAGCGTCACCCTGAGCCCATCTGTGAAGCCTTGGTATTGGCTGACATGGGAGGGTCACCTCCACACCACAAAGGTGTATATCCAAGGACTTCAGAGGAGGTAAATCTAGGTTAAAATGAACACCAAAAGCCAGCCTTGAAGAGGAAAAGGCATCGTAGAAAATTGGTGATCAATTCAGCCTCTCAGCTCCCAGCTGAAGTGGGGGTCTCTGGGCGCAGAAGGAGTGTATGCTGTCAAACGTGACCAATGAATGCATTGTTGCATTGTTTCCTTAGCTATTCTTCTCGGTTAGGATCAAGAGTCTGCTGAGGGAGGGAGTCAGTGGAAAAGGACAACGCAAAGAAAAATAAACATCAATGAAACATTGTTTCAAGTCACAGAAAAAGGACAAATGAAGCTAAGAGTCAGTGTGGGGAGGTGGTTTTAGGAGTAGAAAAGGGATGGAGCCATGGTTAGATTGGGGTGTGTGCGTGTGTGTGTGGAGGGGGGCGGTCTTCAAGGCTAAAGGTCCATAGAAGAGGAGCCTCAGATCACTTTTGGAACAAGGGGGTGATGTCACGCCATTCTCTCTTTGGCTGCCTTCCTCATCACTGCCCATCTAACAGTCCCTAGAGTCTGAGGTGGGGCAGGTACAGGGGGAGTCATGGCCCGGGGGCAGAGACTATCTTAGAGGACAAGTAGAGAGAGGGAGTCCACATGGTCTGATGATAGCCAATGTCATTTCTGTTGACTACGGAGGCCCCACCAAAAGACTTCTGTGGTTCCGAGCAGCATGGAGTAAGTGGCAGAGCACTTTTCATCCCTATGGCCATGGGCTGCACTGGAGATCTTTGGGTACTTGAAAGAGAGCAGCACTGGAGAGCACCCTAGGCTCTGAATCAAGAAGACCCGAGTTCAAATATTTCCTTACATGCTTCCTAGTTGTGTGACCCTGGGCAAGTCTTTTCGCCACACTCCGTAAGAGTCTCACACTCCTCATCTTTAGAGCGGAGGTAACAATTGAACCTACCTCTCACAGGGTCTTTGTGAAGTTTTCAATGACATTATGTGTATAGGAGAACCCAACGGGCTGTAGCAATGTGCCCTCTACTGGCTCATAGGAAGTAGTACAGCTCTCTCCTTGATGGAGGGACACTGGACACTGGAACGTTAAAGGGTTAACTAACATCCAAGGAAGGAGAGAGTTACATCTTTGTTTCTCGTTTTCCTCCTTTTCAATTCCATTTCCAATGAACAAGTTTTGGAATTCATGATTGGTCATTACATTGATCAATCTTAGTGAACTTTCCAACAGGCTGTTGTGTGCTACCACAGGGTAGAAAGCACAGGACCTGGAGCCAGGAAGACTTGAATGCAAATTCTGTCACTTACGAGCTGTGTGACTCCTGGGCAAACCATTTACCTTCTGTTTGCCTCAGCTGTCTCATCTGTAAAGTGGAGGCAATAATAGTACCTACTTCCTCGGGTTATTGTAAGGATTAAATGAGATCATATTTGCAAAGCACTTTGCAAACCTTAAAGCATTCTGTAAAATGCTCACTATTGCTTTGGTTGTTCAATCATTTTCAGTGTCTGACTCTTCATGACCCCATTTGGGTTTTCTTGGCAAAGATATTGGAGTGGCTTGCCACTTCCTTCTCCAGATCATTTTATAGATGAGGAAACTGAGGCAAACAGGATTAAGTTATCTGCCCAGGGTCACACAGACAGTAAGTATACAAGGCCAGATTTGAACTCAGATCTACCTGACTCCAGGCCGATGCTCTGTCCACTGTGCCACCTCATTGCCCTCACTATTGCTTACTATCCAGCATTTCTATAGCTTTAAGGTTTGTGATGTTTTACAAATATTTCTTGATATTCCAGCCCCTTCTTCTTATGATGTTGTTTTTGTATAAATTGTTCTCTGGGTTTTGCTTACTTCAATGAAAACTGCTGGGCTCATAGCCTAAGCCTTGATTAATTCATATAGCTAATGCTCTCATTTTACAGAGAGGGAAACTGAGGACCAGTAAAGAGACTTGCACAAGATCACACAGCTAGTAATCATCAGAAGAGTGATTTGAACCCAGGTCCCCTGACTCCAGAGCCAAGGCTGTTTCCATTGGACCTTGCTCCATTACAAAGGATTTCCTCTTCCCTCTCCTCCCAGGCCTCCCTCAGCCACCTGGAAGCCCCCTTAATATGCATGGGTCCTCACCCTCATCTCACTTTTTTACAGATCGAAGATCTGGATCTGGAAGGAGCCTCTGAGGCCATCTACTTCAAACCCCTCATTTCATAGAGGTCAAGTGACTTGCCCAGGGTCACACAACTAGCAAGGGGAAAAAAGTGGGTTTGGAACCCAGAACTTCTCCCTCTAAATCTAGCCTTCTCTCCACTGTACCACAAACTGCTAACAACATTCCAGTGAGACAGATGGTCTGACCACCAGCCCTCCACTCTCAGGTTACAGACAGGTAGAGAAGAATCCAGATTATCTTCTCACCATTCAACATCAAGTTCTTATCCCCTGCCCCTCTTTCCAACTCTGGCCACCGACCTAGGTCTGGTACCACACAAGGACCTCCCCTGGTCTGCAGGGGTGGGGGCCCCAGTGAGGAGAAGCCGAGGAGAGAAACGACCCAGATTTGTGTGCAGGAAGGCGAACAAGGGAGGCCGAGCTGGGAGAATTCAGAGAAATGCTCAGTCATCCAACCACTCATAGAATAACAGCATTTACAGTTGGAAGAGCCCCTGAAAGGCATCTACTCCAAATGGCCCTCTCACCTCCTCTTCCCAGGATGTGGAAGCCACAATCAGCTATTTAGCATCCTAGCCTGGATTTGAACTGAGGTCTACTTGACTCCTGGCCCCCGATCAATCCACTGCACCACCCGTGTCTGTCTAAAATATTCCTCAAATGCCGAAACCCGGGATCGAACTGGGGACCGCCAGATCTTCAGTCTAACGCTCTCCCAACTGAGCTATTTCGGCTTCTAGCATCTCAAATGCAGGAGACCTGGAAATGAAAGCTGTGGCCCCAAAGTCTTTTGACACTATTCAATGATTCAACACCAGACTGATGGAGTTTAATTAAACGAAAGTGAAACTAAAGAAGATGCGTTACTACCTGCCTTTCTATTGCATCCTATGGACCTCTGGAGCCTTCCCTCCTACAGTCTCCTACGAACAGTATATTTGTTCCCTCCCCCAATTAATAATTATAATAGCTAGAGTTTCTATAGCATCTTAAGGTTTATGAAGATAGACAGATATACACACACATATGTGTGTATATATATATATATATATATATATACCCACATTGTGTATATATATATATATATATATATATATACACACACACACAAACACGCATATCTAGACATGTAGATTCTCATTTAAGCTTTATAGTGACTCTGTGATTTGAGAAGGTACTGTTAGAATCCTTCATTTTACAGACAAGAAAACTGAGGCTGGAAGGCATTAAGGTCATTCCAAAGATCACATAGCTACTAAGTGCCTGCTCTGAATGTAGGTCTCCCCTCCTCCCAGCTCAGAGCTCTATCCACTGTGCTATCTAAAATGTTCCTCAAATGCCGAAACCCGGGATTGAACCGGGGACCTTCAAGATCTTCAATCTAACGCTCTTCCAACTGAGCTATTTCGGCTTCTTGTGGCAGCCCTCTGGAATAGGAAGACAAGGCTGATGATTGCCATTTTTTGTATCTCAGACTCAGAATTCTCCCAGTGGGAAGGCTACTTGGGCCAATGAATCCAGCCTGTCTCTAAGCTGGAATCTCCTTCAGAGCATCTACACCAGGTGGACATCCACCCTCAGCTTAGAGAGCTCAGGAGACAGGGAACTCACCACCCCCAAAACAGCTTGTTCCACTTTGGAATAGCTCTCAATGTTAGAACGCATTTCCTAATATGATGTGAAGCCTCAACTGGCCCCTCCATGGCTTCCCCTCATCGCTCCTGGTTTGGTCCTCTGGGGCCAAGTAAGCAAGGCTCATCCCTCCTCCATATGACAGCTTGCCAAATACTTGAACGTGGTGACCATGACTCAACCCTTCCCCCATTCTCTTCTTTGATCTCCATAACACGAGTGTTTCTTCTCAATAGGAAAGGTCACCCCTTATCCTTCCCTCATTCTTTTACCAATATTGTTCCTTCCAGAGCCAGATTTCATTCACGGATTTTCATCTCATGAAGTTTCAGTGATTGACATATTCTGTACATATTTTATATTTATTTATCTATGTATATGCTGTTCCCCTCCCAAGAGAATGCAAACTCCTTGAGTGTTGAGAGTGATTCATTGGGGTCAGTGCACCCCCAGCCCCAAATGTTCAGTCTGTGCATAGTAAGTGCTTAATAAATTGAACTAAATTATATCATTGGATCGTAGACCTAGAAGGGACCACAGATGCCTTCTATACCACTCATCATTTTACATAGGGGGAAACTGAGGCCATCAAAGTTAAGTGACTTACTCAAGGTCACACTGCTATAAGCTTCAGAGGCAGTATTTGAAGGCAATTCTTTGACATGAGTCAGCCCTTTTTCCACTTCACCAATTGAATTGAATGCAAAAAAGCAAATATGCCTTGAAACACTGGTCTTCCAAGGCTAGGTGAGAGGCAAAAGAGGAGAGGCAGGCAGTAAGGAAATCAGTGAGAGAAAAATGCATTGTGATGGACCCGCTGAACAGTTGGAACAAGACAATGCTTGAGCTGGTGCGTGACTCGGGTCCTCAAATGGACCTGCAGTCTCCCAGAATCATTGCATTTGAGGATAAAAAGGAATCTCAGTAGGCATCTGGTCCAGCCTGTACCCAGAAGGAATTCTCACTAAACCATGCCCAAAAAGGGGACATCCAATGTAGATCCCTTCCTGCTTGTCCAGTTCTGCTCCTGCATCCCGGGACATCTCAGGCTCCTTAGTTGACTCTTCATCGCTATCCTGCCACCACCGTAGGTGTCCCCCAGCCCGTCCTAGGCCACTTTCCTTTTTTCTCTCTGTTCTCATCTCTGGTGACCTTGCCAGCTCCCATGGGCTCCATCGTCATCTCTTTCCAAATGATTCTCAGATCCGTCTACCCAGCCCTAGGCTCTCTGCCGAGCTGCAGTCCCACATCATCGATTCCTTTGGGACACCTTGGACTGTTTGTCCCACAGGCATCAGAGTCAACATGCCCCACACAGAACTCTAGGCCTTTCCCACTTCTGAACTTGCCCATTTACAGCCAGACGTGAAGGGAGAGAACTGAATGTTTAGCCTAGAAAAAGGCTGGGCTGCTAATGCTAATGCAAAGTGCCTGACGTGCAGTAAATGCTTAATAAATGCTTGCTGACTAGACTGACTTAGTGCGTGTGGTGTGGTGGGTGAGACCTGAGGACAGTCTTAAAGAATCTGAGGGGTGTTGCATAGAAGAGGCTTTTAAGCTTGTGTGGAAAGCTGGATTTCAAAGGAAAAAAAAAGAACGAAAGCAAGCTGGATTTCAATTCATCGTCTTCATTGGAATGCTCTCATTTCCAGCGCTCTGAAATTTACAAATCCCTTTCCTTACAAAAACCGCACACAAGTATGCCCCCATTTTACTGATTAGGCACCTGAGGCAATGAGGGATTAGGAGACTGATCCACGATCTCCCAGAAAGGAAGTGTCTGTGGTAAGATTCAAATTCAGGTCTCCTTAGTACAAGCTCTTTTCACACTGCCTAAGGACGGGCCATCTGACCATTCGAGTGGCCTCGAAGTGGGGCCTCGGGGCATATAGGGACGCACACCCCCACCCCCACCCCCGGAGGTCTTCAAGTAGACCCTTAAGTGAAAGATTAAAGAAGGGATTGTTGGCCAGGGATAAGTAGGTGGGCTGCGAGATCGTTGTGAACTTTTCAACTCTGAGATTTTGTGATTCTGTGAAAACCAGAGAGAGGGGGCGTGTCATAGCGGATAGGGGGCCATGGTGGGAGTTAGGAAGACGTGGGGTCGAGTCCTGACTCTGACGTGTACCAGCTGCGTGACTCTGGACAAGGGCATAACCTCTCAGGACCCAGGCTACTCTCTGAGCCTGGAGAGGAACCGATTTGAATCCGTAGAGTTTCCCTGCCCCGAGTTGCCCCCGGCACATGAAAACCAGAGGGGCAGAGAGAAGGCCACAGTGCATGCTCAACTTCCCAACTGGGCAAATACATTTGCAAATTTGGGGGCATATTCAACAAGTGTCCCGTAGGCTCTCCTTCCACATATCCTGAAAAGGGGGGGAAAAATCGGCACGGGAGAAGCGGTATGGGGACAGGATAGGCAGAGGGCGGTTGCTTCTCCATCCGCTCTTTTTAAACACACACACACACACACACACACACACACACACACGCGCGCACACACACACAAGACGTGCACACACAAAGCCCAGGCAGGGGCACGGGCCACCCCGTTGGCCTCAGTCTCCAAAGTTGAAAATCTCTGCTTCTTTCTTTTCCAGAAGGCAAAGCTCCTGTCGATGTAGCCGCAGATATCTTCGCTATTAAAGCTTCCGAGCTCGGAGCAGCTGCCGGGCCTTCGGCCCATCGGCTCCAGGTGGCCAGCCGGGGCCGAGGCCCTGGGCGGCGGCTTGATGGAAGTCAGCCCTGACTTTCGGACGGGCTCCGCTTCCCACACCGGCTTCCTGCTGCTGCCGAAGAAGCGGGCTTTAATGTCTTCGAAGCCATCCTTCCAGCTCCTCCGGCCGGCCTCGATCTCATCGGTCACGGCTTTGTGGAAGCTCCGCACGGTCTCCCAGCTGTGGCCGCCCAGGTGGTCGAAGACCTCGAAGCAGAGCAGGTGTCTCATCTTGCGCTCTTCGGGGGGTAGGTCCTGCTCCAGGATCTGGAAGTATCCCAGCATGAAGAGATCCAAGGTGAGGCTGTGGTAGTCCACGGGGGCCCCGTTGACATAAGGCAGGAACATCTCGGGGGAGTACGTGACGGGCTGGCGGCTCAGCCGTCGGATCTGCCGCGGGGGCACGTGAGAGATGAGGTCTTTCCAGTTGCCCAGCAGGTGGGAGATGATGCTTCTCTGCTGGAGCAGGTGGCTGAACTTGCTGGGCCCGCGAAGGGGAAACTCTCCAGGAAGTGGGAGCGGCTCCATTCGGACAGTCACGGCGGGCGCCTGGGGAAGGCCAGTCTTGGAGGACTCCAGGGTCCTCCTGGCTGCCGTCTTCAGGGCAGGGGTATAGGCTGACTTCTTCCAGTGACTCAGAAAAAGCATGACGATCCGCTCTTTCCTCAGGCTGGAGGAATCAGGCACGGCGATGGGGCAGGTGCCCACCTCGGAGTTAGCCTCCTCGCAGCTGATGCCCGAGTCGCTGGTCTCTTCAGGGTCACCGGACACTTGCCTCTCACCGGCCTGAGCGTTACTCTGCGCCCTGGGGAATGTGATGGTAGCACCGGCTTCCCATGAGGCCCCTGGACACTTCTCTGAGGGGACCCTCGCTCCACAGGCCAGCCCTGGATTCTCTTGCTTCTCAAAGTTATCCCTGAGGCTTCTCACCGATACGCCACACTCCAGAATCTCCTTCTCCGCCATGCTCCCCGAGGGGCCCACGACACCCCCCCTGACCTTGAATGAGGTTTTGGGGGCAGGAGTCTCCTTCAGTCTGGCCAGGCTGTTCATGTTCTTCAGCAGCGCCGACATGCTCTTCACCATCCCCGAGATGTGGTTGCACCAGTAAGGCAGCGTGTGGCCTCCCTCCACCGCTGTCGCTGGAGAAGACTCTTCCTTTTCTGGATTGCGGCTCAGGAAGTGACTGTTGACCGTGATGTTGACAATGGGAGCAGGGAGGAGGCTCTGGAGCTCCTCGGCCAGGCGCCCCAGCTCGGTCTCATACTCCTGGCACTTCTTCCTCATCTGCAGGTTCTCGATCTGCTTCTCCAAGCACACCAGGTCATCCTCTGTCAGCAGCTCCCCATAGGGGCCCAGTATGGCGTTGTGGGTCTGAGAGTACCTCCAGTCTCCTATCTCTATGGAGTCACCTCCACTGTTCTGTCAGGGAAGAAGGAGGGAAGAGATGGCAGGGATGCGTTTGCCATTATACTTCTATCTCTGAGGGACTAATAACTATCTTTCAGGCCCCTGGGCAATTCCCCCTAATTTAGAAATCAAGGGTTTCTATCAGCTCTCCACCCCTTGCTCTATTTGGGGGAATGGGCTGCAACTGTCCTTCACCAAGAAGTGTTACAATTTTTCTTAGGGGCAGGGAAGGATAAGGGAGGGGATGTTCCTTGGGCAGGTAGTTGCTAACCCTAGATAGATTTCCAGTCAAAATTTCAATGGATTTATACTCTCAAGGTCACAGGCACCCCCTCCAGTAGGACAGAATCCACCCATTCCCACTTTCCCATTCTGTGTTATCTATGTCCATCCCCCCTCCACATTTGCCCTCCACCTTAGATGATCCAAGATTATCTTTTGGGGCTAAAGAGATGGCCTAGTATTCTCTCCACCCCTAGCTTCAAGGGCCTTACTGCTTGTCCTTCTCCAAGTCCCACTTTCTGGTGTCCTTAGGTTGACTTCTGAGGTCATTTTTAAATGGTTACAAGAACCTAGTCACCTTGGGCTCTTTTCAGTTGTTTTGGTAATCATCAGGACAGGCTGTCAAACAATGATCCAACTATTGGTCCAATTGGGCTGTACCAACAACTGCACACACCAGACATAATTCATGTCTGGATGAGGGCCCTGTATCAATGCCAGCTCTGTTTGCAGATGGTCAACTTGACCATTGTTATGGGTGCTGCCTAAAACTCGACTCCTTTACCCTCATTGTTGATAGCTCCAGTAGGGATATTAGATGTGTACACAAATAAACCAGAAAGTCTCTCCAAAGAGGAAATCTCCTCTATAAGCAAAGACCCTCAATGTTCTTGTGAACTGAAATATTAATAACAGTAATAGTAGCTAACATTTATATAATGATTACTTACGATGTGCCAGGCACTGTGCTAAGCACTTTACAATTATAATCTCCTTTGTACCTCACAACAATCCTGGGAGGTAGGTGCTGTTATTATCCCCACTTAACATATGAGGAAAGAGCCTAAGTAACTTGCCCAAGGTCACACAGCTAATAAGCATTTGGGGCCAAATTTGAACTCAGGTCTTCCTGACTCCATGCCTGACACTCTAACCACTGCACCACCTGCTGTGGTGCTCTATTTTGCAAAATATATATTCCAATGGTGTGGTAATCTGTGGGAAGTTTACCCCTGTGTGTATTAGAGGCATTTTCCTTGTTATTCATGTTACTGGACTGTTTAATGCTGCATCCTACTTTGAAAATGTGTGCCCTATGGTTGGTTTGGTAAAGGAAACATTGGCAGGGGCTCATGGGCTGTGACTTTAAGGGGACACTGACCTTGACTCTCAGGTAGTTTTCAGAAGGAGCAAGATTGAGGGGGATATATAGCAAATAGAACAAATATATTCCATAACCAGGCTATGAAGTATGAGAGAGTACAATGATAAGATTCATTGCCACCCATCAGAGAGCCCAGGGATTGGTGCTTAAAGCAGAAAATCTAATTTAGATGTATTTAAGAAGACCTTCCTAATATGACTGTGGCAAAGAGGAAAATGCCCTAATTAGAAGAGGACCTCATTTGCGGGGAGTCTCCCATTGTCACTGATCCCCCACTGCCCACTCCTGCTATTTATTAGACCCCAGAAAACTTGTCCGTGCTGTCATCAGAGTCTGGAGGGTTTCCCTCCTGGTCTGCGGGGATCCCCTCAGGCTCCAGTTTCAAGACGCTTCTTGGCTGAGGCAGATCCTGCTTCAACATCAAGTTCTCTTCATTGCCGGTCTATCAGACAGGGTGTCCTCTAGAGCTCCAGGCTCAGGGCACTCCTCCCCATCTTCTGACCCCTTGCTTCTACTCTGACCACCAGTTTCTGGGGCCTCCTGGGACCTGCTCTGCTCCTATCCCTAGTCCTCACCTTTTGTTGCCAAACTGGCCTTGCTATTTCCCAGTCTTGTCTTTATACCCTTATTCCGCTGATTGTTCCAGCATGGCACAGACCTTCCACTCACCCACCCCCCTCTCCACTCCTTCCACCAACCTTATGCAGGAGAATAGGACTTTCTAGGAGCTGAAGTTTTATTCTCCCCATGTAGCACACCCAGGGCCCGGGACCTCCTCACCCAGAAACTCTCATCCACCTTTCCAGCCCTCTCATCCTGAAACATCCCTCTGCTATAACTAGCCCTTTCTCCCATTACAGAGTTCCTTCTAGGGTCTCCATTTTGGGAAGGGGGCCAGGCCATTCTACTTCATGACCCTCCCAGCTGTACTTCTGACTACCCCCACCACCTTTTCAGCCTCTATTGGGTTCTTCCTGCCCTCGAGGGCAGGGATGACCTCTCTTTTGTCTTGTCTGGTGCATAGTAAATGTTAAATAAATGCCCGACCAGCCTCTCCCAGAAGACACTGTACCTTCCATTCTGTCATCTCCTCTGACCAAAGGCGGGCCTGCAGCTTTCGCACGATCACCTGCCGTTTCCATTCTGGGATAGGATGGCCGTTCTCATCCTCGGTGGGCACCAAAGCATCGATGTCCGATGGGTTCAGTTCATCCAGCGGAAGTGAGATAAGGCTATCCTTGGTGTCGTCCTCTGGTTCCATCTTCTTCCCTTGCTCGGGGACTTTATGCTCATTGTATATTGTGGCAACCTTGAAGGGAACCAGAGTGTAATAAATGGGGAGCCAGGAAAGGTTTGGGTCAAGCCACCTGATCCTAAGGACCCTAGGAATTATCACACTCTAAGAGTGAGTCCTGTGTAGAAGCCTCCAAGCAGCTCCAGGATGCCGGGGCTGGGGTGGGAGGGGTGATGCTCTGATGTTCTACACTGAAGAGTCAGAATGTTTTGAGGGAAGAGGGAGGGATGTGGGAGAAGGAGAAGGGTGGCAGAGCTCAGCAAAGGACCCTGGAACCAGAGCCAGCAATGGGGTCAGGCTTAGGAGTGGCTGCTGTGCTTCCAGCCTGTGAGAGAACGAGAGCCAGTCTGCACTGAGGGATTTCATGTCATCGTTTTGTTTGCATCTGGCACAGCAAACCACTGTAAATGAAAGCATAATTAATAATGGAGGCCCTTCATTCAGATGCAGCATTAAGATCACAGACTTGAAGCTTGTGATTTCATAGACCCCCCTCATTTTACAGATGAGAAAATCGAAGCCTAGAAAGTTTAATGATGTGCCCAGGGTTACATACCTAGGAAGTGCCTGAGGCAGGATTAGAACCCAGATCTTCCTGCCTCCCAGCCCAGTTTCACTAACTTACAAAGCGAGTGAGGGGAGGAGAATCCTGGAGGAGAGGGAACTGAGGCCCCCTTTCCAGGTTCTGAAGGACGCTGGCATCTTTAGCAGTCCCATAAGTCCCCCTGAAGACCCCAAAGTAGCCCTGATTCCAGCCTCTCAGGTGACAGATGCTTTCCAGTCCATGTGGTTCAGAGCGATACTCCCAGGAGCACCTGGTGGCACTTAACAAAATAAAAGAGCGGTAAATTTAGAAGCAATTAAAAGGCAATATCTGTTTCCATCAGACCTGTGTCCTTCTATGCTCCTTGGAGCATGTCATGCAGCCAAGTACTTTGGCTGGAGAGCCAGGTATTCTCTACACAAGTCAATATGTCGATTAAGCATTTAAGGTATGTGGCCACTAGCGAGGCTCTCTCTGGAGACACAAGGAGAGAAACGGGAATCCCAGACAAAGGGGCAAGGGCTTGAGTATTCACCAGGGAATACTGAACTCAATTCAGCAAGGGCTTATGAAACATCCGCCTTGCACAGGGCACTGTGGTGGAGATAAAAAAGAAAGAAAGAAAGAAAGAAAGAAAGAAAGAAAGAAAGAAAGAAAGAAAGAAAGAAAGAAAGAAAGAAAGAAAGAAAGAAAGAAAGAAAGAAAGAAAGAAAGAAAGAAAAACTATCCCTGACCTCATTGTTGTTAATGTCTAGAACCACAGTTATTTGTGCAAATGCCATATTCTAGAACTATACTCTTCCCCCACAGCCCTGAGCCCCTCAGACCAGGGGAGAGTTAGGCCCTTGAGATCAGGGGCTATTTCATAACGCCACAGATCTAGAAGGCACCATAAATGAGGAAACCCTGGCCCTGGGAAGGTAACTGACTTGTCCTGGATTGCACAGCCAGTAAGTCATAGGCAAGAATTGGGTTGAGCTAAATTGAATTGAATTGAATTGAATTTCACTGAAGGAGCTTACATTCCACATGGGGAAACAACATGGACACAGATTAATAAATGCAAAACATTTTCTTGCTCAAACCTGTGAGTTCATCAGTCCAGGAACCTTCTACCAACGAAGATGCATATCTATCCCACAACTTACAGACAAGTATGCTAATGCATTGGTGGCAAAGCTGTGAATTAATAGATCCAACCTTTTATGAAAATGGTTGGGAATAATGCCAGGAAAGCCACAGAATTTCCATCACTTTGGCCCAGAAGTCCCCACTGGTAGTGACCCACGTCCCCCAAGGAGGTCATTGACAAAAACAAAAGCTCTCTACATACCAGAATAATTTCTATACCAAAATATTCCCAATATGCCAAAATATTTTTAGTAACACTTTTTTATGGTGATAAAGAACTGGAAACAAAGTAGATCCCGATGGACTGGGCAATAGCTAAACAAACTGTAGTGCCTGAATGTAATGGAATCTTTTCTGTAAGAAATGAGGAGCGTGAGGAATGCAGAAAAGCGCAGTCAAATCTAACAAGACCTGGTTCAGAGCGAAGTGAGCAGAGCTAGGAACCGACATACACAGTGACCGCCACCACGGACATGGGAAGAATGGCTACCACGATACAACACAAGCCGAGTGCTACCAGAGCACAGAATTAGCTCGGCCCTAAGAAGAGACAAGAGAAGACGCCGCCAATCTCCCTTTGCAGAGGTCGGAGCTCGGGATGGCGCGGAGGGTGTCTTATTTTTAAGACCGCTAAGTCATAGCCTGATGCAGGGTTTAACACACACACACACACACACACACACACACACACACACACACACACACACACACACACCCCTATAATAGCTGAATACAAAAGAGAGGAACAAGAAAGAGCCTGCGTGAAGTCCGAGGGGAAACAGCCGGTAACCGAGGGAAAACTTTATGCTGCATTCGCTACAGAGCTGCCTCATTCGCCTGTGCCCAAGGAAGGAGGAAGACGGATGCTTGAGACAGTGGAAAAGAAAGGCCCCCTGAGCTGGCAGTGCCAGAAGTTTGCCAGTTAATCAGAAGCGTATGCGGTGTAGATAAAGGGCCGGACCTAGATTCAGGAACACATTTGTCTAAATTCCACCTCAGATCTCTACCTCCGTGTAGCTACAAGCAAGTAATTTAATCTCCTTGAAGCTTGATTTCTTCATCTGTAACCTCATAGAGTTAGGTGTATGTAAACGGGCTTTGCAAACTTCAAAGTGCAGTTTTTTCCACACCAGAGGTTGCTCTCTGAGCTGATTTCCTGCGTCATTTCAGGCCAGTAAAGGGTCATGAGCCCGTGTCAGGGCTCCCTCCCTCAGCCCCTGCTCCTGGTCGCCGAGGGTATGTGGTGCCTTGGAAAGCTCTCTGCATCTAAATTCTGAGGTCCTAGTTTCAAACCCACACCTACTTACTACCTGTGTAACTCTTGGCGAGTCGTCTATCCTCCCTTAGTTTCCTCATTTATAAAATGGACAGCCCTGTCCAGCCATAAATCTGTGGTCCCCTAGAACACCAAGTGGCATCACGCTTCCCTGTCCCCTACCTTGGCCTCGGAGGCAACGCAAAAACAGTGGACTCATTCATACTAGGGTGGAAATGATTAAGATCAGATCTTTCCTGAGATCAGCTTTTGGCAATGGTCAGGGGAAAAGAGGTGAGGTGGCCGGGCACCTGGTGACCGGTGAGGGCCCATCTTGCATTTGGGGTAAAGGGGGTGCCTGGAGCCCTAGGAACAAACCTGGACCACTTCACCTTTCTGCCTGAGTTGGAGCCCTCCACAGAATGCCTGCTGCTGCATTAAGTGAGAGTGCAGAAACTAAAATGTAGCAGGGCAGAGGCTGCTTCTGTTAAGTAAATTACAATCTGGCGGGTTCCTTTTCATTTTCACTTGATAATAGCCAAAGTCTGCTTTCCCACTGGGGATGAGGTGTGTTTGTGGGGTGCAGCGGTTTGATCTCAACCTTTCACACCTGAGTGAGAATGAGCCCAAGTTTTTCCACTCAGGTGCTTTGCCCCCAGCCTAGCTCCACGCAAGCTAAGGCTGAAGCAGAGAACCTGCCACAGATCAAGAGAAGTGGGTGCAATGAAGCAGATCCAGGGAACCATTCTTTCAGCCTCCAACCTTCCGCAGCTGGTGACCTTCAGCTGTCCTGTCCCAAGCATCTAAATTTCCTCCTGCAAGGACACAATAAACTGGGGCCCTGACCTTTCTCTTTTAGTTCTTCTGGTTACTGGAGAAGCAAGAACTTTTCTTTCTGATTCTTCAAGGCTTACCCTTGAATTTAGGTCAAATTCCCCACTAAAGTCTTGAGCAGTAAAGATCCCCTGGGCTTCCACTCACAAAAGTACCTTGGAACTATTCCCTTTCTTTCCTGGGCACACAAACCCCTGGGCACTCTCCTGAGCTGGTCCTGCCTTCCAGTCCTAAGATGACATAGATTCAGAGCTAGAGGGGCCCTTCAGGATCATCTCAACCAGCCCCCTTAATTTACAGTTAAGGAACCTAAGGCCCATAAGGGTGGAGTGACTTGGTCACACAAGTAACAAGTAGCAAGGGTAGGATTGGAACCCAGGTCCTCTTACTCCAGATACAGCTTTCTTTGTACTCCACTCCACCAGGCTGCCCTGATTCTTAATGTCTCAAGTAGAGTTTCCATCTTCAATTCCCATTTGAAATTGGCATTTTATCCAGGGGTAATTTTATCCAGTGATGCACCTCATTCCCATGAGATAGGAGGGACTCTGAAACGGTAGAGTAGAAAGAACCCTGAAAGTTAGAGTCAGAAGACCTGGCTTTGAATCCCACCTTTACCAACTCGGGGTGTGACCTTGACCCAGTTAATTAATTTCTCTGGGTCTCCATTTCCTCCTCAGTAAAATGACTGGGTGACTCTAGCTGAGCTTTCAGGTCTAGGTCCTATGGCACACACATACTCATGTATCTTGGCCACCTGGGGTGACGTTTCAATCCACACTCAGAATAAACACTTTATAGAACCCTAGATTTGGCTCTTGTGGGTCATTCAACTCTCCATTGTATAGATCAGAGGCATTAAACACGCAGCCCTCAACATTTCTGTGTGGCTGAACTAGATTAAAATGTCATTCGGAAATGTGTCACAAAATAAATATTCACTGGAACTTAGATAATGTTAGCATGTGGCTTTTACAGGTCAATTTGCATCAGGCAAGTGCCCTCATGGATGCTTTAGCTTGAGTGTGACAGCACTGTGAAGACTGTTATAAATCATGTTGGTCCAAATATAAGCTGCACTTTCCCCCAACATCTGGCTCTTTCAAAACACTGAGGACTCATGTTCCCTCTGACTTTTGACCACCTTGCCTCTGGCCTCCCCCAGTAAGAGAGGAGGACAAGAATGACATTCTCAGCCCTCCAGGGCCCAATCCTCTAAGCATAAACATACCCCTTTCCTAACTTCGTCGG